CACAACGCCATCTAGTCCCAAGTTAAGCTAGCTAAAGCTTATGTAGGTACTAGATAACTGATACATATACATAGATATTTTTTTTCGTAAATACATATATATTATACATAGAAAACACCCAAATCGATAGAAACAATCATACTCATGAATATAAATATTTGTGCCGTACGAGGAATCGAACCCGCGACCATCAGGAGTGAAGCGGTATGCTAAACCGCTAGACCACCGAGGTCGTCACTAAGTGTATTTATATGTCAGATAGACAGTACAGAACTGTAGACAATATTATTTGATTACACTAATAATGAGTGCGTAGCGATTTCTATGTTGATTATCGCATGCCGATTACTTGTTATACTGTAATTATTACAAAAAAAACATCTATTAAAAAGAGCAACACACAAGTTTCTTGCTCATTCTTCTTATGATGAGTCTGCGTTCCGAATGAGTGGTAGAATCAAAATATGACTATTCAAAAGTGCTTCTAATGAGTTTATTTGAATAAAGATTATTTCTATTTCAGACAACGGAATTAGACCGCGTGGAATTTAAGATTCATTTTTTAAAATAAAAGTAGCCTAAGTTCTCTTTACTACATCAGCTACCTGCCAATAAAATTCCGTCAAAATCGGTCCCGCCATTTCAGTGATTAGTCGGAACAAACAGACAGACAGACAAAAATTGTAAAAAATGTTATTTTGGCTTGGCACGTTGGTGCATTCGACTTTTATTGGCAGGTAGCTGATGTAATAAGGAGTAACTTAGGCTACTTTTATTTTAGAAGACATAAAGTTAAATTCCACGCGGACGAAGTCGCGAACAGCTAGTAGTGAATATGATTTCATATTTGTAATATTCTGCAATGGACGTCGTATTTTGAGATTATCTCGCTAGCTCGCGAGGGGGCGAGCAGATATAAAATAAGTAATAGAGACTATAACCGGCCGGGGGTGGATACGAGGGTGGGGGGTGCCACTTAGTTGATTGTATGATTAATCCGCGGGGATGACTTGGAAGTAAGTTATGGTGTTTATTTCGAGACGAGATGAAGTGACTAAGTGTCATGCGGTTTTATGAGCTTTTACTATGAATGGCTTCAAAACTGTACAAATAACATTAAGACTTAAAAAAATAATAATTTAAAAATGAATCTGTATTATTGTAAGCATGTATAATATTAATTTGAAAATAATACGAGCTGAGTTTCTTGTCAGTTCTTCTCATCTCGAAATCATTCCGAACTGACGGTAGATTTGACATATCATAAGAGTCTGTAATAGACCTACGTGAATAGAGATATTTTGTTGAATTTTTTTGAGATCCTGTTTCCTTCACTAGACAGTCAGTCTTGATATGTCGTGGTTTAAGCTGTTGTTTGAATTTTATGGATTTTTTGTATCATCATTTTTGAAGCTAAAACGATGAAACTTTTCTATTTGACTTATATTGAGTTAGGTTATTAAATATTTTTTCATTATTTACGCGGACGTAGTCGCGGTACAGCTAGTATAAATATATATTGTAAATAAACTGCCTTAAAAATCAAGTAATTCAATTGAGTTTCTTCTCAGTTCTTCTCAATTGGAGCTATATATTGAACTGGACGGTAGGGAAAAAAATATAATATAAAAATTTGACGTTCATAAGCGGCTAAAATGTCGTACATGAATAAATGATTATTGAATTGAATTTGAATTGGTCTGTCTATTTTCTATGTATATTACATATGTATGTATTTACAAAAAATATATGTCTAAGTATTTATATGAGTTGTCTAATAACCAGGCTCTACTTAGCTTACGACTAAGTAGTGAATTATCCTGAGATATTATTATAGACAGATAGATAGACAAATTCTTTATTGACAATTACAGACACATAACATACATGAGATACAGAAACAACACGAATTAATAAAAGAAATGTAGGTGAGTTTATGTGCCGCAAAAGTGAAAATGTAGCCAACTCAGCATAATGCTACAGATAACTCTGCAGCGCTGATATTCTGTTGGCTCCCTACTTATACTATACTTTAATACTAAAAAAATTACATAAATATTATACTTCTAGCTCTTTATCAAAATATATAAAGTATGAATAAACTGTAAATAATGTGCTGAATTATATTATTAAACTACTTATCTTATATATAAAATTCTCGTGTCACAGTTTTCGTTACCATACTCCTCCGAAACGGCTTGACTGATTCTCATGAAATTTTGTGAGCGTATTAAGTAGGTCTGAAAATCGGCCAACATCTATTTTTCATTCCCCTAAATGTTAGGGGTAGTCCACCCCTATTTTTTTATTTTAAATTAAGGCAAAACAACGTTTGCCGGGACAGCTAGTATTACATAAATACTATAACAAGGATTACACATATATTGATGTGGTGAAAGGCTCCGCGAGACTGATGATGACGGAGATGATGGAAGACAATGCTTGCGGACTGAGTTGGGTGAGCAGCTGGTAATAAAGCTCTGCAGATAAGGAACCTCCTAAAAACAAGTAACTCCAGTGTTTTAGATAATTCACGCCGGAATATATAATACCTGTCATCCAAGATTTCATAGTCGTAAACAGTGTTTTTTTTCGGACTACTCAAATGCTGTTGGCCGTTTGTAAAAGACGGTTATTTCAATATTACAAACAGTTTTATTTATATGTACAGATAATAGCTTTAAATAACTAAGCTAAGCAAATTCTTTAAAGTAATTTGTTTTATATGTATTTTCTTTGAGATTTTAATATATGAAATATAATATTAGGACTAGTAGACCCGGCCACGCGTTGCTGTGTCTAAGGTTCTTGAATAAAATAATATTGTGACTATAAATTGAGATGTAAGCTATCCTATCTTTCAAGTTGGATCAAATTACACACAATGTGCAAATCAAATATGCAATTGGTTCAGTAGTTTAGGAGTCCATCGCGGACAAACGTCGTGACACGTAATTTTTAAATGTACCTAGCTACTCGCCCCGGCTTCGCACGGGTGTACATGTATTATTATAATAATAATAATAATAATAATCTCAGGACAATTCACACAGCGCCATCTGGACCCAAGTTAAGCTAGCTAAAGCTTGTGTTATGGGTACTAGATAACTGATACAAATACATAGATATATTTTTTTTGTAAATACATACATATTATACATAGAAAACACCCAGACCGATACAAACAATCATACTCATGAATACAAATATTTGTGCCGTGCGAGGAATCGAACCCGCGACCATCGGTCGTAAAGCGGTGTAGAATTATTAGTAGAAGAAGGTTTATATGTTTATTATATATACATATAAACCTTCCTCTTGAATTACTAAAAAATCGCTTCAAAATCGTGCGTAGTTTTAAAGATTTAAGCATACATAGGGACGGACAGACAGCGACAGCGACTTTGTTTTATACTATGTAATGAAGATGTACGAATGTAAAAATTCCACGAAACTGTGTATATAAAGTCGAGGGTAGGTATACACAGCGGGGGCGGCGCCCACCAATCACAATGGCGCCAAACAGGTGGGCGCGAGCCGCCATCTTGACTTCTTAAAAATTTTCAGAGGGGACGCGTAGGGTGGAAACTATTGACTTTATTGACTTTATTTTATATTTATATATATATATATATATATATATATATATTATCTGTATATTACCTTATACATACCTATATATATAACTAGCTGTACTTGCGACTTAGTCCGTGTGGAATTCAACAATAAAGTTTATTAAAGAATTTTTCTAAAATAAAAGTAGTTAGTTACTCTTTATTACATCAGCTACCTGTCAATAAAAGTCCCGTTAAAATCGGTTCAGCCATTTCAGAGATTAGCCGGAACATACAGACAGATAAAATTGTAAAAATTGTTATTTTGGTGTATGTACCGTATTTATATTCATATACATGTAGTAAAAACGGTTATTTCAATGTTACAAACAGACAGTCCAATTTTATTTATATGTACAGATTAAATTATACATACATAGCTATATATACAATAATAATAATCTCAGGACAATTCACACAGCGCCATCTAGACCCAAGTTAAGCTAGCTAAAGCTTGTGTTATGGATACTAGACAACTGATATAAATACATAGATAATTTTTTCGTAAATACATACATATTATACATAGAAAATATCCAGACCGATATAAACAATCATACTCATGAATACAAATGTTTGTCCCGTGCGTGGAATCGAACCCGCGACCAACGGGAACAAGGCCGAGAGCTAAACCGCTAGAACAAAGAGGCCGTCAAATTTATAAAAGAAGTCATTCAAGAAGAAGGTTTACAAGTATATATATATTGTATTATATCTACATATATACCTTCCTCTTGAATCACTATCTATTGCTGAAAATTGCTTTAAAATTCGTTGTGTAGTTCAGACAAACATCGGAAGCGACTTTTATATTATGTAAAATTATAAATATCTATTTACAAAATACGACCTCGGTGGTCTAGCGGTCTAGCACACCGTTTTACGTCCGATGGTCGCGGGTTCGATTCCTCGCACGGCACAAACATTTGTATTATGAGTATGATTGTTTGTATCGGTCTGGGTGTTTTCTATGTATAAAAAGTATGTATTTACGAAAAAAAAATTCTCTAGTACTCATAACACAAGCTTTAGCTAGCTTAACTTGGGTCTAGATGGCGCTGTGTGAATTGTCCTGAGATTATTATTACTATTATTATAAAATAGGTTTTTACCAATGATAAAAAATCAATTTGAATGTAAACTTTATTGATAAATTCACTTGAATCTTACAATAGGAATCTGATATGAAAATAAAAAATATTTGTACAATTAATTCTGTTCTTATGTACTTCAGCAGATTTCATACACATTCCATAATTCAATACCATACATACATAGTATCAAATTATTACATTTATTTATAGCCACGTAATAATTTTGTTGAATTGCAAAATTACAACTAAAATAATGGAGTTACCATTCAGAAAGCTGTATAATGAAACAAGCGCGTGTTCTTAAAATCAAAATATTAAAAAAATATATGTTTATTTTTTCTGCTAGTGAATAGACACAATATTATTTTTATGAATCTGTGCTAACCACTTTTTTTCTAATAGCATTTCAACGCTACTAATGTCTGCACAGATTAATTTAATTTAGCTTTCTCGTAAGACGTCAACCAATGAGCAAGTAATCACTACGTTTTGTGATAATGATAATTTACTCTGTGATTAAAACCGTATATGAGAGTACGAATATAGTCACCATCCACGGCTGCTTACTAATCGCACTGTTACACCAATTCCCCGTACAAACGCAGGCATGGAAACGTGCGTACAAAGATACGCCTCTTGAAAATGGTACCAGGGAAGCCATTGGACTAATTAGGCATCCATTGTCTACGTCCTGAAATTAAAAAACATATTCAAATATGAATAGAAATTGATGTCCTCAATTTTTCTTATGACTGGTAGAGCAATAAGCTTATCTCCTACCTGGTGGGATAACCGTCGCCGATCTATATGTAAGAAGCACCAATTAATGATGACGACTTAGGGTTCGAACCATAGAATGAATTACCGATTTTGTGCAGACGGCATTTAGGTAAAATTAGCTTATTTATATTGCGTAAGTTTCTACTTATATGTATCAGTTGTCTAGTACCCATAACACAAGATTTAGCTAGCTTAACTTGGGTCTAGATGGCGTTGTGTGAATTGTCCTGAGATTATTATTATTATAATGTATAAGAACAGAAGCGATTAGGTCCCAATCTGACAGGTTTGTTAGTTAGTTTAGTAGTTATCCGTAGATTCGCCACAATGACATAAAACAGTCGCTCTCGCTGTCTGTCCGTCCCTATGTATGCTTAAATCTTTAAAACTACGCAACGGATTTTGAAGCATTTCTTTAATAGATTAAAATAGGTTTAGAGTAAAATAGGTTTTTAAATTACTCTTCAATTTCTTTTCAATTAGAGTTTGTAAATGTTTTTGTAGAAAAAACTTAAAATAAAAAGAGTTAACAATAGTTGTGTAAGAAGCACTAATTAATGATGACGACTTAAGCTTTGAAGCCGGCTACCGCAAGGGAAACTCCAAGTAGCGGCCGTGACTTGTGACACGGGTGTAGGTTTAAAAGGCCCTTTTAGAATGCATTAACACTCACCTTCACTACTTGCAGCTTCCCCCCAGGCCCAACTAAAACCGGCATAGACCCATTTCTAATACAATTCACTTTAGTATCCAAAACACAACCGGCACGCTCTGCGCTCGTCGACTGAATGCCGCGGCTCACCCAACGGAAGAGGATTATTCAACTACCGACCTCCGTATTTATAGACCGAAGTCAGTGTAGTAGTTCGATATATAAATACTAGATGGCGCTATTTACAATATTTTTAATAATCTTTACATTGGGTACTTCATTTGTACTAAACACAAACTACCTTCTTTTAATAACATTTTAAAATATCGGACTTTTCTACAATATTGATGTGAACCCTAACATATGTATGTAAATTCTAAACAGGATTTCTATTTAGTTTCATTCACGGTAGTTCCATTTCACTCAATTTAGTTAAATCTCGTTAAATTTTATTAGATACTAGCTACTCGCCCCGGCTTCGCACGGGTGTACATGTATTATACATATAAACCTTTCTCTCTCTCTCTATTATATTATTCTCTCTCTATTATACATATAAACCTTTCTCTTGAATCACTATTAAAATACCGCTTCAAAATCCGTTGCGTATTTTTAAAGATTTAAGCATACATAAGGACAGACAACGACAGCGACTTTGTTTTATACTATACTAGCTGTCCCGGCAAACGTTGTGTTGCCTTAAAATAAAAAAAATAGATGTTGGTCGATTCTCAGACCTACTCAATACGCTCACAAAACTTCATGAGAATCAGTCAAGCCGTTTCGGAGGAGTATGGAAACGAAAACTGTGACACGAGAATTTTATATATAAGATAATGATATAAATATTTACTCCATTCAAATCAACAGATACATATAGTTACACATTTTATAACACAGTACCATTACCAAAAAAGGATCGCTGTTTAACTCATTCCACCTCATTCCACCTAATTCCATCTCATTCTAATTACACTTCATTGTACAGGCGAAAATGTGAATATTATTGTTCCAATCTTCGATACCTTTAACGCCATTTCCAGCTTTGCCATCCGCTTGCTGCCGTAGTGTTTCCCCATGACGGCGTGCTGTCTGTTGCGGCAGGTGCGCTGCGTGTAGATCCCGCTGAGGTCCACCCACCGGACGGAGCAGCCGCCGGTGAATCGCCCGAACACCGAGCGGGGCTCCAGGTCTGTCGTTATGTATTTATTCCTAGCAGGTTGAGGGTGCATGGAAATGAATTTATAGTTAACTAGCTGGCCCGGCAAACGTTGTTTTGCCTTAAAATAAAAAAAAAAATTGAGGTGGACTACCCCTACATTTAGGGGGATGAAATCCGATCCTCAGACCTACTCAATACGCTCACAAAATTTCATAAGAATCGGTCAAGCTGTTTCGGAGGAGTATGGGACGAAAACTGTGACACGAGAATTTTATACATAAGATATTGAATTTTAATTTTTTAGAAATGAGAGCCTTGGTGGTCGAGTGGTTAAGAACACTGCTTTACTTCCGACGGTTGCGGGATCGATTGCAGACACATATAAAAATATAATTCTTTATATTGGTTATCTGTGTTCATTTGTATTCACAGATATGATTGTTTGTATCGGTTTGGATGTTTACCTTTCTCTCTTTCTCTATATATTTATGAAAATATCATGTATGCCAGGAATATAGACAGTTTCAAAAGAGTTAGTGATTGCACCAATAAAAGCTTACGTAACAATAACAAACTGATTTTACCTAAATGTCGTTAGTAATTTAGTAATTCGTTTTATGGCAATTGCGTAAGGTTTTACAATAAACTACCAGAGTCTGTTATAAATCTTCCAGAAAAAAGATTTAAATGTCAATAAAATATTGAAAAAAAGTTTATAAAATTGAAGAATTCGTTAACGACAATAATGTTTTTATTTAATCCATGAATATTATCTGATTACACTAATAATGAGTGCGTAGCGATTTGTTGATTATACACACTTGTTATACTTAAAAATTTATGTAAAAAAACATCTATTAAAAAGAGCAACACTCAAGTTTCTTGTACATTCTTCTTGTGATGAAGTCTGCGTTCCGAATGAGTGGTAGAATCAAAATATTCAAATAATTCAAAAGTGCTTGAAATTAGTTTATTTGAATAAAGATTTCTATTTCTATTTCTTTATTTTCGACCTCCTTGTCCACCTTTTTGGATTATTTTTAGAAAATTTTTTATGCGATTTGATTTTGGTGAAATATGAATATTTAAAATGAAATGAAATTAATATATTATATTGCTTAGAAATGTGGTACATGTGGTTTTTAAGATCTTTTAGTTTTACACATCTTGTCATTTCTGACATGCAACAATTAACCTTAATATACCCTTGTTGAAAAACCCCATGCTGTAGTCTCGTGAGAAAACCTCGGCAGGAAGTTCATTCCACACTAGTACGTACAGTACGTTATATACATGACACGTGGAACTTAGGTTGTGGAATGAACTTCCTGCCGGGGTTTTCTCACGAGACTGCAGCATGGGGTTTTCAAGAAGGTTATATTAAGGTTTCTTAAGGGTCGGCAACGCGCACGTGACCCCCCTGGTGCTTCAGGCGTCCATAGGCTACGGTAACCATTTACCATCAGATAGGCCGTATGCTTGTTTGGCACCATAGTAGTATAAAAAAAAACTTACAATTCTTTTGGTGTTGCTGGTACTCATGGTCGGACTTACCAGGTGAGTCAAAAGCTTGTTTGTCCCTTGTTCCCTGTGCTATAAAATTAAAAATAAAAAGAGATGTGTATGAAAAACTAACACGTCCACATATCGACAATATTTCCTATATGTGGCGATCAAAAGCTTATTTGTCCCCTGTGATATAAAATAAAAAATAAAAAGAGATGTGTATGAAAAACTAACACGTCCAAATATCGACAATATTTCCTATATCTGGCGATATGGCCTCTCGCCCGAGGGTCCACTGGCACCAGTGGCAGGAAGTCCCCGGCGAATGCATCTGCGCAGTACGCATTCTGGGGAACAGCAGTCACATCCAGTCCGCAAACGAAGCACTGCAACCAATGTATTGTTCATTGTACATGAAAATTTTTTCTATATTTATTGATGGAAAGAAGATTAAGAGTGGGGAGACCCTATAAAAGGCGATGCCTTCTGGGCACCAACACCACCCCGACACTTTTACACACACACACGACACCGTCCTCGCCGGCGAAGACGACGACCTCAAACATACAATATCGCGCATTCAACCGCCTGCGCGCGCCCGGGTGCTCCACACCGGCGTCCCCGGGCGCCCTTCCGATCGATCCCCCGTCCAATTCAAACGGGGATCCAAATTACGACGGCCTGAGCCGAGGTTCGAACCCCTAGTGGTGCCCTCAGACTAAAGTCGTATCCGTCAGGCAGGAGTTGGCCTTCAGCCGCTCCATAAGTCCTTCCGCGGGTTTGGAGTGCCATCTGCACTCGCCCCCTATCGTCCGGTGAAGCTGTAAAGGCCAACTGCGGCCAAAAGCATTAGAGTAGACCTAAAAATAAGGCACCGACACACTCTCGCATTGTGATTTCGACTGTTAGGTCGTTACTCTGCTAGTTTAGCTATCGGTTATAATATTTCTAAGTTCATAGTGTTGTTTTGTTTGATTTGAATTGGAGGTTAATTATTTCTGTTTGTAATTAGTTTTCGTGGTTAATTATTTTTGCAGTATATTGTGTGTTCTACCGAATATACAACGGACTGTGTTCTGATGAATTGTTTGACATGATGCCTACGGCATTTTGATTCGACAGGGATTCATCCCCACACGCTAAATTTACAGATGTATTTGTGGAATGAACTACCTGCCGAGTTTCTCGAGAGACTACAGCATGGGGTTTTTCAAGAAGGGTTGTTTTGTTATAAAGTTATTTTTCAGGCGTCCATAGGCTACGGTAACCGTTTACCATCAGATGGGCCGTACTTGTTTGCCACCTAAGTGGTATAAAAAAAAAAATAAACGATGTAAGAAGTTATCATTTTGATTCGTATTAGTTCAATTTAGATGTATTGTTAAACGGTTACAATTAAATTGTTTTGTTATAAAGTTATTTTTGAGTTTAAACTATTTACAACTGTAAATATTAAAAAAAAATCATCTTTATTTCCAATAATCTAACAATTCACGCGGACGAAATCTCGGGGAAACTACGGCAGTGTGGAATTTAACTTTCATATTCTAAAATAAAAGTAGCCTAAGTTACCCCTTTTTACATCAGCTACCTGCCAATAAAAGTCCCGTCAAAATCGGTCCAGTCATTTCAGAGATTAGCCGGAACAAACAGGTAGACAGACAAAAATTGTACAAAATATTATTTTGGTGTACGTACCGTATTTGATATTCATATGCATGTAGTAAAAAACGGTTATATCAATGTTACAAACAGACACCACAGTGCGGTTTTCTAGAAACTTCTCACCACGCACAACCACATTGTGGAATCACCTTCCAGCAAGGGTATTTCCGAACCGATACTATATTGAAACCTCAAAGAAAAGTGCTTATTCCTTTTTAAACGGCCGACAACGTACTTGCAATACACCTGGTGTTGCGGGTGCTCATGGGCGGCGATAATCACTTACCATGAGGTGAACCGCATGCTCGTTTGTCCCCTGTGTTATAAAAAAAATAAAGATGATTATTATTATTAGTTGTACAAAACTCAACTGCGTAAACTTGGTAACTCATAACTAAATTGCTATAAACACCCCACACTAGCGATGATTATTTTACAAGTAATACAAAAGACACTACCTTGGCTACAACTGTTGCATTCTGGAAATCGTCTTCTGTAGGGAACGTTGTAGTCTCCTCAACCTCTGTCGGAGTCTTGCACGTCGGTATATTGTACTTCCTTAACGTCTCATTGAACATTCGCGTCAAATTTGACTCGTAATCATACGTTAAATTCGATATAATATCTAGAAGAGCCGGTACGTCCAATGCCGATCCGGTTGATGTACAATTCGTTGATCTATCAGTTGTTGCTTGTACTCTTGCATATATGTTCATCTGGGTTGTTGTTTCATCATAATTTTCTGATTTAGAATTGTCAACTATAAATGTAGTAAATGACGCGTCAGTTATGGATGCACTAGTTTCTAACTTTACTTCAGGCAACGTATTAGCTTTAGATGATGCAATATCGTCAGGCAAATTAACAGTTTCAGTTGTTACATCTGTTGCAAACGATATATCAGTTACCAGAGGAGATGTAACAGGTACATCAGTTTGACGCGGCATACTGTTAGTTTCATCTGTCTCTTGTCTATGCACTTCATCTAAAGATGGAGTTCTTGTCAATGGAACCCAGGATGATCGACTAGGCAGAGTAAATTCTAAACCATTTTCATCTATTAATGTAGTAACATCAAGAATTGTCTGTTTATCGGTTGCAATGTCTCTTTTGACGTTGTTTATAAGTTCGTCTATCAAGTCATCATATATTTTCTCGTCTATGACTTGGAGTTTTGTTAACCCAGTGTATTGATCTTCAGTAACAGTATCTGGGCGTTCTGTTTCTGTATATCGACTAATGACTGTAGTGTCAGTATGTATTAATGTTAATTGATTGTCTATTTCTCGATCAGCGAGTATCTGTTTCAAAGCACCTGAGAATTAAAAATTTAAATATAGTTCTTGTGGACTTCATAGTGTAGTGCTGGATACTTAAAAGCTACTTTTTTTTTTTTTTACTTTAAAAAGAATGTACATAAATTTGAGTTGTTAATTTTGTCATAAGAAAATATACGATTTTATTTTACTCTTTTTTGCATCAATTTATTTTACAAGATGCAATAGCTTTCTGTACATGTATAAACAACCGACATATAAATATATATGTCCATACATATACAATATTATCCACCACAATAGTAATTTGTAACTTCCAACAAAGATATGAGGATATTGGATGTGGGTACTAGATATCTGATACGTATTTGTAAATTTTTTTTTCATAAATACATAATATACCAACCATAGACAATGCTGTTGTTTTCTCTAAGTGGCGAACATGACTTGCGGCATTGGAAGTCGAGTTTTTTTATCTCAGTTTTTGCAAACTTATTGAACTAGACATCCGATCCGAGTCTGCCCGTGTTGAATAATATATTTTGTTATATTATTATTATATTATATATTATTATATCATGCAACAATTCACACAGCGCCATCTAGTACCAATGTAAGCAGAGCTTGTGTTATAGGTACTAGATAACTGATATAAATACTTAGATATTTTTTTTTTCTAAATGATGATGATGCATATATAGAAAAAACCAAGATCGATACAAATAATTATGAATACAAATGTTTGATCCGTGCGAGGAATTGAACCCGCGACCATCGGACGAAAAGCACTATACTAAACCGCTAGACCACCGAGGTCGTCTAAAAAGATAAAGATGATATTCTAAGATCTGTTTACCTTTGACATCTTTTATTTCTTGAGGACTTAGTGTACGCGGGGGGGTGTTGTACCGCCTCATTTTGGAGAAATCAATGTCGTACGACTTGAGGTCTCCTGCTGTTGCCGGGATGACAGCTACACTGACGTAATAGAGAGATTTTAATATTCTACTGTTAGAGTTCACATCATTATTGTAGAGCTTTAGCTAGCTTAACTTGGGTCTAGATGGCGCTGTGTGAATTTTCCTGAGATTATTATTATTATTATTATTATTATTATTATTGTAGAAAAAATACGATATTTTAAAAAGATATTAAAAGAATGTAGTTTGTGTTTAGTACTAATAAAGTATCCAATGTAAGGATTATTACTAATAATACTTGTAAATAGCGCCATCTAGTATTTATAGACCGAACTACTACACTGACTTCGGTCTATAAATACGGAGGTCGGTAGTTGAATAATCCTCTTTCGTTGGGTGAACTGCGGCATTCAGTCGACGAGCGCAGAGCGCGCCGGTTGTGTTTTGGATACTAAAGTGAATTGTATTAGAAATGGGTTTATCCCGGTCTTAGTTGGGCCTGGGGGGAAGCTGCAAGTAGTGAAGGTGAGTGTTAATGCATTCTAAAAGGGCCTTTTAAACCTACACCCGTGTCACAAGTCACGGGCGCTACTTGGAGTTTCCCTTGCGGTAGCCGACTTCAAAGCTTAAATCGTCACCATTAATTTGTGCTTCTTGCACTACTATTGCAGCTCTTTGTATTTTAAGTTTTTTCTACAAAAACATTTACAAACTCTAATTGAAAAGAAATTGAAGAGTAATTTAAAAACCTTTTTTACAGACTATACTATACAGATATGACACTCTACTCGCTCCATCTTCGCACGAGTGTACATGTATTATATATATAAACCTTCCTCTTGAATCACTCTATATATTAAAAAAAAAACCGCTTAAAATCCGTTGCGTAGTTTTAAAGATTTAAGCATACATAGGGACGGACAGACAGCGAGAGCGACTGTTTTATACCATTGTGGCGAATCTACGTGTAGAGGACAGCGTGAAATAACGTAGAATAAGATCAATAATAATGTAAAATTAAAATACAACGCGTAATATCATATAGATAAGTTTAAAATAATGTAAATGAAACGAACAGTATGATATATGAAAAAACGAGCAATAATATATGTAAACAGTATTCAGTTATGTAAATATAAGCTATATGTTCAAATAACTATAACGAACTAGATATAAGTAATGTTCCTGTTATAGTTGTAGTATTCCACTATGGTTAAATGTAAAAATCGATGTAAGTTAAAGATAATTTACCTTATATTTATAAGAAATACTATTGTGATGATTATGTATGTGTACTTTTTAGATAGAGAATTATGCAAAGTTCACATGTAAATAAGAATTATAAGGGGGAAAACGTGTTACAGAGGTAATAACATCGAAAAACTCCAAAAGTCATAATGAAAATTAACTTTAGAATCGAGCTAAAAACACGGAGCTCACAATAAGGTATTGCCTCCGGAATACGTAACCAACGAAATTTGTATGAAAAATTGTCGCTTTCCAGTTTGTTGCTTGTTGAGTTTACCGTTGGTCGTGTGATCCTCTGTGAGACTCCGGTTCGCCGTCGAGTCTCCAGAGTGAGCCCCGCAACTGGTGCCCACTTGCGCAAACTGTTGAGAGCGATACAGTGCGTAATCCAGCTACACAAAGTGTACTTTGTCTAGCGAGAGAACGCGCTAGGATTGCAGACCGAATTTGTTGACGCAAATTCGTTGCTGCAATCCACTTGCGACTGTCTTACAGTGCGATCACCTGCCCTTTCAGGGCGGAATTCCCTACTTTTCGGTAGGTTCGTCGTGGGGTTCCAGCCCCCACACCACCCTCTTCCACCCCTCCAGTCCCCTTTCCTAGTCCATCACCCTTTCGTGTCGTGATGTCGCAAAGGGGCAAAGCCCCCAGGAAACCTCCTGACAGGGGAGCTCCCCGAACTGTTGTGCGTCGGGATCTGAGGAACCCGACCAAACTGGTCCCCGCCACTGAGCTGGGGACCTTCCACGCTCGCCCGGCATCCAAGGGTACCCCCTCTGCCCTCGCGGGAAGCGGCAATGATGCCGCCGACCGGGAACCAGGCAGAGGGGAAAGATGCGCGCAACCTGGCCCATCCAAAAGACGCGCACCGCCGTCGCCGACCTCGCCCGCTAGAGGCGACAAACGGAGGGACGTAGAGGAGTCCCCCCCCCGCGACCTCGACCTAGTGAAGGCGCCGCCGACGCCGAGAATCCGGCTCGTGGACAAGGGCTACCAACCCTTACCGTCCCAGTCGGGTACCGTGCGGCGAAAGCCCTCACCCCCTCCGCGCTCACCCTCCCCCCCGCCGGATAGCGGGAGCGAGGAGGAAGGGGAAGACAGGCGTTTTTACGGCGACGTACATGCGTCGCCTGCGACCTCGCCTGAGCCTTCGCCAGCACCCTCGCGTGTGCCCTCGCCGCTACCTCGCTCCTATACGCTAGATAGGGGCGAGTATGATGCCACGTCATATGCGGCACTTGAATCGGTGCCACAATCGCCCGAGCCGATGCTCCCCCCCGTCCCCTCGCCGCGACGACGAACCCCGCCGTCCTTTGCGGCAGTAGTGGCAGGCCCCGCCACCCCAACCCCCGCCACCACGGCTCCAGCCCCGCAAATGCCCTCACAGGGTAAGGTCGCCGGTACGGGCGTAGAACCCACCACAGGGAGAGGCAAATACCCCCCCATAGTGGTAGAACGCCTCCCTAACTGGACGCGCCACTTCGACCAGCTCAGGCGCGTCCTGGGGGAGGCTCCAAATGCACGACCCTTCGGCAGTGGGGTCAGATTCCTGCCAAGGACGGACGACGAATTCCGTGCCGTCCAAAGGTATTTAATAGAGGCCAGCGAAAAGGACCCAACAATAAGTTGGTACTTTTATAGTCTGGCCTCCGAACTGCCCACCAAGGTGGCGATAAGGGGACTCCCAGCCGACACGCCCAATGAAAAGATTGTGGAGGCACTGCAGGAGAAGGGGTTCGGAGTGCGGCTAGTGCGGGGCATACCCGCGCGTCGCGGCCGCCCCGGCTGCATTTTCCACGCCCAACTCGACCCCATGCACAGGGACGAGCTCACACGCTTGTACGCGACGGATGAGCTCCTGTACATGCGGGGCGTCGTGGTTGAGGCGTGGAAGCCGGCATCGGTGCTGCCACAATGCCACAGATGCCAGGCATTCGGCCATGCATCGGCCAATTGTCACCGGCCTGTAAAATGCGTTCGCTGTGGTGGGGAGCACCCGGCGGCGAACTGCGACAGGCCGCGTGACCAAAAGCCGACCTGTGCCAACTGCGCAAAGTCACACACCGCCAACGACCGGAAGTGCCCGGTTTATAAAAGAGAGGCCCGGCAGAGGGGAATCAAACCCCGTCCCCCCGTCCCCACTGCGACGTCGACGGCGCTCACGGCGCAGCAACGGCGGCGCAACAATCCCACCGCGGCGCCTCGTACATACGTCGCCCAGGCTCCCCCTCCCGTAATAACGGTCGAGGAAACCGCCGGCGCCAACCTAATGGCGCCGGCTAACGAACCGACGCAACGAGGCGCCGACGACGGTGTAACTAAAAAGCGCCGCCGCCGAAGACGCGGCAAGAAGAGGCGCGGAGTTGAGCCCGTGACGGCATCAACCCCAATCCCCTTCCTACCTGATCCCACCCCAATATTTGCGTACAACGCACCCCCCTCCCTTCCCATGCATGCCGTCCCAAATCAGGGCCCGCGTGCAGCGCCACGTCGCCGCCAGGCGGCGCCACCGGCACACAATGTGCCGAGAGTGGCATTCAAGCCGCTTTTGGCGGACGTAAGACGCGCACCTCCCGCGCCTCCCACATACACCGCATACCCCGCGCCGCGTTCGGCACACGCCGCGCCCGCGCCCTTCACACAAGCGCCCGTCGACAGAGCACTGAACATGCTTATTAGCCTGTTGACGGAGCTGCTAACTACGCTCGCGGCCGGCGCGGACACAAAGTCGGCGGCATTAAATGGATTGGCCAAAATCCAACAGTACACAAATGGCGGGTACTAGCCTGCGCATTGTGTACTGGAACCCCGGGGGAATAAAGGATAAAGTCCAGGACCTCCGTCTCCTAGCTCGCACCCAGGATGTGCACATCATACTCCTGGGTGAAACGAAGCTCACAGAAAAGGAGACGTTGAGGGTGCCTAACTACCACGTGTATAGACGCGACGAAACGTCACCGGCGGGCATTGCGTACCGCGGTACGGCGGTACTAGTCCGTCGGGACGTAGTCCACGTGGAGTTAGAGCGCCCCGAGTTCCGCGTCATGCGCTCCATAGGAGTCAGCATCAACGTCGACGGCGCGGAACTGAAGGTCCTGGCTGCTTACCGTCCCCCGGGACTGGAATTCAGCCCCTCCGATGTCCGGAACGTTCTGGATGGGAGGAGTCCCACCCTGCTTATGGGCGACCTAAACGCGAAGCACACGGCTTGGGGTTCCCGTCTGTGCTCGCCGATAGGTCGAAGACTCCTCCAGGATTCGCAGATCCATGGGTACGAGGTGTTGGGCCCAGCGCACCCAACCCACGTACCCTCAAATCCCACACATAGCCCAGACGTTCTGGACATTGCCCTAGTGCAGGCTGTGCCTTGCCCGGTCTTACTGGAGGTGCTGTACGACCTTGACACACAGCACCTCCCAGTTCTAGCCACGCTTGACCTCTCCACCACCACCACACCGACGAGACCGTCGAGGCGGCGGATGGATTGGCGTGTTTTTCGCGCAGAATTGGAGCATCTACACCTCGACGGCGAACCATCATCGCCAGCGGGTGTCGAAGCCGCCTCCACACTCATAACGGAGCGAATCCGCACCGCAGTGAAGGCGGCAACTACCACAATAAACGTGGCTTCTCGCCGTCGAGAGGAATTGCCACACCATCTGCGCGAAAAACTCGCCCGGAAAAAGAATCTCCGTCGCCTATGGGCCCGAACCCGTTGCCCGCGGGTCAAGCGTGAGCTCAACTGCTTGGCTGCAGAGCTGTCGGAGGGAGTGCGGGATTGGCGTGGAGCCGCCTGGGATGGTGTCATATCCCGGGCTGGCGAACACGATACCGACCTGCACAAACTCAATCGACAGCTCACCAATGCACGACCCCCCGTCTGCCCGTTGCTTGACGAGACGGGCAGACGTCGTTACGCAGCCCAAGACCGGGCAGAAATCCTGGCACAGCACTTGGAGGGGCAATTCACGGCCAATCCAATCGCCGCCGACGCACCCAGCACTGTCGTCGAGCACCACGAGCGAGTCGTACGTCGCGTATGCGATTTCCGTACCGCTCCGTCGCCGGACGTAAACGAAGTGAGCTTCGTTTCGCCCGGCGAGGTAAGGCGGCTCGTCAGCCGCCTGCCGAAGCGCAAAGCGCCCGGAGCGGACGGGATCAGCACCGCCGCGCTCGCACAGCTGCCCCGTAGAGCCCTAGCGTGTTTAGCTAGGCTCTACAACGGTATACTCCGGACCGGCCACTTCCCTACCAACTGGAAGTTGGGTAGAGTCATAGTCCTCCCGAAACCCGGCAAGGACAAGCGCCTGCCGGCAAGCTACCGGCCCATCACTCTGCTCTCGCACGTAGCAAAGTCGTTCGAGCGCCTCCTGCTCCGCCGCCTGAGACCGACTCTGTCGCCTCGCGACGAGCAGTTCGGTTTCAGAGGCGGACACTCGACGACTTTGCAGCTGACGCGCGTGCTCCACCATATGGCTGTCGAGCACAACCGCGGCCACTACACGGTCGGCGTATTTCTCGATATAGAGAAGGCGTTCGACCGTGTGTGGCACGACGGTTTGGTGTCAAAGCTGCTCGACACCAACACGCCGTCAGCATACGTGCGAGTAGTGGACTCGTTCCTCTCGGGCCGGAGCTTCTATGTTTCGGTCGAGAACTGTGACTCTACCACACGCCCAATTGCCGCCGGAGTCCCGCAGGGCAGCTGCATTTCGCCAGCGCTCTACGCGACGTACACAGACGACATCCCCACCTTGAGGGATGAGCTCCGAGAGGGAGAGAGGGATGTCGTCCTCGCTCTTTTCGCCGACGACAGTGCCTTCCTTACGTCGTCTCGCCGAGCCTACGCAGCCGCTCGCAAAATGCAGCGGCTGTTGGACCTGCTCCCCGAGTGGCTGGATAAGTGGCGTACCACCGTTAACGTGGGTAAAACGGTAGCGCTGCTTACCCGCCCCGGGTGCAAATGCCCGCCGCCCCTCTTACTGAGAGGCCAGCCCATACAGTGGGAACGCACAGTGCGTTACCTAGGGGTAGAAATCGACCGGTCGCTGCGTATGAAGCCGCAGGTGGACCGGGTTGTCACCCAAGCCAAGGCCGCGCGCGCTATGCTGCGACCGGTCTTACAATCCAGGCTGCAGCTGCGGACGAAAGTAGGCATTTATAAGACCTACATTCGTTCGCGGCTCACATATGCCGCCCCCGCATGGTACGCACTGTGCTCGGCCTCACAGCGGCGGAGACTGCAGGTCCAACAGAACGCCGCCCTCCGTCTGTGCACAAATGCCGGACGGTACGTCCGTAATGACGTGATCGCCCGCGACCTCAAGGTCCCATCGGTGGAGCAGTTCGTCGTCCGGTTGACGCGCGCGATGTTCTCGCGCGCGGACAGCGGGCGCGAAGCGCACCTGCGCGACCTCGCCCCTCTCCACGCGCGCCCACCGGACGCCACTCGCGCGCTCCCGCGCGACCTACTCTCCACCGAGTGATCACGTCATTTACGTGACGTGGCGGCGTTAAGCCGGCTCGGCGAGCGACTTATAGTCCTCTTACACGACTCCCTCAGCCGGCTGCTGGGAAGCAGACGGCTTCCGGCCGGCCGGCAGGCCGGCCGGTAAACGAACGACGCTGGGGTGGTATACCCCAGCAGTATGCCCGGGTAAGGAGCGTAAGCTCGGGGCCCGTACCCAGCGGTCCATATAAAGGATCAGCGGACGACCCGATAATAATGAAAAATTCACAGACGACATCCCCACCTTGAGGGATGAGCTCCGAGAGGGAGAGAGGGATGTCGTCCTCGCTCTATTTGCCGACGACAGTGCCTTCCTCACGTCGTCTCGCCGAGCCTACGCAGCCGCTCGCAAAATGCAGCGGCTGTTGGACCTGCTCCCCGAGTGGCTGGATAAGTGGCGTACCACCGTTAACGTGGGTAAAACGGTGGCGCTGCTTACCCGCCCCGGGGGCAAATATCCGCCGCCCCTCGTATTGAGAGGCCAGCCCATCCAGTGGGAACGCACAGTGCGTTACCTAGGGGTGGAAATCGACCGGTCGCTGCGTATGACGCCGCAGGTGGACCGGGCCGTTACCCAAGCCAAGGCCGCGCGCGCTATGCTGCGACCGGTCTTGCAATCCAGGCTGCAGCTGCGGACGAAGGTAGGCATTTATAAGACCTACATTCGTTCGCGGCTCACATATGCCGCCCCCGCATGGTACGCACTGTGCTCGGCCTCACAGCGGCGGAGACTGCAGGTCCAACAGAACGCCGCCCTCCGTCTGTGCACAAATGCCGGACGGTACGTCCGTAATGACGTGATCGCCCGCGACCTCAAGGTCCCATCGGTGGAGCAGTTCGTCGTCCGGTTGACGCGCGCGATGTTCTCGCGCGCGGACAGCGGGCGCGAAGCGCACCTGCGCGACCTCGCCCCTCTCCACGCGCGCCCACCGGACGCCACTCGCGCGCTCCCGCGCGACCTACTCTCCACCGAGTGATCACGTCATTTACGTGACGTGGCGGCGTTAAGCCGGCTCGGCGAGCGACTTAAACAGTCCTCCCACACGACTCCCTCAGCCGGCTGCTGGGAAGCAGCCGGCTTCCGGCCGGCCGGCAGGCCGGCCGGTAAACGAACGACGCTGGGGTGGCACACCCCAGCAGTACGCCCGGGCAAAGAGCTTATGCTCGAGGCCCGCACCCGGCGGTCCGTAAGGACCAGCGGACGACCTCGACTGACTATGAAAAATTAGCTTTCCAATTTGTTGCTTGCTGAGTTTACCGTTGGTCGTGTGATCCTCTGTGAGATTCCGGTTTGCCGTCGAGTCTCCAGAGTGAGCCCCGCAACTGGTGCCCACTTGCGCAAATTGTTGAGAGCGATACAGTGCGTAATCCAACTACACAGAGTGTACTTTGTTTAGCGAGAGAACGCGCTAGGATTGCAGACCGAATTTGTTGACGCAAATTCGTTGCTGCAATCCACTTGCGACTGTCTTACAGTGCGACCACCTGCCCTTTCAGGGCGGAATTCCCTACTTTTCGGTAGGTTCGTCGTGGGGTTCTAGCCCCCACACCACCCTCTTCCACCCCTCCAGTCCCCTTTCCTAGTACATCACCCTTTCGTGTTGTGATGTCGCAAAGGGGCAAAGCCCCCAGGAAACCTCCTGACAGGGGAGCTCCCCGAACTGTTGTGCGTCGGGATTTAAGGAACCCGACCAAGTTGGTCCCCGCCACTGAGCTGGGGACCTTCCACGCTCGCCCGGCATCCAAGGGCACCCCCTCTGCCCTCGCGGGAAGCGGCAATGATGCCGCCGACCGGGAACCAGGCAGAGGGGAAAGATGCGCGCAACCTGGCCCATCTAAAAGACGCGCACCGCCGTCGCCGACCTCGCCCGCTAGAGGCGACAAACGGAGGGACGTAGAGGAGTCCCCCCCCCGCGACCTTGACCTAGTGAAGGTGCCGCCGACGCCGAGAATCCGGCTTGTGGACAAGGGCTACCAACCCCTACCGTCCCAGTCGGGTACCGTGCGGCGAAAGCCTTCACCCCCTCCGCGCTCACCCTCCCCCCCGCCAGATAGCGGGAGCGAGGAGGGAGAGGAAGACAGGCGATTTTACGGTGACGCATGCTCGTCGCCGTCACCAGCGTCGTCGCCCGAGACATCGCGAGCACCCTCGCCACTACCCCGTTCCTACACATTAGATAGGGGTGGATATGACGCCACTTCTTATGTGGCACTCGAGGCGGTTTCACAATCGCCCGAGCCGATGCTCCCCCCCGTCCCCTCGCCGCGACGACGAACCCCGCCGTCATTCGCGACAGTAGCGGCGGGTCCCGCCACCGCGGCCCCCGCCACCCCAGCCCCTGCCACCTCAATTGCCCCGGCCCTCGCTCCGCCCCTCCCCTCTCAGACGAGGAACGCCGACGCAGGCGCTGAACCCGCCACAGGGCGAGGAAAATACCCCCCCATAGTGGCAGAACGCCTCCCTAACTGGACGCGCCACTTCGACCAGCTCAGGCGCGTACTAGGGGAGGCACCCAACGCAAGACCCTACGGCACGTGGGTCAGATTCCTACCTAGGACGGACGAAGAATTCCGTGCCGTCCAAAGGTATTTGGTAGAGGCCAGCGAAAAGGACCCAACAATAAGTTGGTACTTTTATAGTCTGGCCTCCGAACTGCCCACTAAGGTGGCGATAAGAGGACTCCCAGCCGACACGCCCAATGACAAGATTGCGGAGGCACTGCAGGAGAAGGGGTTCGGAGTGCGGCTAGTGCGGGGCATACCCGCGCGTCGCGGCCGCCCCGGCTGCATTTTCCACGCCCAACTCGACCCCATGGACAGGGACGAGCTCACACGCTTGTACGCGACTGATAAGCTCCTGTACATGCGGGGCGTCGTCGTTGAGGCGTGGAAGCCGGCATCGGTGCTGCCACAATGCCACAGATGCCAGGCATTCGGCCATGCATCGGCCAATTGTCACCGGCCTGTAAAATGCGTTCGCTGTGGTGGGGAGCACCCGGCGGCGAACTGCGACAGGCCGCGTGACCAAAAGCCGACCTGCGCCAATTGCGCAAAGCCGCACACCGCCAACGACCGGAAGTGCCCGGTGTACAAAAGAGAGGTCCGGCAGAGGGGAATCAAACCCCGTCCCCCCGTCCCCACTGCGACGTCGATGGCGCCCACGGCGCAGCAACGGCGGCGCAACAATCCCACCGCGGCGCCTACATACGTCGCCCAGGCTCCCCCTCCCGTAATAACGGTCGAGGAAACCGCTGGCGCCAACCTAATGGCGCCGGCTAACGAACCGACGCAACGAGGCGCCGACGCCGGTGCAATTAAAAAGCGCCGCCGCCGAAGACGCGGCAAGAAGAGGCGCGGAGATGAGCCCGTGACGGCATCAACCCCAATCCCCTTCCTACCTGATCCCACCCCAATATTTGCGTACAACGCACCCCCCTCCCTTCCCATGCATGCCGTCCCAAATCAGGGCCCGCGTGCAGCGCCACGTCGCCGCCAGGCGGCGCCACCGGCACACAATGTGCCGAGAGTGGCATTCAAGCCGCTTTTGGCGGACGTAAGACGCGCACCTCCCGCGCCTCCCACATACCCCGCGCCGCGTTCGGCACACGCCGCGCCCGCGCCCTTCACACAAGCGCCCTTCGACAGAGCACTGAACATGCTTATTAGCCTGTTGACGGAGCTGCTAACAACGCTCGCGGCCGGCGCGGACACAAAGTCGGCGGCATTAAATGGATTGGCCAAAATCCAACAGTACACAAATGGCGGGTACTAGCCTGCGCATTGTGTACTGGAACCCCGGGGGAATAAAGGATAAAGTCCAGGACCTCCATCTCCTAGCTCGCACCCAGGATGTGCACATCATACTCCTGGGTGAAACGAAGCTCACAGAAAAGGAGACGTTGAGGGTGCCTAACTACCACGTGTATAGACGCGACGAAACGTCACCGGCGGGCATTGCGTACCGCGGTACGGCGGTACTAGTCCGTCGGGACGTAGTCCACGTGGAGTTAGAGCGCCCCGAGTTCCGCGTCATGCGCTCCATAGGAGTCAGCATCAACGTCGACGGCGCGGAACTGAAGGTCCTGGCAGCTTACCGTCCCCCGGGACTGGATTTCAGCCCCTCCGATGTCCGGAACGTTCTGGATGGGAGGAGTCCCACCCTACTTATGGGCGACCTAAACGCGAAGCACACGGCTTGGGGTTCCCGTCTGTGCTCGCCGATAGGTCGAAGACTCCTCCAGGATTCGCAGATCCACGGGTACGAGGTGTTGGGCCCAGCGCACCCAACCCACGTACCCTCAAATCCCACACATAGCCCAGACGTTCTGGACATTGCCCTAGTGCAGGCTGTGCCTTGCCCGGTCTTACTGGAGGTGCTGTACGACCTTGACACGCAGCACCTCCCAGTTCTAGCCACGCTTGACCTCTCCATCACCACCACACCGACGAGACCGTCGAGGCGGCGGATGGATTGGCGTGTTTTTCGCGCAGAATTGGAGCATCTACACCTCGACGGCGAACTATCATCGCCAGCGGGTGTCGAAGCCGCCTCCACACTCATAACGGAGCGAATCCGCACCGCAGTGGAGGCGGCAACTACCACAATAAACGTGGCTTCTCGCCGTCGAGAGGAATTGCCACACCATCGGCGCGAAAAACTCGCCCGGAAAAAGAATCTCCGTCGCCTATGGGCCCGAACCCGTTGCCCGCGGGTCAAGCGTGAGCTCAACTGCTTGGCTGCAGAGCTGTCGGAGGGAGTGCGGGATTGGCGTGGAGCCGCCTGGGATGGTGTCATATCCCGGGCTGGTGAACACGATACCGACCTGCACAAACTCAATCGACAGCTCACCAATGCACGACCCCCCGTCTGCCCGTTGCTTGACGAGACGGGCAGACGTCGTTACGCAGCCCAAGACCGGGCAGAAATCCTGGCACAGCACTTGGAGGGGCAATTCACGGCCAATCCAATCGCCGCCGACGCACCCAGCACTGTCGTCGAGCACCACGAGCGAGTCGTACGTCGCGTATGCGATTTCCGTACCGCTCCGTCGCCGGACGTAAACGAAGTGAGCTTCGTTTCGCCCGGCGAGGTAAGGCGGCTCGTCAGCCGCCTGCCGAAGCGCAAAGCGCCCGGAGCGGACGGATCAGCACCGCAGCGCTCGCACAGCTGCCCCGTAGAGCCCTAGCGTGTTTAGCTAGGCTCTACAACGGTATACTCCGGACCGGCCACTTCCCTACCAACTGGAAGTTGGGTAGAGTCATAGTCCTCCCGAAACCCGGCAAGGACAAGCGCCTGCCGGCAAGCTACCGGCCCATCACTCTGCTCTCGCACGTAGCAAAGTCGTTCGAGCGCCTCCTGCTCCGCCGCCTGAGACCGACTCTGTCGCCTCGCGACGAGCAGTTCGGTTTCAGAGGCGGACACTCGACGACTTTGCAGCTGACGCGCGTGCTCCACCATATGGCTGTCGAGCACAACCGCGGCCACTACACGGTCGGCGTATTTCTCGATATAGAGAAGGCGTTCGACCGTGTGTGGCACGACGGTTTGGTGTCAAAGCTGCTCGACACCAACACGCCGTCAGCATACGTGCGAGTAGTGGACTCGTTCCTCTCGGGCCGGAGCTTCTATGTTTCGGTCGAGAACTGTGACTCTACCACACGCCCAATTGCCGCCGGAGTCCCGCAGGGCAGCTGCATTTCGCCAGCGCTCTACGCGACGTACACAGACGACATCCCCACCTTGAGGGATGAGCTCCGAGAGGGAGAGAGGGATGTCGTCCTCGCTCTTTTCGCCGACGACAGTGCCTTCCTTACGTCGTCTCGCCGAGCCTACGCAGCCGCTCGCAAAATGCAGCGGCTGTTGGACCTGCTCCCCGAGTGGCTGGATAAGTGGCGTACCACCGTTAACGTGGGTAAAACGGTGGCGCTGCTTACCCGCCCCGGGTGCAAATGCCCGCCGCCCCTCTTACTTAGAGGCCAGCCCATACAGTGGGAACGCACAGTGCGTTACCTAGGGGTAGAAATCGACCGGTCGCTGCGTATGAAGCCGCAGGTGGACCGGGTTGTCACCCAAGCCAAGGCCGCGCGCGCTATGCTGCGACCGGTCTTACAATCCAGGCTGCAGCTGCGGACGAAAGTAGGCATTTATAAGACCTACATTCGTTCGCGGCTCACATATGCCGCCCCCGCATGGTACGCACTGTGCTCGGCCTCACAGCGGCGGAGACTGCAGGTCCAACAGAACGCCGCCCTCCGTCTGTGCACAAATGCCGGACGGTACGTCCGTAATGACGTGATCGCCCGCGACCTCAAGGTCCCATCGGTGGAGCAGTTCGTCGTCCGGTTGACGCGCGCGATGTTCTCGCGCGCGGACAGCGGGCGCGAAGCGCACCTGCGCGACCTCGCCCCTCTCCACGCGCGCCCACCGGACGCCACTCGCGCGCTCCCGCGCGACCTACTCTCCACCGAGTGATCACGTCATTTACGTGACGTGGCGGCGTTAAGCCGGCTCGGCGAGCGACATAATGATTCCCGCCACACAACGCCCACAGGCGGCTGCTGAAAAGCAGCCGCCCTCCGGCCGGCCGGCAGGTCGGCCGGTAAAAGAACGACGCTGGGGTGGTTCACCCCAGCAGAATGCCCGGGCAAGGAGCGCAAGCTCGGGGCCCGTACCCAGCGGTCCAGTTAGGACCAGCGGACGACCCAATAATAATATGAAAAATTATTCCAGTACCAGTTCAGTATATTCCTACGCAGTACAGTATTATATATTCAGTTCAGTAGTTCAGTACGGTCAGCAAGTTGTAACTATCAAGAAATTAAACCAGTGAAGTAACCCTGGGATTTTATTTACCGGCCATAACACTACGGATAACTACTAAACTAACTAACAAACCTGCCAGATTGGGACCTAATCGCTTCTGTTCTTATACATTATAATAATAATAATCTTAGGACAATTCACACAACGCCATCTAGACCCAAGTTAAGCTAGCTAAAGCTTGTGTTATGGGTACTAGACAAATGATACAAATACATAGATATATATTTTTTTCGTAAATACATACATATTATATATAGAAAACACCCAGACCGACACAAACAGTTATACTCATGAATACAATTGTTTGTGTCGTGCGAGGAATCGAACCCGCGACCATCGGACGTAAAGCGGTGTGCTAAACCACTAGACCACCGCGGTCGTCTATGTAATGATTTGAATCTTTTTCAGGCCAATTTAGACTATTATAATTACATCTCTTAATAGTAATAGTACCTTCCTCTTCATAATGATCGTCGAAGTCATCATCGCTGCCGTCACCATCTTCAGGATCCTCGTATTGTTGGTACGGTGCAGCATTCTGGCACAAATATGTCGCAACCAGGAACAGAACCGGCAACATTTGAACCCGAAAGGAAAAACTCAGAAATTTTATATACAACTTGAAATTTTATAACATTATATGTATATGTTAAGAGATGTCGACAAAACTGATAGGTGACTGATGAATGAATGACAAGACGTTGAAATAGCAACGGTCAGTCAATTGCTGTTTCAGCAAAGAGTTTAGAAAATCTGTACCTAAAAAAAAGAAAGAAAATAGTTTATTTGGTACATAGTAATAATAAAAATATTTTTTAATTTTTAATTAAATTTTTTTTTACCAATTTTATAGTAGAATAGAATAGAATAGAATATAAAATCATTTATTCAAATAAACTTACATTGAAGCACTTTTGAATAGTCATCACATTTTTTTTTTAATCTACCGCTCTCTTTCGGAAAGCTGTCTCATCACGAACGAAGAACGAGCAGGAAACTTGTGTGTTGCTCTTTTAAATAATTTTATTCTTACTTTAGATTTTTAAGTTTAAGTGTGTGAATAGAAACTACCGATCAGCACTAATTCAATTAAATAATAAAATAGAAAAAACATTCAAAATGTGTATTGAATGTTTTTTACATATACATTACATAATATTATCTGCCGCTTCTTTTGTGGCGACATCCTTTTGGCCTTTTTTTATCTTCTATATGTGTACCATTGTTTTTTTTTATTATCTTATATATAAAATTCTCGTGTCACAGTTTTCGTTCCCATACTTCTCCGATAAACCCGCGGTAATCCGGCCCCTGTCTAATCCGGCCCCCCTTGTAATCCGACATTGTCTATTATTTGTTATTGAATATTACATACATATATAACATAGAATCTTATCACTGGATCTGTAATTTGTCGGATTACAAGATACTCTTTTGTAAAAAATTCCGGACTATAGGCAGAGGACCCTTAAGCAGCACTCTATAATCCGACAAAAACGATGGTCCGACACTGCCCTGCAAAACATTTGTCGGATAACCGGGGGTCCACTGTATATGTATATAATACAAAGAATCATCATTGGATCTATAATTTGTCGCATTACAAGGTACTCTTTTGTAAAAAAATTCGGACTATGAGGGGTCTTAGGCAGTACTCTATAATCCGACAAATTCGATAGTCCGACACTGCCCTGCAAAATGATTGTCGGACTACCGGGGGTCCACTGTAACTTTTATAAATGGCTTCCCAATGTATAGGCTTTTTAATCTGTGCCTGTTGTATTCATTCATTCATTCATTCATAATTTAAAAGCTGTGCTCTGGTCGGTGGAGCTCCCGCCACCTTCCACGATCTTCCATCAGTCCTTTTAGCTGTTGATACGACACGACTCCAACTTTTCCTTTAACCTGCTTGATATAGCTGTGTCTCGGTCTTCCCCTTCCTCTCTTTCCATCTATTTTTCCTTCTATAATGTTGTTAATTAGTTCGTCGTGTCGTATCAAGTGCCCAAACATTTTTCCCCTTCCCTGTTGTGTTGCCATAATAAAAATATAAACGTATGAATTTAAAATCACAGTCTATTAAGATTTTTTTCCTAAGTGTTGGATTGTTCTATCTGCGTTTATAGACATTATTATGATTTTTTTTTAATATCTTCCCCTAACCATATTTTTCATGACAATATTTTGAGAAAATATTGTAATTGCAATTAATAATAACGTTTTGATGACAAGTTGAAAACAAACGAATATAAATAACATAATTTGCGAAGCACTTTCGCTGCCGCATAAACGCTGTAAGAGCCGCAATCCATTGCAAAAGTTAGTTTTGGCCATAACACTAAATTAGCCCACATAATAGAGCGATGGCGGAAGCTGGCTGTACGAATTATGTTCCCTTGCCTCCAAATCCAAGCGACAAAATGGCGCCCGACTGTCTGGCGCCAAAATCTTTCCGAGCGAGCGACTTGAGAAAATCCTAAATACCTAATAGTAATTCAAAGAAAAATCGACTTTATTTACAAACTTATAAAATAGAATATTCTCTGTAACGAATATGCAGTTTCAGTATTGACTTTTCAATATAAAATCATGCGTTTTGTGCTACCACCGAATGCTCAACCAATGGGATATATACTTTAACGTTAAAAGATAGAGTTTATTTTCGTTTAGTTTTTGTTAATTTTGTTATCGACTGATACATTTTTCGTTGGCGGAGCTTTGTCTGGGTGGCGCCAACCCGCTGAAAGACGTTTGGAATGCATTTTGGACTTTCTCTCTTAGTAATACGGTTCATAACTTTATAATTTTAATGAAAGGCAACCCCTGAAGGGAACGGAGTTGAAAAGTTACATCCAGATTATACACAAATATATGAAGGTTGTTTTATTTCTTAGCTGCGTTCTTAATTCCAAAGCCGTAAGGTTGTAAATGCAACGTGAAATATTATATGCATATAAGAAATTCCGAAACTATATATTTACCGAATATAATCTAGGCAGTGATCAAATTGAATGAGTCATACATACATTATTCTATAAGCTATATCGAAACAAAGCAACATTTTCCCATTATGATTTCCATAAGACTTTTAGGCTAAACTTTTTATAAAATCGAAGTGACTATTTTTAATTTCAAATTAACGGATTTATACAAAATAAGTATGAAAGTATCTTAAATAAAGTTGCTGTCGCTATCTGTCCCTATATATGCTTAGATCTTTAAAAGTACCCACTGGATTTTGTTGCGTTTTTTTTTAATAGATAGAGTGGTTCTAGAGGAAGGTTTATATATATAATACATGTACACCAGGGCGAAGCCGGGGCGAGTAGCTAGTTAATATTATAAACGCGACAGTTTGTGTGTATGGATGTTTGTTACTCTTTCATGCATAAAACTACTCAACGGATTTTGATGAAACTTTACAATAATATAGCTTATGCATCAGAATAACACATAGGGTATAAATTAAAAAATATCTTTTTAATTTATACCCTATGTGTTATTCTGATGCATAAGCTTTATGTAAATTGGGTGAAATATAATGATAAATATCAAGTAAGTGTGATGCAGACGAAGTTGGGCGGACCAGCTAGTATTGAATAGAAATAGAAAATAGAAATAATCTTTATTCAAATAAACTCATTACAAGCACTTTTGAATAGTCATATTTTGATTCTACCACTCATTCTATATCATTCATCACAAGAAGAATGAGCAAGAAACTTGTGTGTTGCTCTTTTTTATAGATGTTTTTTATATTTATTTATTTATTTATTTTAGGTAATCAACAGCTTATACAATTTATAGACAATATATAGTATTACTTAGTTAGTAAAGCCAATAACAGATACTTCATGAATTTATCTTTAATATTAAAGTTATATTTAAATTGGTTATATAAAACAATACAGTTACACACTTAAACATTTAAACAGGTCAGAACCAAAGATAAAGAACAGGTAAGGGTAAGTACAATTAGTAAATCACGTTACAAATATAAATAATTACTCTAAATATATCAAGTAAGAGGCATGCGATAATCAACATAGAAATCGCTACGCACTCATTATTAGTGTAATCAGATAATATTGTCAGTGCTATGGATTTAAAGTTTTTCTATAAAAACATTATTATCGTTAACGAATTCTTAAATTTTATAGTAAGCTTTTTTGCAAAGGAACTATTTTATTTGACATTTAAATCTTTTTTCTAGCAGATTTATAACAGACTCTGGTATTTTATTGTAAAACCTTACGCAATTGCCATAAAACGAATTACTAACTTTAGCCAAACGACATTTAGGTAAAATCAGTTTGTTATTGTTACGTAAGCTTTTATTAGTGCAATCACTAACTCTTTTGAAACTGTCTATATTCTTCCTGGCATACATGATATTTTCATAAATGTATTGAGAAGCAACGGTGAGGTTGTTAACAGTATATACTAGGAGGCAAGTTCAGGGTATTTATTGACTGATGCATCTGTTTCGGTATGACACCTGTAGTTGAGAGGTCGATTGGGACTATTTTTACTTTTTGTAAGTGCCAGAATCGGGTTATTTCAGTTTGTAATTCTTTATATTTTGTTATTTTAATCACTAACTCTTTTGAATAAAATATTTTTTTTCCTTCTACAACATACACAAAATGTGTGATTAATTAGGTACCTGCCAATGGTTTCTATAGAGTATGGGACAGCTCATTTTAGGAAAGGAAAAAACTAATATATAAGCTGAATAGAGAAAAATTGTTTATTGCAAAATTTCTAAATATATAATGACAAACGAAAATACGACATTCCCATTTTTGAAAAAATGATATAGAAAAAAGAATTGTACAAACCTCAACAATGGGGTTTTTCAAGAAGGGTATATACATTAAAGTTACTTAAAGGTCCGCAAAAATGACGGAGAGGGGGTTGTTGGTAATCTGGATTAAAAACCCCATTGCTACCAATATTATATTATCCTACCTGCACCCCCGACTTCGTCCGCGTGGAATTTAACTTTATGTTTCTAAAATAAAATATTTTTCTAAAATAAAAGTAGCCTAAGTTACTCCTTATTACATCATCTACCTGCCAAAAAAAGTCCCGTCAAAATCGGTCCACCAATTTCAGAGATTAACCGGAACAAACAGGCAGACAGGCAAAAATTGTAAAAAATGTTATATTTGTACGTTACGTTAACGGTTATTTCAATATTACAAACAGACACTCCAATTTTATTTATATGTATAGATACCACCAACAGTTGAAGAGCACTTGTGTAACTTGTGTAAAGAGTAATTGTGTAATAAAACTTAGTATAAAAGGATACAATAAACTTATGAAATAAATTAGAGGAGTTTTCCCATAAGAGGGATCTCTTCCAGTCAGTGACTAAGAGGAGTTGTGAAGTAGTGGAAACAGGTCCAATGAATAATACGCCTCACAATGTAATATATACACAAACTAGCTTTTGCTCGCGGCCCGCGTTAATTTATCCCCTTAGGGGTGGAATTTATCAAAATCCTTTCTTAGGGGATGCCTACGTCATAATAGCTTTATCCATGCAAAGTCTCACCTCGATCGGTTTAAAATTGACAAAATTTCATCCAAACTTTCATCCCCTATTTAATCCCCTTGGGGGTAGAATTAATCAAAATCCTTTCTTAGCGGATGCCTACGTCATAACATATACCTGCATACCAAATTTCAACCCGATCCGTCCAGTAATTTGGGCTGTGCGTTGATAGATCACTACGTCAGTCGGTCACCTTTGAGTTATATATAAATAAATTAATGCAATTTTTTATCTCAGTGATGATAATGGAATAGAATAGAATAGAATAGAAAATAATTCAATCAAATAAACTTAATTTAAGCACTTTTGAATAATCATAGTTATCATTCTTTTAATCTACCGCTCATTCGGAATGGTGCATCCGCCTGCGCTATCGGTTTACGCTGGCGGGGCACCAGTGGAGGATGATAGGATGAACATGAGGTCAGGTCAGTTAGCCCACCGTGGTAAATTCACCGTAATTTTATCACGATGGTTTCCAGGGGGAGCCACGTGGAGGTCAACCTGACATGGTACATTGCTAGTAATATGGTTATTAGTCCACATTACTAACAATCCGCCCCTCCAAATTAATGTATTAGAGGAATTATAAAAGTGGTGCCAGTGTGGGAAAGGTTGAAGAGTAGTCTACCGTGGTATGGACATGTAATGCGTAGGAATGAAGATCATATCCTAAGGACGGTGTTACATATGAATGTGGATGGTTATAAGGGCAGAGGAAGGCCGAAAAAGAGATGGTTTTATTGATACAGGTACAGACGCATTACAAATTTTTATATTTTTTTGTACCTTCACTGATATTTTTATTTTCATCTCCAAGTATGGCACTTACATAAATACTTAAGCTATTCGGTTTCCCTCTCGCCCTCTAGATTTACAATCGTTATATTATGCTAATGTTACTGTCAGATAAGCGCCAGATCTATATCTGTCATCGACATAAAATTGATGATCTGTGCTGCAGACATGGCTGTATGGGCGCAGTTCCCTTTGCCTTTCCGTTAAAGGTTGAACAAAAAAAAATTGATCTGTCATTTGAAGTTTGTACTTCATCTGTTATTTTAAGTTTTTCTGTGCATAATAAAAATTAAAATCAAAACTGGGTATAAAAATGTAGTGATTGAAACTTTATTGTGTGATAGACATGACATGACGTGGCGTGGTGGACCGGTTCATTGTGCTCCCTAAAATATGGTACTACTTACTTCATACTCGTGAACGAGTGCTGCTTGTAGGGACTGGTCTGCTCTTATCACTTTGACTGATTTAATCTTAGTTGGTAGTTTGTATTCAAATAAATAATGTAAAGTTTATTTAAAAGTGCAACACGCAAGCTTCTCGCTCGTTTTTCTTGTGATGAGCTTTCCGAATGGGCGGTAGATTAAAAAAATAGATGATTAACTATTCAAAAGTGCTTCAATGTAAGTTTATTATATAAATTATTTTCTATTCTATTAATAAAAATATAGTCAACATAATAGACGATTGCGCCTGAATATCTGGTTTCTACAACACAAAATGTATTTTGTATGGGATATTATAAAGGGATACACTCAATAATTTGATATTGGACTAAGTCTTTGTGAATTCTCCATAATAGAAAGAAAGAAAGAAAGAAATAAAATATTTTATTTGGTATATAACAATAATAAAAATATTTTTTAATTATTAAATTACATACTGGTTTAATTCTTTTGTAGTACTATAATAGACTAACTAATCTTATTTCTTGCTTATAATCGTCTAGTGATACCAGCGCATACCGTTAGGAAAGACAGGGGCATCATTCCACACAAAAAAAAAACACTCGTATATAATGAAAAATATTATACCATAATTTCCACAATTTTCATTTTGCAGCGCCATCTAGTATCGAGTGGTAAAAACTCAAATAATACTGCATTTACCTGTTTACGCTACTTATTCATAGATGGGTTTGACTAGTTAATGTTTGTAGAATTGTTTTAAATAAAATTACAGGAAAATACGAAGAAATATGTTTTTCTTAAGTCTACATCTATCTAATGTTAACACCATTTTACTCATATGTACCAACCTATACAAAATTTATACGCAAACATTTTAATACGACAATGTATTTCTTGTTTTATTTACTTGTCAATAGATGGCGCGATTTCATTAAAAATATCTAAATTGTGAAATCAAACAAGTTATGTTTTTAAAATATTTATTATTAAATGTATATTTGTGTGGAAATAAAATACACAATAAAATATATTGTTCCAAATACAATAGAGTTTGATTGAATTTTTGTTCTGTTTAGCTTTTATATTTGTTTTTCTTTCCCTAAATCGACTAAAACGAGCTATTCAGTGTTCCTTACCATAAGATGAGCTGTTCACAGCGACCGAAGTTTTGCAATGAGAATTAAGCTGTATGTAAAGCTGTTCCCGTGACTTTGTCCGCGTGGAATTTAACTTTGTTTTTCTAAAATAAAAGTAGCCTAAGTGACTTCTTATTACATCAGCTACCTTCGAAAAAAAGTCCCGTCAAAATCGGTCCAGCCATTTCAGAGATTAGCCGGAACAAACAAACAGACAGACAGACAGACAAAAATTGTAAAAGAATGTTATTCTGGTGCATGTACCGTATTTATATTCATATGCATGTAGTAAAAAACGGTTATTTCAATATTACAAACAGACACTCCAATTTTATTTATATGTATAGATGTATAGATTAAAATGATTATATTATTAAACATGTATGTATATGTATTTACTTCCATTTTGTATTAATATATCCTAAAACATATTGGAGCTATTAAAAATGTAAACTCAAATAAACACAAAAAAAAGTTTATAAATTGCAATAAACAATTTTAAACAGTTTTAATTCTTCTCAAACGGATACTCAGGGTGTTGGATCCACATTTTGGGCTCCACGCTCCTGTACCCTCGGTCGTAGCTCTTCATGAGGTCTTTCTCCGGCTGGGTCAGCTCGAAGTCGAATACGTCGATGTTCTGTTCTAGACGGGACTTGGTAGTCGACTTTGGTATTGGTATCACGCCTAAATCCACCTGCAAATGTTGGAAATTGTTTTATTTATGTCCATTTCATTATTTAATAGATTTATATTTATAGGATGTATATTTCACCGGACATTAGGGGGCGAGTGCAGATGGCACTCCAAACCCGCGGAAGGTCTAATGAAGCGGCTGAAGGCCAACTGCTGCCTGACGGATACGACTTTAGTCTGAGGGCACCACTAGGGGTTCGAACCTCGGCTCAGGCCCTCGTAATTTCGATCCCCGTTTGAATTGGACGGGGGATCGATCGGAGGGGTGCACTTGTGTGTTGCTCTTTTAAATAATCCTTGTAAGTTTACATTTACAAATCGAAACGTGTGAATACAAACTACCAACCAGCACTAGTTTATTACGTTCAAATATAAAAACACAATCAGTCGTAAATAATCATGTTACAATAACAGCCCTGACTACTTATGTAACTGAAGTATTTTCACTCACCAGATATCTCAAAGCGATCTGCGGTACACTTTTGTTATATTTCTTGGCGATCTTCACTAGTGCTGGGTCATCCACCCGGGGTGGGGGCGCATTGGGTGCGGCCTTGGATGGGAACAAAGAACCGAAGGGTGTGTACCCAGTGACTGCGATGTTGTGCTCCTTGCAGTAATCACGGAGAACAGATTGTTGGAGGTTCAGGTTAACCTAAAATTATAAAAAAAAATTATAGGATCCTCGCTGTCACATGTGACGGCAAGTTGTAACCGTCACAGAACTCAACGTCAAGCCGAAACTGGAACAGGATTCAGGCCCCTCTTCACCACTGGGGTCCCAATCGATTGGGGCCCCCTAGTCTAGTCTAGTCCCTACTCCATTACCAAACGATAACCGATAGCTACTCTACTCTCGCCTGAAAATCAGTCTTAACAAATACTTACCGACTATAGAATAGAATAGAATAGAATAGATAATCATTTATTCAAATAAACTTAATTTAAGCACTTTTGAATAGTCATTACATTTTTTAATCTACCGCTCGTTCGGAAAGCTGTCTCATCACAAGAACGAGGAAGAAACTTGCGTGTTGCTCTTTTAAATAATAATGACACAATTGCCCCAAGTTTTCAAGAATTAAGACTAGAAATAGAAATAGAAATAATCTTTATTCAAATAAACTCATTACAAGCACTTTTGAATAGTCATATTTTGATTCTACCACTCATTCGGAATGCAGATTCATCACAAGAAGAATGAGTAAGAAACTATTCGTTAAACTATGAATTTAAAATCAAAATATGTCAACTTTGAAATAAAAATAATAATTTATTTATTTGCTCGCTGCATGGTAGTTTCGGATCTTATTAACTAATATAAGTACATGACATGCAGCATCCCTTACAGGTATGCGAATGTTCAAATTAAATCATACTCAATTTAAATATATATAACTCAAAGGTGACTGACTGACATAGTGATCTATCAACGCACAGCCCAAACCACTGGACGGATCGGGCTGAAATTTGGCATGCAGGTAGATGTTATGACGTAGGCATCCGCTCAGAACGGATTTTGATTAATTCTACCCCCAAGGGGATAAAATAGGGGATGAAAGTTTGTATGAAACTTTGTCAATTTTAAACCGATCGGGCTGAGACTTTGCATGCATAAAACTACTATGATGTAGACATCCCCTAAGAAAGGATTTTGATAAATTTCACCCTAAGGGAATAAATTAACGAGAGCGAAGCCACAGGCAAAAGCTAGTCACCCATAAGACAAAAAGTTATTTGTGCTCACCTCAATTTGCAGGGCAGCAGGTTTGACTTTGCTGTTCGAGATGAGTCTCTCCAATTGGTCCTTATTGAAGTTAGACACGCCGATGGACTTGGTCAGACCCAGCTGCTGAGCCTCGACCATCCCCTCCCAAGTGTCCAGGTAGTCTATGATCTCGAAGGTCAGGTTAGTCTGCAACCAAATTGGTTAAGTGTTTTTTCTGTTTATTCCTATTACTTACTCTTAAGTATATCCGGCACTGGGATGCAGGTGAGAAAAAAAACTAAATCAAAATTTTAATATATTAATCTTGTATTATACTAGCTGTACCCGTAACTTCGTCCGCATGGAATTTAACTTTAATTTAAAGTAACTAAATAAAATTTAATAACTAAAATAAAAGTAGCGTAAGTTACATCAGATGCCTGCCAATAAAAGTCCCGTCAAAATCGCTCCAGCCATTTCAGAGATTGGCGGGAACAAACAGACAGACAAATAAAAATTGTAAAAAATGTTATTTTGGTTTATGTATCGTATTTATATTCACATGCATTGAGTAAAAAACGGTTATTTCAATATTACAGAGAGAGTTCCTTTCGTATTTATAATATCCGGTAAACATGACAATATACTCACAAAATGCGCAAGGGGCCAATGTATCAAATAAAGGTCCACATAGTCCAGGTTCAGTTCCTTCAGAGACTGACGAAGTGCAGGCACCACCTCGTCCCTGGCGTGGGCATCATTCCACAGCTGGAAGCAGTGGGAAACATTGTGAAACAACAAGTCAAGGTTCTCATTTTATCTATACATGTGTAAGATCCACTAAATATACCGACGACCCAGACCTGAAGCCGGCCAGCGGAGAAGAAACTACAAGCAGCGCCCATTTCCTGCAACACCTTTCAAATTGCACCCTTACCACTTGCAGCTTCCCCCTAGGCTCAACCAAGTCCGGGACCCCAAACCCATCTCTAATACAATTCAACGATCAATCTTTGACGACCTCGGTGGTCTAGCGGTTTAGCACACCGCTTTACGTCCGATGGTCACGGGTTCGATTCCTCGCACAGCACAAACATTTGTATTCATGAGTATGATTGTTTGTATCGGTCTGGGTATTTTCTATGTATAATATGTGTGTATTTACGAAAAAAAAATTATCTATGTATTTGTATCAGTTGTCTAGTACCTATAACACAAGCTTTAGCTAGCTTAACTTGGGTCTAGATGGCGCTGTGTGAATTGTCGTGAGATTATTATTATTATTATTATTATAATTCATCCCAGTATCCAGAACACAACCGGCACGCTCTACGTTCGTCGACTGAATGACGCGGCTCACTCAACGAAAGAGAATCATTTGTTTTTTTTTCGGGCTACTCTAATGCTGTCCGCAGCTGGCCTTTACAGCTTCACCGGACGATAGAGAGCGAGTGCAGATGGCACTCCAAACCAAAGGAAAGACTTATGGAGCGGCTGAAGGCCAACTCCCGCCTGACGGATACGACTTTAGTCTGAGGACACCGCTAGGAGTTCGAACCTCGGCTCAGGCCGTCGTAATATCGATCCCCGTTTGCATTGGACGGGGGATCGATCGGAAGATCGTTTTAGTTTATTTATAAAAAAAAATATATTAACATCGTTTTTTACACTACGATGGTGGCAAACAAGCATACGGCCCATCTGATGGTAAACGGTTACCGTAGCCTATGGACGCCTGAAACACCAGGGGTATCACCTGTTACCGACCCTTAAGAAACCTTAATATACCCTTCTTGAAAAACTCCATGCTGTAGTCTCTCGAGAAAACCTCGGCAGGTAGTTCATTCCACAATCTAAGTGTACGCGCGAGGAAGCTCCTCTGAAGCCACACTGTCCGAGACCTTGATCTGGTTCTTTATGTTTATTATTATTTATCTTATTATATATATTATTATATTATTAATTACCAATTAATGCAATAATAAATATTACAAACTAATTTATGAAATCAATTAAATTCTAATGACAGGCATAATAAAATAATCTTTTTTTTTTAATTACAATTTAAACTTAGACAATATCGAAGTGTATGGTTTTAAACTAATATATAAATAGAAATAAAAATATCCTTTATTAAATATATTAAGCACTTTTGAATAGTCATTATTTTTTATGTTACCACTCATTCGGAATGCAGACTCATTACAAGAAGCTTGCTGAATTCATAAAACCTAAAACGTATGTAGATTAATTTATAAAGCTCTTTGCTGCCTGTAATGCCTGAAACTGATCTACCCTTTTCTTCCGGACTACTGTAATGCTGTTGGCCACAGCTGGCCATTACAGCTTCACCGGACGATAAGAGGCAAGTGCAGATGGCACTCCAAACCAAAGGAAGGACTTTTAGAGTGGCTGGAGGCCAACTCCCGCCTGATGGATACGACTTTAGTGGCTGGCCATTACAGCTTCACCGGACGATAAGAGGCAAATGCAGATGGCACTCCAAACCAAAGGAAGGACTTATGGAGCGGCCAAAGGCCAACTCCCGCCTGACGGATACGACACTAGTGGCTGGCCATTACAGCTTCACCGGATGATAAGAGGCAAGTGCAGATGGCACTCCAAACCAAAGGATGGACTTTTAGAGTGGCTGAAGGCCAACTCTCGCCTGACGGATACGACTTTAGTGGCTGGCCATTACAGCTTCACCGGACGATAAGAGGCAAGTGCAGATCGCACTCCAAACCAAAGGATGGACTTTTAGAGTGGCTGAAGGCCAACTCCCGCCTGATGGATACGACTTTAGTGGCTGGCCATTACAGCTTCACCGGACGATAAGAGGCAAGTGCAGATCGCACTCCAAACCAAAGGAAGGACTTATGGAGCGGCCGAAGGCCAACTCCCGCCTGACTGATACGACTTTAGTGGCTGGCCATTACAGCTTCACCGGACGATAAGAGGCAAGTGCAGATGGCACTCCAAACCAAAGGATGGACTTTTAGAGTGGCTGAAGGCCAACTCTCGCCTGACGGATACGACTTTAGTCTGAGGGCACCGCTAGGTTCGAACCTCGGCTCAGGCCGTCGTAATTTCGATCCCCGTTTGAATTGGACGGGGGATCCGTCGGAGGGGTCTGATGTATATAGCAGACGAGTATGTACAAAGCGTAACCTAAATTCAATGTTGTGGGTACGTTACCTTAGTGGTAATAAACAATTCTTCCCTTTTCACTGTGCCCTCTGCAATTTTCTTTTTGATAGCTTCGCCAATCTGTAAATAAAAAAAATATATAAACAGCCCGACTGTTTATTCAAATTCAAAATATATTTATTCATGACCTACATGATAATTTAAATTTTTATGAATCTCTGACACGGGTGCACCAATTTCATTCATTTCTTTCATTCGTAGATATCTAATTCAAAATTCAAAATATCTTTATTCATGTAGATCTATTACAGACTCTTATGATATGTCAAATCTACCGTCAGTTCGGAATGATTTCGAAATGAGAAGAACTGACAAAAAACTCAGCTCGTATTCTTTTCAAATAAATGTTGTACATGTTTACAATAATACAGATTCATTTAAATTCAAATTTGGGAGAATAGTGTGACCACCAGCATATACTATTGCAAAAACAAAAAATCTAATCAGTGTTCGCAACCTGAACAGACCAGTCCCCACAAGCAGCACCCGTTCACGAGTATGACGGATATATATACATGTGAAAGTGGCGGTATCAAATTGACCAAAATTAAAAGGTAATAAAGTTCTTCTAGCTATAACGTACAGGACCGGTCGTCGTGGTGATCTTTGGGGGAGGGAGGTCTTTGTTCATCAGTGCACGTCTTCCGGGCTGATGATAATGATGATGATGAGCTATAACTCTATTATTAAGGCATTATCGATTGTACGCTTTTATATCATAATAACTGTTCCCGCGACTTTGTCCGCGTGGATTATATATTTATTATTAAGTTTTATACATTATTTTTCTAAAGTATTTATGAATATTGTAACCAGACGCTCTGATACTGATTGTTTATTGAAATAAGATAAACATATATAATATAATTGCTATTAAGTATTAAAAACATCACCTGACCCTGCTTTTATATGTTGTTTTGCCATATTTTAAATCTTATATATAAAATTCTCGTGTCACAGTTTTCGTTGCCATACTCCTCCGAAACGGCTTGACCGATTCTCATGAAATTTCATGAGCGTATTGAGTAGGTCTGAGAATCGGCTAACATCCATTTTTCATCCCCCTAAATGTTAAGGGTAGTCCACCCCTAAATTTTATTTTTTATTTTTTGGACAACATTTATAGTTTCTATTATTTTATGATACAACATACAAAAATACATGCAATCCTAAATTTTCACCCTTCTATCATCAACCCCTATTTTTTTATAGCGTTATTAATTTATATGGCAAAACAACGTCGGCCGGGACAGCTAGTAATATATAAAATGGAGTCAGTTCCGCCGTCTGTACGCTCTTTTAAACTAGCTATACACGCGTCTTCGTCCGCGTGGAATTTAACTTTATCTTTCTAAAATAAAAGTAGCCTAAGTTACTCTTTATTACATCAGCTACCTGCCAATAGAAGTCCCGTCAAAATCGGTCCAGACATTTCAGAGATTAGCCGGAACAAACAGACAGACAGACAAAAATTGTAAAAAATATTATTTTGGTGTATGTACCGTGTTTATATTCATATGCATGTAGTAAAAAACGGTTAAATTTTACACTTAAACTTAAAAATGTAAAGTAAGAATAAAATTATTTAAAAAAGCAACACGCAAGTTTCTTGCTCGTTCTTCTTGTGATGAGACAGCTTTCCGAATGAGCGGTAGATTAAAAAAAATGTGATGACTATTCAAAACTGATTCAATGTAAGTTTATTTGAATAAATTATTTTCTATTCTATTCTATTCTTTCAATATTACAAACAGACACTCCAATTTTATCTATACATATAAATAAAATTGGAGTGTCTGTTTGTAATATAGAAATAACCGTTTTTACTACATGCATATTAATATATACGGTATATACACCAAAATAATGTTTTTTTATAATTTTTGTCTATCTGTCTGTCAGTCTGTTTGTTCCGGCTAATCTCTGACATGGCTGGACCGATTTTGACGGGACCTTTTTTTGGCAGGTGGCTAATGTAATAAGGAGTAACTTAGGATACTGCTATTTTAGAAAAATAAAGTTAAATTCCACGCGGACTAAGTCGCGGGAACAGCTAGTCTATATGTATTGTTAACTATCGTGTGACGCACCATTAATTAAAAATGGTAAAGTCAATATCATGTAACCTGAAACGGAACGTCAGAGGCCAGAGCCAAAGTAATCTATGTGACATTGACAAGTGGATGACGGATGATTGAACGTAAGCAGCGGGAGTTTTGGAGCGAAAAAGTTGAAGTGTTTATATTATTATAAAAACAAATAAGAGCTCGATGGCCGTTGGGGCAGTAAAGTCTTCGAGTGGCGACCATGGACCGGAAGACGCAGCGTGGGAAGGCCTCCAGCAAGGTGGACCGACGATCTGGTCAAGATCGCTGGAAGGCATTGGATGCGAGCAGCGCAGGACCGATCGTCGTGGAGATCTTTGTGGGAGGCCTATGTCCAGCAGTGGACGTCTTCCGGGCTGCGATGATGATGATGATGATGAGGTGTTTCTCTCCCTAAGCAACCGGCATTACGCCTAAGTCATCAGGATACTAGTGATTTTAAAAGTATATATATACTCAGGTCACACGCATGTGATGCCCCTGACATATCTGTATGTAATTAAAGACAATATCTACTGGCATTTGTGAAGTAATTACATGTGATTACCTCCTACAAATAACTAATAATGACGATTAGATAACTTGGATGTTTCTTTAGATATAACGATAACCTATGTTCGACCTTTATTCGAAGCAATCACTGCATATCATAACACAATTGTGTTTACAATATTTTTTTTTATAACACAGGGGACAAACGAGCATGCGGCTCACCTGATGGTAAGTGATTACCGCCGCCCATGAGCACCCGCAACACCAGGGGAATTGCAAGTACGTTGTCGGCCTTTTAAAAAGGAATAAGCTCTTTTCTTGAAGGTTTCAATATCGTATCGGTTCGGAAATACCATTGCTGGAAGGTGATTCCACAATGTGGTTGTGCGAGGCAAAAAGTTTCTAGAAAACCGCACTGTGGAAGACCGCCATTCATCCAGATGATCAGGATGGTATTTCAGTTTCTGGCGGGTGGTATGGTGGTGAAACTCAGCAGCTGGTATTAATCCGAACAATTCCTCAGAGCACTCCCCGTGATATTGCATCTCTGTGCATTTTCTACCGCATATATCACGGGCACGGTCTGTCACATAGACGTTGATTACCAATGATTCTGGCTGCTCGGTTCTGAATGCGGTCAAATGGAAGTTGCTTGAAGTGCTCCCGCCCAGAGATGAGAACAGTATTCCATATGCGGCCGAATCTGCGCCTTGTATAATTGCAAGCGATGGACCGCCGTGAAATACCGTCTCACTCTACTGAGCACACCAAGCTTTTTTGAGGCTATTTTAGCCTTGTCCTCCAAATGACCGCAAAACTGAACGTCACTGGATATATCAACGCCAAGGACCTCGAGATTTGGCTTCACATCAAGGAGAGTGTCTTGAAACTGAGGAGATACGCGCAAACTTGTGTCTTCTTGGGGTTGAATTGAACACAATTTTCCTGACCCCAAACCGAAACTTGGTGGAGTGAAGTTTCGATTTCGGACACAAGTTTGTTCCGGTACTCTATAACTTTTGCCTGCGACATATTAGCATGGCCGCTGTACAAGGCATCTCCGGTACTGTCATCCGCATAGCAATGAATGTTGTTGACTTGTAACATGTCATTGATATGCAGAAGAACACCAGCATTCACAGAGCAATATTTTTTCTCTTTAATTAATAGCCCGATCGGTTTAAAATTGAAGTTTCATACAAACTGTCGTCCCCTATTTTATCCCCTTGGGGGTAGAATTAATCAAAATCCTTTCTTAGCGGATGCCTACGTCATAACATCTACCTGCATGCCAAATTTCAGCCCGATTCGTCCAGTGGTTTGGGCTGTGCGTTGATAGATCACTATGTCAGTCAGTCCTTTGAGTTATATATTTAGATATCAGCTCAATATCATTCCGATATCATTCCTCTTTATCATTTCATTTCTCGATATCATTCCGAACTGACTGTAGATTTGACATACCATAAGAGTCTGTAATAGACCTACATGAATAAAGATATTTTGAATTTGAATTTGAATATAAAATTCTTCAAGTTTTTTTTAATTTCACGTTCTGTTCTGTTCTGTTCTCCTTACCTGCTGTTCTGTTTCGTAAATGCGCGCGGTATCGATGTGTCTGTACCCAGCATCGATGGCCCACTCCACTGCTTTCTGGACGCTGTCATCTTTGACAGGCTCCAGACCTTGTCCCTGATAAACACACAGTTTTTATTTAATCTCAATGCACACAATACAATATATGGTACAGTACATTTGGCGGACTTAACACCACGCGGCAGGGGGGGAAAGGTGATTGTTAGCAATGTGGATTTATGACCTCATTGTTAGCAATGTACCATGTCAGGTTGACCTCCACGCGGTTCCCCCTGGAAACCATCCTGATAAATTGCTACTGAATTTGTTACGATGTGCTAACTGACCTGACCTCATGTTCAACTTATCATCCTCCACTGGTGCCCCGCCAGCGTAAACGGTTAGAGCAGGCGGGTGCATCATTCCATTATCTACCACAAAAAAAAACACCATTTCCTACCAGGCAACCATAGGTGGTGTAAAGAATAAATATTTTATATAGGTACTGAAGAGGAGGTATCAAATGTGTCTGATGAGTGAGAGGTGCTGAGGGTTTTAATGAGGAAAATACGGAGATTAAATAAAATGCGACTAGTATGACAGCGATATATAATAGAAAGTGAACAATAAAGAATATGTCAAAGAATATTATTAGAAAAATTAAAAATAGTATAAAAACCTATCAAGGAGTTTGCTACAGGTACAATATAAATAACTTGATCAGTTAGGTGTACTGTTACAGAACTCTTTAGAGTTGTTAGAATGAATTACTTTTTTATATTTATTTGACATGTCTTTAAAAATGAATTTATCCAGTTGTATATTGTTTTGCCTTTGTACCTTACTATACCATTCATTGTAATTGTTCTAAGATAAAATAAATAATTTTCTATATATAGTTTTGTTTCGCCATCCTGATACCTAATCCTTCACATGTATATTTAATACTAGCTGTTCCCGCGACTGCGTCCGCGTGGAATTTAACTTTATTTTTCTAAAATAAGAGTAGCCTAAGTTACTTCTTATTATATCCGCTACTTGCCCCCCTCCCAGATCCCCCCTGCCCCTCTGCCCCCCTGCTCCCATCTAGGTTCTAATTTATACATATAAATAAAATTGTAGTGTCTGTTTGTAATATTGATATAACCGTTTCTTACTACATGCATATGAATATAAATACGGTACATACACCAAAATAACATTTTTTACAATTTTTGTCTATCTATTAGTTCCGGCTAATCTCTGAAATGGATGGACCGATTTTAAAGCGACTTTTTTTGGCATGTAGCTGATGTGATAAGAAGTAACTTAGGCTACTTTTATTTTAGAAAGATAAAGTTAAATTCCACGCGGACGAAGTCGCGTGTACAGCTAGTTTAAAAGAGCGTACAGACGGCAGAACCGACTTCATTTTATATATATACTAGCGGTCCCGGATAACGTTGTTTTGCCATATAAATTAATAACGCTATAAAAAAATAGGGGTTGATGATAGAAGGGTGAAAATTTAGGATTGTATGTATTTTTGTATGTTGTGTCATAAAATAATAGAAACTAAAAATGTTGTCTAAAATATAAAAAAAAAAAATTTAGGGGTGGACTACCCTGAACATTTAGGGGGATGAAAAATAGATGTTGGCCGATTCTCAGACCTACTCAATACGCTCATAAAATTTCATGAGAATCGGTCAAGCCGTTTCGGAGGAGTATGGGAACGAAAACTGTGACACGAGAATTTTATATATAAGATTTAAAATATGGCAAAACAACATATAAAAGCAGGGTCAGGTGATGTTTTTAATACTTAATAGCAATTATATTATATATGTTTATCTTATTTCAATAAACAATCAGTATCAGAGCGCCTGGTTACAATATTCATAACATTATTAGTCGATAATTCTACATATGTTGTTATTTTTTTTATGGATGACTAGCTGTTCCCGCGATTCGTTCGCGTGGAATTTAACTTTATTTTTCTAAAATAAAAGTAGCCTAAGTTACTTCTCATCACATCAGCTACATGCCAAAAAACTCGTATCAAAATCGGTCCAGCCATTTCAGAGATTAGCCGGAACAAACAGACAGACAGATAGACAAAAATTGTAAAAAGTGTTTTACTGAGGGCCCAACTGAAAATCAGCGCTGGAAACTATTTCCAGCATTATGCTGAGTTGTGGCCCACATTGACTCCGTTTTTTAATGTGTAAATTATTCTTGTATTTCTTATGTTATTACTGTAAAAACGAGTTAATAAAAATTCTATTCTAAAAATTGTATTCTATTCTTATTTTGGTGTATGTACCGTGTTTATAATCATATGCATGTAGTAAAAAATGGTTATTTCAATATTACAAACAGACACTCCAATTTTATTTATATGTATAGATGTATAGATAATGGAATGAAGCAGCCTGGCAACCTTGACTGCACTAATGGTTTACGGGGGTAAAATAAAATAGGAGATAAAAGTTTGTATAGATTTTCGTCATTTTTATCTATGGTTATAGGAAAAAGTAAAAACTCTCTTGTCTATCTTGAGCAACCGGACCCTAAGAGGCCTAATATTTTTTTTTTATTTATTAATTTTTTACGACTCTGCATCCTAACATAGAGTTGTCAACCGTCCTGTTTTCTCAGGACATGTCCTAGTTTTTGAAGTGTCTTGGGAAGTCCTGAATAGTTATTTGTTAGCGTCCTGGGTTTTTAAAACATGCGTCCTAGTTTTTGAAGTGTCCTGCGAAGTCCTGAATAGTTATTTGTTAGCGTCCTGGGTTTTTAAAACATGCGTCCTAGTTTTTGAAGTGTCCTGCGAAGTCCTGAATAGTTATTTGTTAGCGTCCTGGGTTTTTAAAACATGCGTCCTAGTTTTTGAAGTGTCCTGCGAAGTCCTGAATAGTTATTTGTTAGCGTCCTGGGTTTTTAAAACATGCGTCCTAGTTTTTGAAGTGTCCTGCGAAGTCCTGAATAGTTATTTGTTAGCGTCCTGGGTTTTTAAAACATGCGTCCTAGTTTTTGAAGTGTCCTGCGAAGTCCTGAATAGTTATTTGTTAGCGTCCTGGGTTTTTAAAACATGCGTCCTAGTTTTTGAAGTGTCCTGCGAAGTCCTGAATAGTTATTTGTTAGCGTCCTGGGTTTTTAAAACATGCGTCCTAGTTTTTGAAGTGTCCTGCGAAGTCCTGAATAGTTATTTGTTAGCGTCCTGGGTTTTTAAAACATGCGTCCTAGTTTTTGAAGTGTCCTGCGAAGTCCTGAATAGTTATTTGTTAGCGTCCTGGGTTTTTAAAACATGCGTCCTAGTTTTTGAAGTGTCCTGCGAAGTCCTGAATAGTTATTTGTCAGCGTCCTGGGTTTTTAAAATACGCGCGCCTCTTAATTATTGATTTTCAACAGTATAATTTTATCAAATACTTTTTATAAAAAACCTGATTATATTAATTACTTGAATTTTACTACATATTAATATAAATATTGCAACACTATTACTGCGTTCTGTTTTTAAACTGGATAGTCCTGGTTTATTGAAATTTCAATCGTGGTTTTTTAAATTTGGGCATTACAACCCTATTCTAACACATCTGTTCATAGACTTCGACTGATTTCAAGATGGCCACAGACAAAAAATTCTTTAAAAAAAAAACATACTCACTCCTTTAGCAATACCGAGCCATGTTCCCAAACCAAAACCTGGTATTTCCCTGCCATCATTTAGTTTTATTTGAGGTATACCACTACACCAGGCATTCTGTAAAAAAATAACTTTATGAGACAAAAGAAATGTGTCAAGTCTGATCACCATGCGTGAATAATAATAATCCTGGACAATTAGCACAGCGCCATCTAGTTCTAAGCTAAGCAGAGCTTGTGATATGGGTATTAGACAACTGATATAAATACTTAAATCAAAATCAACATCATCATTGCCTTGCCTTTATCCCATTATTTGTGGTCGGCGCAGTATGTCATTCTCTTCCACTGCTCTCTATCGGTCGTCATATCTGAACATACTCTTCTTTTATTCATATCATCTTTAACACAATCCATCCATCTTTTCTTAGGGCGTCAAATCAACATAACTTTATTAAAAAAATGTATAATTCCATGGATGATAATCAAATCTAATTCGAAATATCTTTATTCATGTAGGTCTATTACAGACTCTTATGATATGTCAAATCTACCGTCAGTTCGGAATGATTTCGAGATGAGAAGAACTGACAAGAAACTCAGCTTTTCAAATGAGCTTGTACATGATTACGAAATTATTGGTACACTAGCCGCGCCCGCGGTTATACTCGCGTGAAATTTATACCCTATGTGTTATTCTAATGTGTAAGCTATATTATTGTAAAGTTTCATTCAAATCCGTTCAGTAGTTTTTTCGTGAAAGAGTAACAAACATCTATACAGTAACAAACTTTCACGTTTAGAATATTAGTTCTTTTAATAATATATTTTAGTTATTGTATTATATTTTTTACTACAAAATAAAGTCGCTGTCGCTGTCTGTCCGTCCCTATGTGTGCTTAACGGTGTTATTCATAAAACTTAAGAAGCCTTTATAAGCCCACTAAAACAGAGCTATAAAGGCTTTATAAAAATCTCTATAAATCTTTAAAACTACGCAACGGATTTTGAAGCGGTTTTTAAAACATAGAGTGATTGTAGAGGAATGTTTATATATATATAATACATGTACACCCGTGCGAAGTCGTGGCGAGTAGCTAGTTAGTAATATAATAATATTAGCTTAGATGTCTAATTTAAAAATGAATCTGTATTATTGTAAACATGTACAACATTTATTTGAAAAGAATACGAGCTGAGTTTCTTGTCAGTTCTCATCTCGAAATCATTCCGAACTGCCGGTAGATTTGACATATCATAAGTCTGTAATAGACCTACATGAATAGAGACATTTTGAATTATATATTAAACTAGCTGTTCCCGCGACCTTGTCCGCGTAGAATTTACTTTATTTTTATCTTCTTCCCTATTACATCAGCTACCTGCAAAAAAATCCCGTTAAAATCGGTCCAGCCAGTTCAGAGATTAGCCTTAACAAACAGACCGACAGACAGACAGTCAAAAATTTTAAAAAGTGTTTTTTGGTGTAAGTACCGTATTTATATTCATATGCATGTAGTAAAAAACGGTTATTACAATATTACAAACAGACACTCCAATTTTATTTATATGTATAGATGTATAGATAAGGATTTGTTTATACTTACATTTATAACTGCCAAAGTGTAGAGGAATAAAACACTCACGATCTTCATGTCTAAACCTGTCGAGGTCTCCCCGCTAACTGTGCGCAAACTGTAGATGGGTATGTGAACTTTAGTTAAATCTCTCACGCTTTACGAGTTAACATAACATAGATGTTTATATTACCAGATGAGTAAATAGGCATTCACAGTTAATGTTTAATCTAATTGTTAGTTATAGTACGCAATATGTTAACTAGATTTAAATTATTAACCGGGTCTTAACACGAATAATTTTATGACAAATAAGCCGTGGTCAGCTCATGACCACGGCTAGTGCAACCTGGTCGAAACGTCGAAGAGGTAAATACCTTTATTTGCCATAAAATTATTCGAGTTAAGACCCGGTTAATAATTTAAATAATGTATATTAAACACGCAAGTTTAAAATTAACTATGTTAACTAGATGTTGCTGTAACCCGCTCGCTGTATCCCCTTAGGGGTGGAATTTATTAAAATCCTTTCTTAGAGGATGCGTACGTCATAGTCTCATAGCTTTATGCATGCAAAGTCTCAGCCCGATCGGTTTAAAATTGACAAAGTTTCATACGAACTTTCATCCCCTATTTTATCCCTTTGGGGGTAGAATTAATCAAAATCCTTTCTTAGCGGATGCCTACGTCATAACATCTACCTGCATGCCAAATTTCAGCCCGATCCGTCCAGTGGTTTGGGCTGTGCGTTGATAGATCACTATGTCAGTCAGTCACCTTTGAGTTATATATATTTAAATTGAGTATGATTTAATTTAAACATTCGCATACCTGTAAGGGATGCTGCATGTCATGTACTTATATTAGTTAATAAGATCCGAAACTACCATGTAGCGAGCAAATAAATAAATTATTATTATTTCAAAGTCTACCTATTTTGATTTTGAATTCATAGTTTAACAAAGAGTCTAATTCTTGAAAACTTGGGGCAATTATGTCATTATTTTATTTTATCCCCTGTGGGGTGGAATTTATCAAAATCCATTCTTAGGGGATGCCTACGTCATAGTAGCTTTATGCATGCAAAGTCTCATGACTATGCCAGTTATATATATTTAGAAGTAATACTAGCAGACTCGGCCACGCGTTGCTGTATCTAAGGTTCTTGTATAAAATAATATTATGACTATAAATTGAGATGTAAGCTATCCTATCTTTCAAGTTGGATCAAATTGCACACAATGTGCAAATCAAATTTGCAATCGGTTCAGTAGTTTAGAAGTCCATCGCGGACAAACAACGTAATTTTTATGTACAAAGATTAAGTAAAAAGTTAATAAGGTATTTAGGTAGATTATGTTCAGTTAGCAATGGCCTTCTGCGAGGCATCCATTCTTTGATTCCGTTTTAGACTACCTATTAGCTGCGGCTTCGACCGTGTGTTTTTTTTTATTATTATTAAATAAAAAAAACATGTAAAAGAAATGTAGTCATTATAATATTAGCTATCTGTGAACGAAGGTCCCGTCAAAATGGGTTGCAACCTTTTCAGAAATTGGTAAAAAATGGATTAACATTTTTTTTTAAATTAAAATTAGTAGAATAGAATAGAATAGAAAATCATTTAGTCAAATAAACTTACATTGAAGCACTTTTGAATAGTCATAACATTTTTTTTTAATCTACCGCATATTCGGAATGCTGTCTCATCACAAGAAGAACAAGCAAGAAATATCGGTCATAATCGGTCGTTTGCCGTTTCAGAGAGTATAAAAAACAAACAGACAGAAATACAGCCAAACATTTTTTTTAATATATTTTTATCTGTCCCGGCAAAAATTGTTTTGTCATATAAATTAATATCATTATTAAAAGATAGGGGTTGGTGATAGAAGGGTGAAATTTAGGGTTGTATGTATTTTTAATGCAACATTATAAAAAAAATGTCCTAAAAGAATAAAAAATATGTGTCACTTAGGGGTATAAAAAATAAATAGTAGCCGATTCTCAGATCTACCGAATGTGCATATGAAATTTCATGTGTGCTGAGACAGCATTCCGAATGAGCGGTAGATTAAAAAAAAATGTTATGACTCTTCAAAAGTGCTTCAATGTAAGTTTATTTGAATAAATGATTTTCTATTCTATTCTATTATATTCTATTCTACTAAAACTGGACAATGCTATGTACTAGATCAACATTCATCGGTTTTCACAGCGGATGCATATGCAATTTTTAAAGCTTTGAAATATGTACAAGACATAGAAAATTCAAGACGATTTCTCATAATAACGGATTCTCTAAGTGTATTGACATGCTTAGGTAATTATAAAATAAGCTACAAAGATAATTTATACAGTTACTTAATAAGAGAAATGTTACATGACATATAATAAATTGTACAAAGTTATAGAGTTCATGTGGGTTCCATCTCATGCTGGTATTACTGGAAATGAAGTTGTAGACAGAATGATTAAGATTAATGAACTGGATTGTCATTTGGATTTCTCGCCAGTGCCAATAACTGACTACAATGCATTAATTAACAGAAGGATGTTTAGTAATTGGAATAGAAAATGAGCAGAAACCAAAATAATAAAAGGAAAATGGTATGCTGATATACAGAAAGAAATTTTTGGAAAACCAAACCATATCAAATTAAAAGAACCATCTAGAAGATACATTACAACGATTAATAGAATTCGTATGGGACATGGGCAGTTTCCGGCTCATTTGCATAGAATAAAATTGAGATCTTCTTCGACTTGTGACTACTGTACAGCAGAAAATGCAGATCTACAACATATTATAATGGAATGTCCAGCATTTGGTTTGCAGAGACTTATTTTGATAGATGGCTTAATAAGTTTATATAATAAAAAAGAAGTACCCCGCCTCTTGCCATCTATCCTACAAAATACAGAAAGTTATCCATTTTTCTATGACTTCATACACAATACTATAAGAACGCTATAGATGTAATTAATTAAATAATTAATACAATACATCACAGAAGACCGAAGAGCTGGCAGCTACCTTGGACAAAGAATTAGTCTAGCCATTCAAAGATGGCTATCTAACCTTGCCTAAAGGGACAATAATATATTTTAGTCATCATATTATATTTTTTTATTTTTAATTTTAGGTTCTTAGTTGTACAATTCATTATGTAAATACTATAAGAACGTTATGACAAGTATGTCACATTAATTATTTGTATTAATTAATTGTTAAATAATTAATAAAATAAAAAAAAAAATTAAAAAAATTCGCTATTTTGATGTCGAATATGCACCACCCTCGAGAAGGCTGATTGAAGCTGATAAATAAAGACAAAAGAATATATATAAGATATTGCAGACTAGCCCTAAAGTTCGTAAGGATGCGCGTTTTAGTGAAACTTTTTTTTTTATAACACGGGACAAACGAGCATGCGGCTCACCTGATGGTAAGTGATTACCGCCGCCCATGAGCACCCGCAACACCAGGGGAATTGCGAGTACGTTGTCGCCCTTTTAAAAAGGAATAAGCTCTTTTCTTGAAGGTTTCAATAATATATTTTACCATTGTGATTCCATATATTTTTTAAGCTTTTTAAAAACCGCACTTTAAGACCGCCATTCATCCAGATGATCAGGATGGTATTTTAGTTTCTGGCGGTGGTATGTAAATACAGCTGGTATTAATCCGAACAATTCCTAGAACAACTGATATATGCGACAGAAAATGCACAGAGATGCACATTAATAGTGGATTTGAGTCTGTCAATTACAAACAGACACTTTGATTTTATTTATTTGTATATAGATTACTAGCTAGATTTCGCGAGTGTACACGTAATATATTTAATCCTAATAAAAAATAGAGTATCAAAAAAACGCTATTTTGATAGTTTTAAAGATTTAAGCATACATAGGAAATAGAAATAGAAATAATCTTTATTCAAATAAAGATTACAAGAATATATATAGTCATATTTTGATTCTACCACTCATTCGGAATGCAGATTCATCACAAGAAGAATGAGCAAGAATAAATGTTTTTTTTTTATATATTATATAAAAAAAAAATTACAGTATAACAAGTAAGAGGCATGCGATAATCAACATAGAAGTCGCTACGCACTCATTATTAATGTAATCAGATAATATTGTCAGTGGATATGTCTATGGATTTAAAGGTTTTCTATAAAAACATTATTATCGTTAACGAATTCTTCAATTTTATAGTAAGCTTTTTTGCAAAGGAACTGTTTTATTTGACATTTAAATCTTTTTTCTGAAGATTTATAACAATATCGTATTTTATTGTTCGGAATTGCCATAAAACGAATTACAACTTTAGCCAAACGACATTTAGGAAAATCAGTTTGTTATTGTTACAATGTGGTTTAGTGCAATCACTAACTCTTTTGAAACTGTCTATATTCTTTCTGGCATAGATGATATTTTCATAAATGTATTGAGAAGAACGCCATTCATCCAGATGATCATACCATAAATGGATGGTATTTCAGTAAATATTGTATTTATATCAGGCTTTGGTACAAAATACCATACGAAATGCTAGGAAATAGCTAAAATAGACAAGTATTAATCGTCTGTTAATTGTCAATTCTTCTCATAAGCGGCAGAACTAAGTCGTGATATATATGAGAAAATGCAACAGAGATGCAATATACTAGAAATACAGTATCGTCAACAAAATTAATAGATTTATTGTCCAATACGATTTTTGAATCTACCGGCCTTACAAACAGACACTTTATTTTATTTATTTGTATATAAACCATTTTAAAACATAAGAGAGAGAACCGTTTACTTCGTCCATATCATCAATATGTCGATTGACTTTGAATACTAATGAAGTATCATCAGCAAATAAAACTATGTCAGCTATCTTTTCTACCATATAAGGAAGATCATTTATTAAACTAAAAATAAGAAAGGACCCAGAATAGAGCCCTGAGGAACACCCATTTTAATACTAGTTCCCTCAGACTTTACACCATTTATTTCAACAACTTGCATTCTATTATTTAGATAGGATTTCATCATCAGGATTTCATAGGGACGGACAGACAGCGACAACGATTTTGTTTTATACTATGTAATGATAATCAACATTGAATATTCCGAACAGGTTCTGTATTTATTTCTGTATCACCATTTAACATCAAGCCGTAGACCTCTCGCCCGTACTTAGGGTTGCCAACTTTTTTTGACAAAAAAAAAATTTAAAACTCATTTGGTTAGGAAAAAAATAAAGTATTAGGAAAAAAAGTATTTTTCAATTTTCATGTTTTTATAGTTGACACTAGCTGTTCCCGCGACTTCGTCCGAGTAAAATTGAACTTTTTTTCTAAAATAAAAGTAGCCTAAAGAACTAAAAATTATTATGGTTGGCTTAATTTATTCGTTCCATTAGGTACTGATAGGTTCAGACTAATACATTTACATCCTGCATCATCCCTTATTTTATCCCCATGGGGATTGAATTTATTAAAATCCTATTTAGGCGAACGGTTTCATCATAGTAGCTCCAATTTTTAATTTCAGTTCAATCAGTCGAAAATCTAAGAAGATTTATACAAATATTCATCCCCTATTTTATCCCCTTAGGGATGGAATTTATCAAAATCCTTTCTTAGGGGATGCTCCAGCCATTGGGAGTGGTAAGTCATAGTAGCTTTATGCATGCAAAGTCTCAGTCCGATCGGTTTAAAATTGACAAAGTTTCATACAAATTTTCAACCCCTATTTTATCCTCTTGGGGGTAGAATTAATCAATATCCTTTCTTAAATCATAACATCTACCTGAATGCCAAATTTCAACCCGATCCGTCCAGTGGTTTGGGCTATGCGTTGATAGATCACTATGTCAGTTACCTTTAAGTTATATATATTTAGATTACACATACACAATTTCCACTCCACACACTTCCCAGTTCTCTTGCATTCGTCCACCGTGGGGAAGACGCACCGAAATACGGGATGCGCCTCCCCCCCCATCACGACTCCTTTTGTATGGACGGCAGATTTAAACCTTAGACTGCCGCCCACACAGAACCGCGCCTTCTCCACGTCCGGAGAAGAGTAGAGTCATAGCAGGAGCGGGCCACCAACGCGACGCTTAACTGCCAGGACGGGCCCCACCGGGGCCCATTGTCCCAGCCTGCATCGCCCCTCTTCGCCGGACTATCGGCCGACATAGTAGCAATATCCCGAATGAACTACTACTATCCCAATCAGGGTGTACCAGAACCATTGCGCGGCCACCGTTTCCCGCGGACGTATCCACGAGGATGGGGAAACCTCCCAATGGCTGGAACATACGAGGAGGTTGTCCGACCTCACGCCCCCACGTCCGCCTTTATGAAGGGGTGCACACGAATACTGTGGGACTCGGCTCACCAAAACCCCACGGTGTTCCTCCGAAGCCAAAGACGAGTTCGTGTGGATTGGCATTGCATTCCACCGCACTCTGGCCGGGGGTCTCCAGTGAAGGAGCCGCCGTAGTTAGGCGCCCCACGCCACTCCGTGCCCAAACTCTACGGATCACTCGCCTCCTGGGAACCTCGGATGCCTACATCCTCCGCTTTGAGAATCCAATTTGGGGCTTCGGGTGGAAAATACACCTTCCGCCCCCCATGGTTGGCAACCCTTTTTTTTTACTTAGAGAAAATCCCTCATGGAGACCCGCCCGCCCCGGGGGAGGCAAGCGGGTGAGACTCCTACTCATTAAAAACTCCAAGGTATCCCGACGAAGCGCCTATAGCTGGAGTCGCGGGATAGAATGTCAGTCCACCGCAACTCCGGCGGCGTCGACCCAGTTTAGTTTCGTTTTTACCCTTCCCTACCCTTCCTACCCTTCGTTTTTATTTTGGGGGGTCCACCTCTCTTGAGAAGACGCCACCATGCGCTCCTCCACCTCAGATCGCTTTGGATGGAGCAACCCTTATTGGGCGGTGACCATCCTGCATGTTTGGCAACCCTTTTTTTTTTTTTTTTTTTTTTAACGAGTCACACCGAAACGTCCGCCTTTATGAAGGGGAGCGGACGAATACTGAGGACGACCGACCCACCAAAACCCCTCGCGTTCCTCCTCACGAAAGACGCCTTCGTGCGGGTTCGCATTTGCATTCAACCGATGGCCGCGGGTCTCCAGTGAAGGAGCCGCCGATTGGGCGCGTCCACGTCCACTCGCCTCCTGGGAACTTCGGATGAACATGTTTGGCAACCCTAGCCGAACTCTGTCCATTATATATATTTTTACATTAGATCTCCTTAACTGGTCACTACAATTATATGTTTTATAATAAAAAGCCGACCTTGTTAAGTTTTTAGTTCACTTTTTATATCTACATGCCAATATTTTTTTAACCATAGACACAAAATTGGTAGAAATATTTTTTTTCCGGTATAATTATATCGTGAGCTGTGTTTGCTGAAGGAATATTGCTGTTTGTGATTTTATAAAATAATATTGTAATGAATTAAGTAATTTATATAATCGTTTTGTATTTTGTATACTATATTTACAACTAGCTGTTCCCGCGACTTCGTCCGCGTGGAGTTTAACTTTATTTTTCTAAAATAAAAGTAGCCTTAGTTTTATTACATCAGCTACCTGCCAAAAAAAGTACCGTCAAAATCGGTCTAGCCATTTCAGAGATTAGCCAGAACAAACAGACAGAAAGACAAAAATGTTATTTTGGTGTATGTACCGTATTTATTCATATGCATGTAGTAAAACGGTTATTTCAATATTACAAACAGACTGTTCAAAATTATTTACCATCGCGCCATTTATAAACATATCAATAGTCCGTTAGTTTGTGTTCCCACGGTTTCGGTTCCCCTCCCTTACATACAGTCATTTTAGTAACTGACCGTAAGTTCTTGACGCGCGCGCGCATTGTGTAAGAACGAAAATAAATATGAAACTGGATCGTTAAACCTACTTGTGAAACAGGAACAAAGGTGTAAAAATTTTCATATCAAATTCGTTATTTTAGAAACTCCAGATTTTCATATATTGTACGTGACAGACGTTTATATATTTTTGCTATATATATACATAGTGTGGTTCCAACATTTTGGTAGCAGAGAGACCCCACAAACAAACACTAATTTTTTAAATAAACTTTCGCGCCATTTATAAACATATACATACCGTGGCAGATTGCCGTCTTCATCCGTGATCACACAGACAATATCATTGTACGAGTTTTTAAATATTATATAATGATGACATGTTAGTCTATAAGGTCCGCTTTATAATATGAATTAATATATTAGAATATTAATAATAAGTAACTTTGTGTGCCTGTGATAAAACTTAGTATCCATCTAGTGCAGCAGCTGTAAAGTCGAAGGTACGTACTGTGCACCTTTTCATTTCCATACAGTCCACTTACTATATCCGCTATCCTTTTCTCCATATATGTATAGATAATGTAATGGAAAGAGCTACAGATTTACATCCACCACCATCTCCAGTTGAAATATTTGTTTGTTTTGTTTTCAATTTTGCGGTCGGGAGGTATGTAATACTGAAATAACCATTTTTTACTACATGCATATGAATATAAATACGGTACATACACCAAAATAACATTTTTTAATATTTTATACAGATAGGCAATCTGTCTGTTTGTAGCGGCTAATCTCTAAAATGGCTGGACCGATTTTGACGGGACTTTTATTAGCAGGTAGCTGATGTAATAAGGAGTAACTTAGGCTACTTTTATTTTAGAAAAATAAAGTTAAATTCCACGCAGACGAAGTCGCGTGTACAGCTAATATTAAAATAAAACCTTGACTAAAATGTCCTATATGAATAAATGATTATTTTATTTGGACTTTAGACAAATTGTTCAATCATTACATAGTATAAAACAAAGTCGCTGTCGCTGTCTGTCCGTCCCTATGTATGCTTAAATCTTTAAAACTACGCAACGGATTTTGAAGCGGTTTTTTTTTATAAATAGAGTGGTTCAAGAGGAAGGTTTATGTATATAATACATGTACACCCGTGCGAATCCGGGGCGAGTAGCCAGTTTCAAATAAATTCTATTAAATATATTTATTTATTATAAATGCTATATATTAACAATGTATGTATGTCTGTCTCATTGCTGTTTCTTCTCAAACGGATAGTAGGGATGCTGGATCCAGTGCAGCACCGGTATGGTCCGGTACCCCGTGTCGTAACTCTTCAGCAAGTCCCTCTCCTTCTGTGTGAGGGTGAAGTCGAACAGCGCCAGATTCTGTTCGATACGAGACTTGGTCGTCGATTTTGGGATTGGAATTATTCCCAATTCGATCTGGAATTAAAATAAATTGATTTATTTATAATATATCCACCGAAATCATTTCAATCGTTATGTCGGTGAACGGCCTTATCCCAACCAGTCTGGAACAACATCTCAGACGGTTGGGATTCCGAGGTGGCTCACTTCCGGGAAAGATGCAAAAAGTGGCGCCGGTTTCTCTCCCTGGGGCCCTGAAGCCCGGCCAAAAGTTGCAGAAAGCGGTGCTGTATAAATATATATATAAAAAAATTCTGCCCGCATTGTACGCCGGTTTCTCTCCCTGGGGCCCTGAACCCCGGCCGACTGTGCTTCTGCCGGGGGTAAGTTGCCATCTCCTCTCCTTAAGAGGGGAGATGAGATTTCTTTTGGAAATATAAAAAAAAAAAATCTCAGAACAATTAACACAGCGCCATCTAGACCCAAGTTAAGCTAGCTAAAGCTTGTGTTATGGGTACTAGACAACTGATACAAATACATAGATATAATTTTCTTTTTTCGTTAATACATACATATTATATATATAAAACACCCAGATCGATACAAACAATCATACTCATGAATACAAATGTTTGTGCGTGCGAGGAATCGAACCCGCGACCATCGGACGTAAAGCGGTGTACTAAACCACTAGACCACCGAGGTCAAGTCAAGAAACTCACCAGATATCTCAGGGTAATCTGGGGGACAGTCTTGTTATATTTGTTGCCAACTTCAACCAGGGCTGGATCGTCTACACGAGGGGGTGGAGCCCCGTCGACTGCTTTGCTGGGGAACAGGGAACCGAAGGGCGTGTACCCGGTGACTGTGATGTTGTGCTGACGGCAGTACGCCAGGAGGGACGGCTGTTGGAGGTTCAGATTGATCTGGAAACAAAATCATTACATAGTATAAAATAAAGTCGCTGTCGCTGTCTGTCCCTATGTATGCTTAAATCTTTAAAACTACACAACGGATTTTGATGCGGTTTTTTTAATAGATAGAGTGATTCAAGAGGATGGTTTATATATATAATACATGTACACCCGTGCGAAGCCGGCGAGAGTAGCTACTCTTATGTCACAATAGAATAGAATAGAAAATCATTTATTCAAATAAACTTACATTGAAACACTTTTGAATAGTCATAACATTTTTTTTTTAATCTATCGCTCATTCGGAATGCTGCAATGTTAGGTACCATACTCCTCCGAAACGGCTTTACCGATTTTTATGAAATTTATATGCATACTCAGGTCTGAAAATAGGCTACTATTTTCAATACCCTATTAAGGGTGGCTCACCCTGGATTTTTTTTTAATTTTTCGAGATTTATAATATATTTTTTTTACTGTGTTATTAAAAAATACATACAACCCTAAATTTTCACCCTCCTATCTCCAACCCCTATTTTTTAATAGCGATATTAATTTATATGGCCATACAACGTTTGCCGGACACCTAGTTATTACAATATCCAATTTGGATCCTTGTTTTTTTTTAAAATAAGGAATTGAATTAAATAACCGATTTTTACGCAAGTGTGGATACCTCAACTTGGAGTACAGCCGGCGTGACGTGACTCAACGAGATGAGTCTGTCGAGTTGCTGCTCATTGAAGTTGGAGACGCCGATAGACTTGGCGAGCCCCTGGTCCCGAGCCTCGATCATACCCTGCCAGGTCTGCAGGTTGTCGGTCGTGTCAAATGACCCGTTGGCCTGAAACATAAATGAACATCTCAAAATAATAACAAAATGGATAGCACTGAATCACTGTCAGGATATGAAATTCAAATTTATAATTTATTCATGTAGGACATTTATACCAGAATTAGTACATTTGACGACCTCGGTGGTATAGCGGTTTAGCACACCTCCTTGCTTCTGATGGTCGCGGGTTCGATTCCTCGCACGGCACAAACATTTGTATTCAGTATAATTGTTTGTATCGGTCTGGTTAAGAAAGGATTTGATTAATTCTACCCCCACGGGTATAAAATAGGGGATGAAAGTTTGTCAATTTTAAACCGATCGGGCTGAGACTTTGCATGCATAAAGCTACTATGACATAGGGATCCCCTAAGAAAGGATTTTGATAAATTCCACCCCTAAGGGGATAAATTTACGCGAGCGAAGCCGCGGGCTACTATTCTACATATTTTTTACATCCTAACTATCGTTTCATTGGGGACTGTGTTACCCTTTGTTACCTCGGGGCCCTGGGCTGCAGCCCAAAAAGCCCCTAGGTAGACCCACCCCTGGGAATAAAAATAAAGCACTGCTGCATAGACGTATCATCTGAAACTTCCCAATAACTTCTAACCCGGTTTTTTCTCTGTGTACTACTTACCAACAACCCAATGGGCCAGTGTATGAGATACAAGTCTATGTAATCCAAGTTGAGCTGTTTCAGTGACTCCTTCAGGGCTGGCACTACGTCCTCTTTAGCGTGGCGGCTGTTCCATAACTGAAAATTAACAAATGCACAAATAGTAACATGAACAAATAAACAAATAGTTATTTTTAAACTTTCGTGTATAATATACTTCATTACATAGTATAAAACAAAGTCGCTGTCGCTGTCTGTCCGTCCCTATGCATGCTTAAATCTTTAAAACTACGCAACGGATTTTGAAGCGGTTTGTATTAATAGATAGTGATTTTAGAGGAAGGTTTATATGTATAATACATGTACACCCGTGCGAACAGTCTCGTCTCTCACACACACCAATGTTCTCACTTGCATTTCACAACATCATTATGTAGGATATGTTCGAAAAAGAAGGAAGTATTATGCCGTCTCTATCGCACACTGCTGGCGTCTTAAGAGCATTCTCTTAAGACGCCAGCAGTGTGATATAATACTTCCTTCTCTTTCGAACATATGCTACAATAAGTATTAACAATAATTTTGTTATGTTTGCGTGCCCTAACACGGATACTGATATATGTATATAATGTAAATGTAAGATGTCTTTCAGTTGTAGGGTCGGATTAGGCAGCGAAATTACAGGACAAGAAGATTGGCGTATAGTTCAGAGTGAGTGGTATCACGGATATAACGTGATAACGTGATGCTCGATCACCGTCTCCAGCGCTATCATAGAATCCTTACTAGTATTATAAATGTGAAAGTAGGTATGTTTGTTACGCTTTCACGCAAAAACTACTGAACCGATCATCATGAAATTTTGTACACATGTTCTTGGAGGTATTAGAATGAACATAGGATTCTAATACCTCCAAATTTATTTTTTTTAAAAAAAAGTGTTTTTTTAAAAACAAATATAAAAAAACATTTTGTGACTTCAGCGCCATCTAGTAGCGAGTAATGAAACTATGTGAGGCCGCGGGTAAAATATAAAAAATTACCTTTGTAGTGACAAATATGTCTTCCCTCTTGATAACCCCTTCTTTTATCTTGTTGTTGATGGCTCGCCCGACCTTAGTGATAGACAGACAGTGATAATTATTATTATATCATAAACATGTTCCACTATTATTTGAAAAAAATACGAGCTGAGTTTCTTGTCAGTTCTTCTCATCTCGATATCATTCCGAACTGACGGTAGATTTGAATAAAGATATTTTGAATTTTGCATCTTGAATTTTATAGTTATGTACAGTCGGCTACAAAATTTTAAAGTCGATGTCGGTACTGTAATTATTTATATAAAAAAAATCTATTCAAAAGAGCAGCTTGTGTGTTAGAAAATCATTTATTCAAATAAACTTTTAAACGAATAGTCAACAATTCTTTTTTAAGTTATTTGGAACATTAAGTTGTGTGTTGCTCTTTTACACACTACATTTTACAAGTCGAAACGTCAAATACAATCGAAGCGAAAAACCTTATCACATCAGCTACCTGCCAATAAAGTCTCGTCAAAATCGGTCCAGCCATTTCAGAGATTAGCCGGAACAAACAGACAGACAGACAAAAATGTTATTTTGGTGTATGTACAATATTTATATTGATATGCATGTAGTAAAAAACGGTTATTTCAATATTACAAATAGACACTCCAATTTTATTTATATGTATGTAGATATATATATATATATAAATATTCTTTATTGCAATTAAATACATTTGTAAGTATATTAATTACAACTAATGTTAACGAAGGATGACTGATCTCTAAAAGAGATCTCTTCCAGTCAACCCAATAGAGCGTGGCATAGGAAGTGTTGAGTGGGTCCAAATGTGCAAATAATAATTTCATAAAAATGTTATAAATAATTAAAACTAAACATAAAAATATAAATAAAAAAAAATACTGATATATATAGTATATCTTCATATATATTACCTGGTCCTCAGTGTTGTATATATGAGCAGTGTCTATATGTCTGTATCCAGCATCGATTGCATACTCTACGGCCTTCTCAACAGAGTCGTCATTGACTTGCACTCGAGTTCCCTGGAAAAGTTTTATTTTTTATTATTATAACGGCTTGGTGTCTAGCGGTTTGGCACAATGTTTTATTTCTGATCGGGTTCGATTCCTCGCACGGTACAAACATTTGTATTCATGAGTATGATTGTTTGTATCGGTCTGGGTGTTTTCTATGTACATATATTATGTATGTATTTACAAAAAGTATCTAAGTTTTTATATCAGTTGTCTAGTAGATACACATAACAGCTCTGCTTACTGTGAGACTAGATGGCGCTATGTTAATTGTCCAGGGATGTTCATTTATTTAATGGCCAGCAAGCTGGCAGGTCTCTTGTTAAGAAAGAAAGAAAGAAAGAAAGAAAAATATTTTATTCAGTGCAATGTTAAAAAGTAACCTAGTTTTATATTAGTACACTAGCTGTTCCCGCGACTTCGTCCGCATGGAATTTAACTTTATTTTTCTAAATTAAAAGTAGACTAAGTTACTCCTTATTACATCTGGTACCTGCCAATAAAAGTCCCGTCAAAATCGATTCAGCCATTTCAGAGATTAGCCGGAACAAACAGACAGACAGACAAAAATTGTAAAAATGTTATTTTGGTGTATATACCGTATTTATATTCATATGCTAGTAGTAAAAAACGGTTATTCCAATGTTACAAACAGACACTCCAATTTTATTTATATGTATAGGAACAACCCTAGTTTTTTTTAAATAATTGGAATGACAATTAAACGCGCAAGTGACACCCCTGGTGTTTCAGGCGTCCATAGGCTACGAAGTTGTCTACCATCATGTGCTAACTGACCTGACCTCATGCTCATCTTATCATCCTCCACCGGTGCCCCGACAGCGTATACAGTTAGGCATCATTCCATTATCATCCCTCAAAAAAATCGTTTACTATCAGATTCGCCGTATGCTTGTTTGCCACCATCGTAATATAAAAAAATTGATTCAACTAATGGTATGTAACCGTCGCCTAACATAATATTACATACGTAAACCCAATATATTATGAAAGACCCTGTAAATTTAATTTACTACCATTTCTCACCCTTTAACTGGAGTACCAAGCAACATGCTTGGCTGTATAAATAAGCTTTTTCCGGACTACTCTAATGCTGTTGTCCGCAGCTGGCCTTTACAGCTTCACCGGACGATAAGAGGCAAGTGCAGATGGCACTCCAAACCAAAGGAAGGACTTATGGAGGGGCTGAAGGACAACTCCCGCCTGACGGATACGACTTTAGTCTGAGGACACCGCTAGGGGTTCGAACCTCGGATCCGGCCATCGTAGGCCCGTTTGAATTGGACAAGGGATCGATCGGAAGGGAATATATAGATGATACTGATATGTTCTTGCAGATGACTTTATACAAAGTGAAATATCCGAGGTTGGTATAGAGTTACTGAAGAGGAGGTATGAAATGTGTCTGATGAGTGAGAGGTGCTGAGGGTTTTGATAAGGAAAATACGGAGATTAAATAAAATGCGACTAGTATGACAGCGATATATAATAGAAAGTGAACAATAAAGAATATGTCAAAGAATATTATTAGAAAATTTAAAAATAGTATAAAAACCTATCAAGGAGTTCGCTACAGTTACTGCAGAACAAATTTCTTAAATTAACAATTGTTATCAGAATATTATAATATACTCACGTCCCTCTTTAATCCGAGCCACGTTCCGAGTCCAAAACTTGGTATTTCTCTACCGTCATTCAATTTTATATTTGGCGCGACTCCAGTGCTCTTCGCTACCTAATAAATAAAAAAAAATATTATTAAAAAAAAAGAAGTACAAGACGTGACTTTAAATAAGTGGGCTGTTGAAAGAACACCGTCTAAAATTTCTGGCAAATACTGGGCTGTATAGTCAGGTGTTCATTGCCCAGCCCATATAAAAAAAAAAAGATAAATATATGCCGCCAAAAGACTGGGCTGTATGTGATTATTGCCCATCCTATAATATTATTAAAAAAAAAAAACAAGTAGAAGTAAGACGTGACTTAAAATGAGTGAGCTGTTAAAAGAACACCGTCTAAAATTTCTGGCAAAAGACTAGGCTGTATAGTCAAATGTTCATTGCCCATCCCATATAAAGAAAAAGATAAATATATGCCGCCAAAAGACTGGGCTGTATGTGATTATTGCCCATCCTATAATATTATTAAAAAAAAACAAGTACAAGTAAGACGTGACTTAAAATAGGTGAGCTGTTAAAAGAACACTGTCTAATATTTCTGGCAAGACTAGGCTGTATAGTGAAATGTTCATTGCCCATCCCATATAAAAAAAAGATAAATAATCCCGCCAAAAGACTGGGCTGTATGTGAACATTAAACCTTATTGTACCTAATGCCCAATTTATACTCAGCTCGAGTGGGCAGGGAAGTGAGCTGCGCGAGAGTGGAAACACTTCCCCATTGGCGCTGCCACTCGCGCTGCCCGGCGCTCCCTCGATTGTCGGTTTTCCGTGCGCGAGTCAAAGGACTTGTCCTTGTTGTTGCTATTTGTCCTTGTTGAAAGGACAAACAGCGTGTTTTTACATTCAGTTGTCGCCCGGCAATATTTCCGGCAGCGCGAGTGGCAGGGGAAGCGGCTGAATGTGAACGTAGCAGAATGCTATGTTTACATTCAACCGCTAACCCATCCTATATAAAAAGAGATGAAAGAAAAGAAAAAAATCCCGCCATAATTGATCAGTTATTTTACGTTCTTTCATTTGTGCCCAAATAAAAAAAAATAAAAAAACACTCAACCACACTCAAGTAGACTAGGCTGTACGGTCTAAGGATCTTTGCCTGTTCCATCATTGAAAAAGAGATGGACGAATATGGAGAAAAAAATCCACCACACTCTGTATGCATGTGCATTTATATTTTTGTGATACTGCAATAAATAAATAAATAAAATAACAAATATTTGGCGCACCTTACACCTACAATTTTTCCTAATTTTTTTCTTAAAAGCCGTATACGATTTCCAACGGAGCAAGTCAGATGGGCCCACAAATATTGTATTCTCCAAATCTTCCTCCCAATTTGGATTATCTCGGAAGATCTGTATTTTTTTTGGATCCATAATAATTATCTATGTTATTGGCATAGAATAAAAATATATCAAAATTACATTGTTTTATTTTTTAAATGGAAATTGAAATTATTTAAGTATATATTGTTGTTTTTCTTTAATTTGTATATTTTATTAGGTTATGATATGACATTTTTACTTTTTTTGCACATTTATTTATTTTTTATTTATTAATATTTTACGGCTCTGGATACAAGTCATTTTTATCCCAACATAAAGTTTTACAATACAAATTACAAAAACTAAATTCAATGTCCACTGGGCGAATAGCCTAAAATCATTCGAATATAGTATTCGTTGTAGATTTGTGTATAATTAAAGCTTGGTAAGATTTCTTTTCGAAGTCCCGCGGGCAACGCCACTACATATGACTAGTATGTACTAATATTATTATTGTGAATATTCTTTCGTTAAACTTTTTACATTTAAAAGTAATATGTTTATAGTTCGTTCCTCATATTGTTTGTATAAAGTGACATTATATTTTTCCTTGATTCACTAAAATATTTTATTTCTTTATTTAATCTTATATATAAAATTCTCGTATCACAATGTTAGTTACCATACTTCTCTGAAACGGCTTAACTGATTTTTATGAAATTTTATATGCATATTCGGTTGGTCTGAGAATCGGCTACTATCTATTTTTCAGCCCTAAGTGATAAGGGTTAATAACAAAAAAAAATATTTATATTTTTTATTACGTGTCATTAAAAATACTCAGAACCCTAAATTTCCACCCTTCTATCACAAACCCCTATTTTTTTATAGCGTTATTAATTTATATGGCAAAACAACGTTTGCCGGGACAGCTAGTAGTAGTAATAGATCGTATATAATTAGTAGATATCAATTGGAAAGTATCATTCATATATAAATGCACTCATTCTTTGTCCACAGCATCATCGATTCATCCGATCCACCACACTTATAAAAAATATGTTCAAAAATATAGGTAGTAGTAGTAAGAGGGTAGATAGATAGAGGTAGTAGTTCCTGAACACTGATATAGTGCCATTATCTATCCTGGGCTCTGATACGAGCTGATGATCAGCGAAAACCTCGGCGCATCGAAAAGATACGACTGACTTTATCCCTCACACGCTTCAACATTTATTCTTAACTTACTTGAATAAGGAGCATGCATGGCAATAGTTGTTCATGCACTGGATTTTCATTTAATGTTAGACATAGACACCTATATAAATATACATTGTAAATAAACTGGCTTTTAAAAAAAGTAATTCAATTGAGTTTCTTACCAGTTCTTGTCAATTGGATCTATGTACCGAACTGAGCGGTAAGGAAACAATTAAAATTATAGTGTAAAAATTTGACGTTCATAAGCGGCTAAAATGTCCTACATGAATAAATATTATTATTATTAATTTGAATTTGAATTTGAATTTGAACAATTTTTGGTAGCAGAAATAGAAATACAAATAGAAATAGAAATAATATATATTCAAATAAACTTAATATAAGCACTTTTGAATAGTCAAGTTTTTTTATTCTACCGCTCATTCGGAATGCAGAGTCATCACAAGAAGAATGATCAAGAAACTTCTGTGTTGCTCTTTTAAATAAATATTGATTTGCAGATATTGCTGAGCATTTCTTAACAAAATAAATATTTGCTTTTCTGTATAACTCAAAAAATACTTAACGAAATAAAAAATCCTAAATCTATGGATGTTGAATGAACATAGAGGTGCGTACAAATAATTGAATTTTGTCTATAAAGTGCTGTCAATGTGAAAAAAATATATTGAAATATTATAAAATTACTTTTAATGTAAACTTACATGAAAATACGCTATGAAAACAAACGCGAGAATGCAAGACTGGCCCGCCGCCATTTTGACGTGCTCGTCCAATGTGTAGGGTACCGACACTGAGGCAGATGGTATGTGGTAATAAACTTAATTTGGTTGACACTTAACCAGCGTTTACACTTAAGAACATACTGTGTTTAGGCTTCTAACATATTTTTAAAATTTCTAATTTAGCATATATATTAGGTATATACGCGAAAGTTAGTGAGTATGGATGGATGTTTGTTACTCTTTCACGCAAAAACTACTGAACGGATTTTGATGAAACTTTTCAATAATATAGCTTATACTTCAGAACATATAGACTATAATTTAAAATGATATTATGTAAAATGGGTGAAGCATAATGATGAATGTCATGAAAGTGCGCCGCAGAAAAAAATCCTATGTCCTTTCTCAGAGTCCAGACCATCAATATACAAAATTTCATTTAAATCAGTTTAGTAGTTTTGGTGTGATAGACAGTCAGAGAGTGTTACATTCGCACTTATAATATTAGTAAAAATAAATTTATAGACACATAACATAATGACGACCTCTGTGGTTTAGCGGTCTACAGCACACCGCTTTTCGTCCGATGGTCGCGGGTTCGATTCCTCGCACGGAAAAAACATCTGTATTCATGAGTATGATTGTTTGTATAGGTCTGACTATTAAAAAATATCTATGTATTTGTATCAGTTATCTAGTACCCATAACACAAGCTTTAGCTAGCTTAACTTGGGTCTAGATGGCGCTGTGTGAATTGTCCTGAGATTATAATTATGATATTACATAATGTAGACAATAAATAAAGGTAGAAAGTACACTAAATCTTCATCTCATAAGATTCATTTCAGCATCCTTAATAACTCAGTATAAACGCACCTTTACCTTTTAAAGTTTAACCAACAACCTTGCGTCACTCCAAGCAGGTTTTATGTAAGGTGTACCACACACCTATGTATGTTATAAACCATAAAATAAAACAAACAGCAAAAACTTAAGAAAATAAGCATAATAATAATAATCCAGGGTCTCAATAAAGATATAAAGAGTGCTACACGCTTCCAGCTTTCGTGTCCCCGGAGAAGTACAACCCCGGATTCTTCAACCCAGGATCATCTAGTCCCAAGCTAAACAAAAGAGTGGAACACGCTTCCAACTTTCGTGCTCCCGGAGAAATACAACCCCAGATTCTTGAACCCAAACTAAACAAAAGAGTGGAACACGCTTCCAGCTTTCGTGTCCCCGGAGAAGTACAACCCCGGATTCTTCAACCCAGGATCATCTAGTCCCAAGCTAAACAACAGAGTGGAACACGCTTCCAGCTTTCATGTCCCCGGAGAAATACAACCCTGGATTCTTCAACCCTTGATACGATATTGGAACCTTCAAGAAAAGAGCTTATTCCTTCTTAAAAGGCCGGCAACGCACTTGGAATTCTGGTGTTGCGGCTGCTCATGGGCGGCGGTAATCACTTACCATCAGGTGAGCTGCATGCTCGTTTGTCCCCTATGCTATAAAAAAGAACCAACAACATACAAACAAACTTACTTTCTCATAACATTAGTTACGATAGTCATAATCATTATTGTCTCGCGTGATAACAGATTGCTAGGGGTCAATCGAAAAAAAACTACCATATCTCAATTTAGGACCGATACACCTCTATAGTCTATAGTTATAAGGGCAACCGCACAACGACCGATTTTTATACGTCTTACAAGCGATTAGCTGTTTATTGACTTGAAAAAGGATTCATCAATTATTATATAAAAATTATTATTAACAATTTGCTGTTGATGCTATTGATTTGATTATAATGACCTCTTTCTTAATTATTAAATAATCAAGAGACGATGAAATAATTTCGTTTATTATTTACCATTGAATTTAAAAACTATTTACCATTTTATATTGTTTAATAAAGACTCCAGTTGATCTATTGAACTATGCTTGCTGATAGAACAAAATTTACTGTCTAAGTTATTATTATATTTCCCTAAATAAATTAAATAATAGTGACGACCTCAGTGGTATAGCGGTCTAGCACACTGCCTTACTTCCAATGGTCGCGTGTTCGATCCTCGCAGGGCACAAACATTTGTATTCATTAGTATGATTGTTTGTATAGATCTGAGTGATTTCTATGTATAATATGTGATGTATATTTAAAATTATGTAATCGACTCTTTATAATAGACAGGTAATCTGTCTATGGCAAGAATAATAAATCTGTGGTAGAACGAAGTTAGTTTTTTTGTTGGTTAATTATTATTAAGTGAGTTTGTAAAACAATTTAAATTGCGTTTAATTAAGAAATATAAAAAGGCTGTTTGATTATTAAATTGTATTTTTATTTACTCGGTGTCACGGACGGCCCGGACACTACAATATATATGTAATTACTTACCATGAATAAATATATACAAGACATACATATTGTATGTTAGTTTATACTTCCACACAGGAATACTTATTGTTTTATCAGATCTACAATTCGTTTAGTATGCAGAGTGCTTAACAGTTTGCTTGGGAGTCAGCCAGTTTCACGCGGTACCGTTAAAAGTAGGCAAGTTCATCAGTGGCAATCTTATAAGAAATAGTGTTCAGAATGTATAGATATTTTTGTGTAATTTTATACACGTTTTGTGTTGTAATAGACGCTACAGTGAGTATTAGTATTTTGTTATAATATTATGATTTTTTTACCTGTGGTTTTCGTTATAAGAAACATGACGTATTTATACTTCATTCATTATCAGCATCATTTAAAAAGAATATTAGCCTTCTCCACTTTTTCTCTATATAAACTTTAAGTGTGCGAAATTTCATACTCCTCTGTTCGTACAAATTTTCCTTCTAATATCTAAATATATAACAAAGGTGACTGACATAGTGATCTATCAACGCACAGCCCAAACCACTGGACGCATCGGGCTGAAATTTGGCATGCAGGTAGATGTTATGACTTAGGCACCCACTAAGAAAGGATTTTGATTAATTCACCCCCAAGGGGATAAAATAGGGGATGAAAGTTTGCCAATTTTAAACCGATCGGGCTGTGACTTTACATGCATAAAGCTACTATGACGTAGGCATCCCCTAAGAAAGGATTTTGATAAATCCACCCCTAAGGGGATAAATTAACGCCAGCGAAGCCGCGGGCAAAAGCTAGTATATGGCATAGGACTATTTAATATGACAAGTAACATGTAAGAATTACACTTATCTTCTTAAAATAAATAAATAGATTATTGTCAAAAATTTAAGTAAATTGATATTGTCTCATTACCTCATTATAAATTAAAGTCGAGACGATATATCTTTATATATCAAAACTAGCTACTGTCCCTGGCTTCGTACGGTGTACATATATTATGCTACGTTTACATTCAGCCGCTTCCCCTGCCACTCGCGCTGCCGGAAATATTGCCGGGCGACAAGTTGTCGCTCAGTTGAGCGAGAGGGCTGAATGTAAAAACACGCTGCCACTCGCGCTGCCAGTCCTTTGACGAAAAACCGACAATCGAGGGAGCGCCGGGCAGCGCGAGTGGCAGCGCCAATGGCATGGGAAGTGTTTCCACTCGTGTTTACACTCTCGCGCTGCTCACTTCCCTGCCCACCCGGGCTGAGTGTAAATTCGGCATTATATATATAAACCTTCCTCTTGAATAAATCAATCTATAAAAAAAAACAGCTTCAAAATCCGTTGAGTACCTTTAAATATTTAAGCATACATAGGGACGGGCAGACAGCGACAGCGACTTTGTTTTATACTATGTAATGATGATTACGCGTCACGTTGTTTGTCCGCGATGGACTCCTAAACTACTGAACGGATTGCAAATTTGATTTGCACATTGTGTGCAATTTGATCCAACTTGAAAGATAGGATAGCTTACATCTCAATTTATAGTCACAATATTTTTTTATTCAAGAACCTTAGCCACAGCAACGCGTGGCCGTATCTGCTATATGCTCGTATATTGTTAGCTGTAACTTCTGCTCTGCCACCGTCGTGCGGCGCGTCTATAAAAGGCTGCGAAACCCGAACGTCCGGTGAAGCTGTAAAGGCCATCTGCGGCCAACAGCATTAGAGTAGTCAGAAAAAAAAAGCGTGCGGCCTCTTTTGGTCGACAGACGTGCTCTCGAACGAATCTCCGTATCATACCGTGTTTGCTTTATATAATTTTAGTTCCACTTAGTATTAATTTTGTTAAAATTAAATTAATTATACGATTTGTTTCTTTTATTTAATTAAATTTAGAGGTCATTCCTAACAATTATAATAATAATAATAATAATAATATACTAATACTAAACACATGCCGAATAGTCAGAAAATTTCTATCTTCATCACATAACTCATCCATGCTTGGCTAAGGCCCGCGTGTTTGAATATATTACCCCCGTAAAAAGGGAGATATAATAAATATATATATGTAATAATAATATAATAATTATAATAATAATCTCAGGACAATTCACACAGCGCCATCTAGACCCAAGTAAGCTAGCTAAAGCTTGTGTTATGGGTCCTAGACAACTGATACAAATACATATATAATTTTTTTTTTCGTAAATACATACATATTATACATAGAAAATACCCAGACCGATACAAACAATCATACTCATGAATACAAATGTTTGTGCCGTGCGAGGAATCGAACCCGCGACCATCGGTCGTAAAGCGGTATGCTAGACCGCTAGACCACCGAGGTCATCAAAAATTCCAATAATTTATTAGTAATTCTATTCGTTTTTTTACAGTATGGAGTAGAGGTACCCATATTCAAACTATTGGATGGTAGGGATATACCGGCCATAGCGCTGGGGACGTGGCTTGGTAATAATACACAGGTAGTATCTACTTTTAACCACAGATAATATTACATATTTTAACTAACCGGAATAGTAAACAAGTGGACCATCCACATGATGAATCTACATGGCTGGAGCGTCACAGAATATATTATGGAAGTGGTACTCCTGCGTTACTATTCCAGATGACTGAGGTAGCATGAGGTTCCGCACCCTTTAATGTCTCAGCGCGAGTGGCAGAGGAAGTGGCTGAATGTAAAATATCAATGTGGAAATATCGCGACAGGGCGACAACTGAGCGAGAGGGCTGTAAAAACACGCTGCCACTCGCGCTGTCAGTCCTTTGACTCGCGCATGAAAAACCAACAATCGAGGGAGCGCCGGGCAGCGCGAGTGACAGCGCCAATGGCATGGGAAGATTTTCCACTCGTGTTTACACTCTCGTGCTGCTCACTTCCCTGCCCACTCGGGCTGAGTGTAAATTGGTATTATGCCACTTTTACATTCAGCCGCTTCCCCTGCCACTCGCACTGCCCGAAATATTGTCTCACGGGAGTCAAAGCGAGTGAGTGTCGTTTACACTCTGCCCTTATACTTATTCGACTGGCAAAGATGGCAAACATCGAGGTGGTTGCGGCAACAGCTGCATGTCTGCTAGATGTAAACACACGCTGCCAGTCCTTTGACTAGCGCACTAAAAACCGACAATCGAGGGAGCGCCGGGCAGCGCGAGTGGTAGCGACTATGGCATGGAAAGTATCGTGTTTATACTCTCGCGCTGCTCACTTCCCTGCCCACTCGGGCTGAGTGTAAATTGGGCTTTACTTTTCAATTAGCAATAAAGATTTATTCAATTCTATTCAACTTAATGGATTTTTTTATGCAACGACCAATATTCAGTGCGGAAACTCGACCATCGCTACTGGAAGGGTTACGACCTTCTCTATTGGTGATCTAATTCCGATCGTTATTGGATCTAATGATGAATCATCAAGCAATAATAATACATAAGCAGACTAACAATAATACACATACATAACTAATTTATAAAACAATAGAAAAATACGAAAATTACGGAAATGAAAACGCGCCAAAACGAGTTGCCAGTGTTGCCAACTCACAAACCAAAAATTATCTACGATTAAGAATAAAAATTATTTAAGAGTCTATTTTATTTATACATCAATTACTACTGATCCTACATATTAATGTGATGGTAGAATGAATATTTAAAATTAATATATTCTTTATTGCACTATTAAATACAGTTGTAAACTTAAATAAAAAAAATAAGTTGTTAAATGTAAAATTAAGTTTATTTCAACAAATTTCTATTTACAAAGGGACGGGTGAAACCTGAAGGTACGGAAGTAGAGGAGGCTGTGAAATGGGCGATCGATGCCGGCTACCGTCACATAGATACAGCCTTCGTGTACAAAGTAGAGGACCAAGTCGGGAGAGCAGTCAATGCAAAGTTGGATGAGGGAGTCAAAAGAGAAGATTTATTTATAACAACTAAGGTAAGAAGACTTTTGGCATCCTTTGATTTGCTATTAAATTCTATCTATCTATCTAATAACTGTTTAACATACCGCTTTGCTCACGATGATTGCGGGTTTGGATTCCTCAAATGGTACAAACATTTGTAACATATAAATATATGTATAACCTTTTCTTTGTAACAAACATACTTTATTGCATAATTTCCTAAATTTAGTGGTCGCACTTGCAAGTATTTATGCACCGATTGTAGTTGGACCATACGATGTGACGCATTCATTGCCTCAACGACACGATTTATTTTATTTATTAGTATATCCTACATTAGTCGTTCAACTCTTAAGAATCGTATTGCATGTTATCTTTAGATGGGCAATGGTGTCTGAGATACAGGCTAGGACTAGTTTAGACACTACTGCACTGCGATTATGATTATTATTTATGAGTATTTACAAAAAAATTATCTCTGTATTTATTATCCTTGACACAAGCTCTGCTTAGCTTGATGCTAGATGGCGCTGTATGAATTGTCGTGAATTATAATTGTTATCTCAGCATTTAGAAATATGAAACGTGTAGGGGCTACATACAATGCCCACCATTATATAATGACTATTCATGGACATACATCCATTTAAATAAAAAAAACTGTAATTCCAGCTGTGGAACGATGCTCACGCCGAAGATGCAGTGGTGCCGGCACTCCGGGAGTCACTGCGGAAACTCAACTTGGATTATGTGGACTTGTATCTGATACATTGGCCTGTTGGACAGTTTGTAAGTTGACATATCAGAAACGAACTTTTTAGCATTCCATACGTTCATTGTGTGGGGCTCTGGCATCCGTCCATCGCGTAGCAGAGAGAGAAACTCCCAGTTCCTGGGACTTGTGGCCAACGGATTCAGGGGGGTCATGGGGGTCATGACCCCCACCCTGAGCTGGTTCCAGGACTCTGATGGACCACTAATATTATAAGTATTTTTAAATACAATACGTGCATTAATAAAATACCTACTTTTTACTTGTATCTATAGTTATCAAAATTAAATTATAAGTTCTTGACTTGACCACGACTATGTGACCCCCTTCTGGTGCCATGACCACCACTATGTGACCCCCTCCTGGCGCCAAAGCTGGATCCGCCCTTGTTTGTGACCCGGGAGTAGGTTTAAGAGGCCCTTAGCTGTCTGGCTATATGTCAACACTCACCTTCATTGATCGTGTTTCTCTCCCTGCCCACACAATCTAATAGGAACCTGCTAGTGCTGCTTTTGATACACGTTCTAGTATAGGAGTTACTGCAATACTAGACAGGCCAAGTTCTTTTAGAAGATTTTAGAGAGTTTTCGCTGGTTGTTAGCGATATGATTAGGGGCATTATTTATATGCCAGTTTTGGTTGTATATAAGTAGTTTATTCTAATAATAGTAATTTACAGCTATATATAGTAATGAAGAACAGTATACAAAAATTAGTGATCAGAAGTACAATAGTTGAAGAATGTCTGTAGAAGAAGTTAAATTGTAGATAGTTTCCCGCGCAAATGCAACGCACCACAGATTCAAAATATACGGACGGCGCGCAGTCGCAGTAGGATTGATGAGCGCACCATGGCAGTATGCGCGATGTTAGTACTATGAGTATTAACACTGGTATACCTCTCGCACCCAGTTTGACCGCATATAAATTACCCACATCGTCATTTTTAGTTCATTCATTTATCCTATTTAGGCCCTCAGTTAATACTGCAAATTAAGTAATGAAATGGCAAACTTAAACTAGTACTAAACAAAAATATGCACATTTTGTCAAGCTGATAAGGAAACGCTACTACACATTCTATATGGTTGTAGTACAATAATACATAAACGAAATATCTCGTTTAGAAAGTATACACTATCCTGAGGAGATAAAAACCATCGCTCCTAAGAATATCCTTCAATTCTTGTCCCTGACAGGTATTTGGGTAGAGAACTCTGAAAAAGAGCGAGCACACTAGAACTATATTATGATAAATTATGTTTGATTTGATGTGGTATATCAAGTGAGCCAGCTATGAGCTGCGCTGAACCATATTTTCCGTTACATTTGCAGAGTAACCTGACATACGATGATACAGACTACGTAGAAACTTGGAGAGGAATGGTGGAAGCTAAGAAGCTGGGATTGACAAAGTCCATAGGGATATCGAACTTCAATCAGAAACAAATTGATAGAGTTATTGCATCCGGTCTAGAAACACCTTCGGTCTTACAAGTGGAGGTGAGGTCAAAATCGCTTGTTTATGTAATAAAATTCATAGCGCAGCCTTCTAAATATTATAGCAAATATGTCGCATTGTCCATTCCTGAGGCACTGGACATCATTGCACTATATCAAACCCAATGCATTTGGACGTGGACGTACGATACGTGCTTCGCATCTGATCGAGGCATCATCAGGCAATTTGGTCGCCGAACAGTCAACACTAGGCTTCCAAGCGATATTCGAACTGTATTCAATGCCTGATGGTGATGATGCTGTTTGGATTATCTGTGGAGAGTATTTATAATTATCATTACACTCGTTTGATTAATGATACAGAATTTCACAACCCTATTCTGTTTCAGATCAACCTAAACCTACAGCAGCCGGATCTGTTGGCCTACTGTAAAAATAAGAGCATCGTAGTGATGGGGTACACACCATTCGGTTCCATATTTCCAAGTAAAGCCAGGAGCGAAGCGCCACCTCCCAGGGTGGAGGATCCAGCTCTCGTGGACATCGCCAAGAAATATGGGAAGATTGTTCCACAAGTCGTGCTGAGATATTTGGTAAGGTTATGGTATTTCCTGAGGATTTCCTCGCAGAGATGGAATCTGCTGCTAGAGTGGGTCACCGCCGTCGAAGCTGCGGTGGACTATCATCGATCTCGCGACTCCAGCATAGGCGTGGGGTGAGGGATATCTTGGAGTTTTTAGTGAGTAGTAGTTTCATAGTACCCGCTTGCCTCCCTCGGGTGAGCGGGTCTCCAGGAGGGATTTTCTCCAAGTCAAAAAAGCAATTCCTGAGCTAGACTGCAAAAACAGTTGGTAAATAAAATTTATTTTACTGTTAACCCTAGACTACATGTGGCAACACTGTAAGATTGGCTAAAAAGGACTTGCATCCAGAGCCGTAAAATATTAATAAAAAAGTAAAGTAAGCACGTAAAAATATCTTGGCGTAGCGCTACTTTGTGTAACATAAAATAATAACTTCTATATTTCCTAATCGTAATAAAACCACTGCAAACTTTAAAATAAAACTGTGTTTGATATATTAAACACTCCAACAACAAAAACTCGTCTGCGTGTGGACCTCAGTGTCAGCTATTTCAGTCGCCACTTTATAAGCTATTTCAATAGAAATGTAACAATTAGACAGTGAAATTACAGGACAAAATCAAAAAATTCAAAATTCATTTAATCATGTAGGACATTTTAGTTGCTTATGAACGTCAAGTTTTTACATTATATTTTTTTTCCCTATCGTCCAGTTCGGTATATAGATCCAATTGAGAAGAACTGGCAAGAAACTCAATTGAATTATTTTTTTTAAAAGCCAGGATATTTACAAATTATAGGTATTTATATAGGTGACTATGTCTAACATTAAATGAAAATCCCGTACATGAACAACTATTGCCATGCAAAGACATGTTATCTTAGTCCTATGGACTACTCGACGTACCTATTGGAAATCTGCGCACGACGCGTCCGTTTCGTTAGCAATCTGCTCGTGTAACGCCATTTTTGTCCTAGTCATTGTTCATAGGCCGCCATCTTGTGCCCTACTCTCGAAAAACCGAATGTGATAATACTGCCACTACAATTGTATGATAATGTACACAACCCTAATATTTAATATATATCTTTCCAGTTCGAACTCGGAGTGATTCCCATACCTAAATCATTGACAAAATTACGCATTGAACAGAACCTGCAAGTTTTCGACTTCCAGCTCTCACAAGAGGATCATCAAGTGCTGCAGAGTTATGACCAGGGTTACAGAACAATTCCGCAACTGAAGTGGCTGGAGCATCCATATTATCCGTTTAAAAAGAATTAATAATAATTTATTTGCTCAAAAACACAGTACAAAAGGTGATAATTAAAGCATAGTATGTATCATATGTTTTGCCATAACAATGGCATGCAAAATATTATTGTTAAAAATATATACATAAATAATCTGTACAGAGAGAAAGTAATAATACTAGTAAAATACATTGTCTCTGGTCAATAATTATACATTGTCAACAAAATCCTTCGAATTATAAAATTCCTTATTCTTTAGCCATCCTCATAATGTCTTCTATACATATAAATAAAATTGGAGAGTCTGTTTGTAATATTGAAATAACCGTTTTTTACTACATGCATATGAATATACACCAAAATAACATTTTTTACAATTTTTGTCTGTCTGTCGGTCTGTTTGTTCCGGCTAATCTCTGAAATGGTTGGACCGATTTTGACGGGACATTTTTTGGCAGGTAGCTGATCTAATAAGGAGTAACTTAGGCTACTTTTATTTTAGAAAAATAAAGTTAAATTCCACGCGGACGAAGTCGCGGGTACAGCTAGTCTTAACTTAAAACAACTTTATAAAGTGAAGGTCTCAAAAGATCGATTCTTAAAAAAATATATTTATAATTAGCGTATAACGATAGTCATAGTGTTTCAATTGCATGAAGATCTTGAATAAGTACTGAGAAAAAAAAATTTCGTCATGGGGTGTCACCCCTATTATTCCCCTACTATAGGAGTTAGGGGTGTGAGATTGAGTGTATGCCTATTTTAGATAAAAAAATAATAAAAACAAGGTAAAAACAATATTATGTCATCTGTGGTAGGAACCCCCTTCATCAGACGCGAGTGCAGTTTTATGTACATATATGCTAGATCGCTAGATCCAACGTATTCGCTATTTAATATGGGTGACCAATAATAAGATGTATACCATACAATAATAATGTTTTTTAAACAAATAAATTCGACATAATCATAGTTAAATAAATAATATAAATTGCCATGTATATGAATTAATAAAATGGTTGTAGTTTGTCACTGTGATTATTAAATTTAATATATTGTAGAATTTAAGTTAAGAAATATAAAATAATTTAACTTAAACTCGTCGTTTTAATTTGACTATTTACGAAGTGAATTCCTATCCATAATTGCTACTATGCCAGTTTTATAAGCTAACTGACAAAGAGCTTAGAATACTTAATCTTATCGACTGAATAAAAATCTATTTTAGAATTTCGAGATAATTATTAAACAATACTACCAAGAGTGTCTTCCAGTTACATTGGAAAATAAATCATTTGGGCCGCTTCGAGTTGGCAACACTGACACTTAACTTTGAACTAGCGTTCAAATATTATATTAGGTATATTTTTTTATTTGTTAAAAATAAATGTATGCTTCGAGTAAAGGGAAGCAGATGAATAAAATTAGTCAATACTAAAGTGATCTGTAGTAAATATAATATCTAATATGCTTACATTTATAAGAAAATAATTCGATTTAAATTAAATGACGTTGATTTTATATTATGGGTCAAGTCGCATTTATAAATTCCATAATCACTTACCATGTAGTATCTAAAATTACGACGTCGCGTTAAAATAGAAAAAAATATCTCAAACTGGTCGTCATTAATTCTTCGATCATGTACAACTTTTTTAATCTGTATATTTATTGAACGCTGGTACAATGTTGGACTACACGTTGCTTATTTTTTTAATTCCATGTATTGTCATTGTGACATGTCACTTCATTATGGTACTGTCAAGAAGTTGTCATTCTGAGTATTTTTGAGTCTGTTAGAAATACCTAACATTGGTGCAATGGCTTCTATAAATATGAATTTATTAAATTTAATAATATTAAGTATATTAGTGCATGTTAATACACAACAGGTGCATAGACGTTTTGAATACAAATATTCGTTCAAACCACCGTATTTAGCGCAAAAGGATGGTTCAGTTCCTTTCTGGGAATATGGTGGCAGTAAGTATAACCTTTTTTTCATTGTTAGAAATACTTCTCTTGTTAGAATTACTTCTAAATCTACCGCTTACATATTAAACTTGTAGTTCCCTTCGAGTTACATTGAATTTATGTTATAAAAATAGAAATAATAGCAAAAAACTGTTTGTTTTTACCGATTTATCGGCCTGACAGCGACACGTCAGTGAAAATCTGTCAAGTTAGAGAGGGACGTGTATACATGAAATCCTATTGTTAGAACGAGACAAAAGAAAGTTGTCGAAAATCGTGTTTTGTGGTTCCACGACGGCAGCAGTTTGATTTGAAACGCACGAAATTACAACAATACCCCAATATGTACTGATACATACTTCACATTATTGCATTTGCAATTGTTATGATTCAGTCCTGTCATATTTTTTTTTTCACGATTGCAGTACCTATGTTACATGTAAAAAAATCTGAAGTTAATAAAGACAAGTTCATTGACCAATAGTTATTTGCACAGAAAACTGCTTCTAAGTTGAAGAAAGTATGTGTTCATTCACATTATTGTTACTGTGTATTATCACTAATTTATTTCTTTAATTTTATATTATATATTTTATTGTATATGTATTGATATTATGTGTGTGTATATATTATTATTATTTATGTTTATTCATTCCATCTTGCGCCATCCACCACCTTCTGTATTTTTTTCTCATCTACCCAAAAGGTTGTCTGGAAGAAATTGCTTAAGCGATAAGACTGACTTTTGTACCTAGATAATATGAATATTGTTTTGTTTTCTAAGGTATTCCGTTTAGCGTGCAATAAAGAGTCAAAATCGGTCCTGCCATTTCAAACATTAGCCAGAACAAACAGACAGACAAAAATCAAAAATATATATTTTGGCGTATGTACCGTATTTATATTCATATGCATGTGGTAATAAACGATTATATCAATATTACAAACAGACACTCCAATTTTATTGATATGTATAGACTACAACTAATAAATATGTTCCAACATGTATTAAGCTAAAAGTATCAACTCTCTTTCAAAGAATGAAATAAAATAATTCAAATTACCTCTAAAAATCCAAAATAATATGCATCCCATTGTATTTATTTGTTTTGCACCTTAGTGCCCAATCTTACTCCAATATACATATTTTTAAATACAAGTGGAATGGCAAACAAACTGACAACCAATTTGATGGAAACTGTGACTGTTGCTTATAGAATAGAATAGAATAGAAAATCATTTATTTGAATAAACTTAATAGTCATAGTTATCATTCTTTTAATCTACCACTCATTCAGAAAGCAGTCTCATCACAAGAAGAATGAGCAAGAAACTTGTGTGTTGCTCTTTTAAATAATCATTGTAACTTTACATTTCCAATTGGAAACATTTATAACATTAAATAATATTAAGATAGATTTTGTAACGTAATTATAAATAAACAAACAGATTTTATCATGAGGAGGTTGCTTGTAAGATCTAGTATTTTTTTTATGGATGATAAAGTAATGGTGCACCCGCTTGTGCTAATGGTTTACACTGGCGAGGCGCCAGTGGAGGATGATGAGAGCATGAGGTCAGGTCAGTTAGCCCATAGTAACAAATCCACCAAGAATTTATCACGATGGTTTCCAGGGAGGAATCTGTCGAGGGTCAACCTGACATGGTACGTTGCTAGCAATAAGATCATCAGCCTAAATTACTAACAAGCTCCTTTCCCCCTGGTAAGAGCTAGTCTATACTCTATATATATAAATAAAATTGGAGTGTCTGTTTGTAATATTGAAATAACCGTTTTTTACTGCATGCATATGAATGTAAATATGATACATACACCAAATGAGCATTTTTTACAATTTTTGTCTATCTGTTTGTTCCGGCTAATCTCTGAAATGACTGGACCGATTTTGACAGGACATTTTTAAGCGGGTAGATATGATAAGGAGTAACTTAGGCTACTTTTATTTTAAAAAATAAAGTTGATTTCCACGCGGACGAAGTCGCGGGTGCAGCTACTATTGTATAAATGAAACAATAATTCTTTTACACCTTCATGCTAATTATAAAGACACTACATTTTAAAGTGGACTTTATTGTAATAGAAATACATTATTATATTCAATAACGGAAAAATTCGATGTTTATTTAAGCGTCTTAAAATGTGAAAACTGTAAAATTGAATATGGTACATAATGTGTGGTTTAAATGTATTGTATTTTATAGAAAATAGTCTTAATTTTGAAGCAGTAAAGTCCACTTTTCCTTGTATATTCATATGCTGATGGGTTTAAACATTGTGTTTTGTAAAAACCAATCCTAATTTTGTAGCAATAAAGTGTATTTTTCTTTGTATTTTCGTATACTGATGGTTTTAAACATTGTGTTTTGTAAAAAACAATCCTAATTTTGTAGCAGTAAAGTGTAGTTTTCTTTGTAGTTTCATACGCTGATGCATACCTGATGTTGCAAATTGTAACCTGAAATGATTATGCTTGTGTAAGCAATACAGCGAGGTTTCAAAACACATCACCTAATGTATCCACTAATGCTAATTTTAATTACAATGCATAATTGCTTTTTAAATATTTCATTGCTCCATTTTGTTGATTGATATAATATTTATAAAAAAAAAGTAATTCAATTGAGTTTCTTGCCAGTTCTTCTCAATTGGATCTATATACTGAACTGCAAAAATTTAAATTATAATTAAGCTGATGTAATAAAGAGTAACTTAGGTTACTCTCATTTTAGAAAAACAAAATTAAATACCACGTGAACGAAGTCGCGGGGACAGCTAGTATAAAATAAAGTCGCTGTCGCTGTCTGTCCCTATGTATGCTTAAATCTTTAAAACGCTACGGATTTTGAAGCGGTTTTTTTAATTGATAAAGTGATTCAAGAGGAAGTTTTATGTATGTAATACATGTACCCATGCGAAGCCGGCTCGAGTAGCTAGCGAATATATATTGTGCGGGATTCAAACCCGCGACCATCCGAAAGTACATAAGATACAGTGCACACTAAGGTTATCAATTATTGGGAAGTTTCAGAAATGATACGTCGATGCAGTAGTACTTTTATTTTATTCCTTTTTCAAATTACACTCCACATAAATTGCGTCGTTGTACATTCACGTCTGGTCGTCTCGGTCGCCTCGAACAGAGTGAGAGCAGCCCGCTCCCTCCTTGTTCCCGGCCTCTTTATCTCTATTCCTATTGGTGGCGGCATAATCGTGACGTCACCAACATCACGTGACTCACTATGGCTTTAAATGAATGAAATGTAAATAAGAAATTAGTCAACCGAGTGTTCTTTATGTATTGAAGCTAACTCAATAATTATGTAAAACCAATAAACAAAAATATGTTACAGTGGTACATAATTATTGAGCTACCATAAAGCCAGATAACGGTTGTAAAATATCCATAAACCGCCACTATCTAATCTGTTTGACCGTCTGTATCAAATTTCGGATTATATACAACGGAAGATATGTACGTGCTTGACTTCCTACTTTTACCGATTTTCATGAGTACATTCAAATTTATTCATACGTAGAAATTCTAGAAAAAATTGTAGAAACCCTGGCAGGGTCGCCATATAAGGGTGGTGAAAAGAAAGGTCAGCGTTTTTTGTTTGAAGTGGATCTGAAATAGAAATAATCTTTATTCAAATAAACTCATTACACGCACTTTTGAATAGTCATATTTTGATTCTACCACTCATTCGGAATCCAGATTCATCACAAGAAGAATGAGGAAGAGGAGAGGAAACTTGTGTGTTGCTCTTTTTAATAGATGTTTTTTTATATAAATAATTACAGTATAACAAGTAAGAGGCATGCGATAATCAACATAGAAATCGCTACGCACTCATTATTAGTGTAATCAGATAATATTGTCAGTGCTATGGATTTTAAGTTTTTCTATAAAAACATTATTATCGTTAACGAATTCTTCAATTTTATAGTAAGCTTTGTTGCAAAGTAGTTAACGAAACGACGAACTACGATTGTTAGTAATGTGGATTAATTAATTACTTAATGGACCCATTGCTAGCAATGTCAGGTTGACCTCCATGGGAACCATCGTGATAAATTCATGGTGAATTTGTCATGATGTGCTAACTGGCCTGACTTGAGTGCAATGATGGCTGGCTCATCCGTCATACTCGTGAACGGGTGCTGCTTGTGGGGACTGGTCTGTTCAGGTGGCGAACACTGATTAGATTTTTTGATTTTTTTATATAGCATATGCTGATGGTCACTCTATTCTCCCAAATTTGAATTTAAATGAAATATTATTATTGTAAATATGTACAATATTAAAAAATACGAGCTGAGTTTCTTGTCAGTTCTTCTCATCTCGAAATCATACCGAACTGACGGTAGATTTGACATATCATAAGGGTCTGTAATAGACCTACATGAATAAAGATATTTTGAATTTGAATTCATGCTCAACACTGGGGCACCAGTGGAGGATGATAGGATGAGCTTGAGGGCAGCCAATTTGCACATCTTGACAAATTCTCCAAGAAATTCTTGGAGAATTCGTCACGATGGTTTCCAGGGGGAACCGCGTGGTGATTAACCCGACATGGTACATTACTAGCAATGGGGACATAACTGAACATTACTTTTACAAACCCCTTATCCTCCTTAGAACTGTTTTTTTTTAATGGATGATGATGAAATGGTGCACTCGCCTGCGCTAACGGTTTACGCTGGCGGGGCACCAGTGGAGGATGATAAGATGAGCATGAGGTCAGGGTAGTTAGCTCATCGCGACAAATTCACCAAGAGTTTATCACGATAGTTTCCAGGGGGAACCGCGTGGAGGTCAACATGACATGGTACATTGCTAGCAATAGGGTCACCAGTCCACATTACTAATAATCCCCTTCACACGCTAGCAATGGTTTTTTTATGGTTAATAATGGAATGTTTTACCTGCCTGCGTTAATGGTACACGCTGGCAGGACACCAGTGGAGGATGATAAGATGAGGTCAGGTCAGTTAGCACATCGAGACAAATTCACCAGGAATAACGATGGTTTCCAGGGGAAAACACGTGGATAACTCGACATGGTACATTGCTAGACTAGGCTTTTTTTTTTTTAGAGGATGATAATGGAATGGTGCAACCGCCTGCGCTAACGGTTTACGCTGGCGGGGCACCAGTGAAGGATGATAAGATGAACATGAAGTCAGGTCAGTTAGCACATCATGAGAAATTCAGCAAGAATTTATCAAGATGGTTTCCAGGTCCACGTGGAGGTCGACCTGACATGGTACATTGCTAGCAATGGGATCATTAGTCCACATTACTAACAATCCCCGTCCCCCCGCTAGACTAGGGTTACTAGATCCTATTATTAGCAACTCCTCCCCCTCACCACCCCTTGCACTCCCATTGACATGTCCAACTGTTCACCAGATGCGATAGCGTCAGGAGAGAGCGTCCGCCTGGCGCCCTCCCTCCGCAGCCAGAAGGGAGCGATATGGACGAAGCAGCCCATCAACTTCGACTGGTGGGAGGTGGACGTGATGTTCAAGGTCACCGGCCGCGGCAGGATCGGCGCCGACGGTCTGGTGAGTCACGGCAGTAATATATACGTGTCATCATTGCATAGTATAAAACAAAGTCGCTGTCGCTGTCCGTCCCTATGTATGCTTAAATCTTTAAAACTACGCAACGGATTTTGAAGCGGTTTTTTTTAATAGAGAGAGTGATTCAAGATGTAGCTTTATATGTACACTTGAGTGATGTAGTTAAATAAATAAATATTATTGTCTAATTGTCATATTAAACTATAATGTCTGGAAGCAATTCTTTTTGTTACTATTAATTCTATATTGATGTCTTGTTATTTAGACATTTATTTAATTATTTCCTTTTCGTGGTAAGAAATAGAAATAATCTTTATTCAAATAAACTCATTAAAAGCACTTTTGAATAGTCATATTTTGATTCTACCACTCATTCGGAACGCAGACTCATCACAAGAAGAATGAGCAAGAAACTTGTGTGTTGCTCTTTTTAATAGATGTTTTTTTATATAAATAATTACAGCATAACAAGTAAGAGGCATGCGATAATCAATATAGAAGTCGCTACGCACTCATTATTAGTGTAATCAGATAATATTGTCAGTGCTATGGATTTAAAGTTTTTCTATAAAAACATTATTATCGTTAACTAATTCTTCAATTTTATAGTAAGCTTTTTTGCAAAGGAACTATTTTATTTGACATTTAAATCTTTTTTCTGGCAGATTTATAACAGACTCTGGTATTTTATTGTAAAACCTTACGCAATTGCCATAAAACGAATTACTAACTTTAGCCAAACGACATTTAGGTAAAATCAGTTTGTTATTGTTACGTAAGCTTTTATTGGTGCAATCACTAACTCTTTTGAAACTGTCTATATTCATTCTGGCATAGATGATATTTTCATAAATGTATTGAAGAGCATGTAGTGAGGATATATGATTCCTTAAAACACTCTCGCAATGACTCCCTGGAACAAATACCATAATTTTTTTATCTATCTATCTAATATTACGAATGCTTATGGGCGGTAATCATTTACCATTAGGTGTCCTATGGTCGATTCGTTTATAAAAAAGTGTATGGTATTTTGCAGGCGTTCTGGTACACCACCCAGCGTGGTGAGTACACGGGTGAGGTGTTCGGTTCCTCGGACCGGTGGAACGGGCTGGCCATCATCTTCGACTCGTTCGACAATGACAATAAGCACAACAACCCGTACATCATGGCGGTGGTCAACGACGGCACCAAGGTCTTCGACCACAAGAGGTGAGGATTCTTATTTTTTACTAGCTGTACCCGTGACTTCGTTCCCGTGGAATTTAACTTTATTTTTCTAAAATAAAAACTAGCCTAAATTACTCCTTATTATATCAGCTACCTTCCAAAAAAAAAGTCCCATCAAAATCGGTCCAGCCATTGCAGAGATTAGCCAGAACAAACAGACAGACAGACAAAAATTGTAGAAAAATGTTATTTTGGTGTACCTATTTATATTCATATGCATGTAGTAAAAAACGTTTATTTTAGTATTACAAACAGAAACTCCAATTTTATTTATATGTATAGATAACACTGGTCGCCTAGAGTCAAAATTCATTCATAATTGACTTAAATTATAAGTGTGCTAAACTACTAGGCCACCGAGGCTGCCGAATACCATGAAAAAGAAATGTATGTTTGTACTGTGCGAGGAATCGAACCCGCGATCACCTGAATGTAAAACGCTGTGCGAAACCGCCACACCACTTAGGTCGTATGATATTCGACCATGAAAAAAAATGTATAATTATTCATGTAATGTTTGTACTGTACGATCATCGAACCCCCGACCATCAAAATGCAAGGCGGATTTCGAAATCGGCACCCCAATTAGGCCGTCGAAAAAAAAAAGTATAATTATTCATGTAATGTTTGTACTGTACGAGCATCGAACCCCCGACCATCAGAATGTAAAGCGCTGTGCGAAACCACAACACCAATGAGGCCGTCGATTACTTAATCTCATCTGGCTCATCCGTCATACTCGTGAACGAGTGCTGCTTGTAGGGACTGGTCTGCTCTTATCACTACGACTGATTTAATCTTATTGCATGATTATATTTGACCCAAAAAATTAGTGCTTGTTGGTAGTTTGTATTCACACGTTTCGACTTGTAAATGTAAACTTACAAGGATTATTTAAAAGAGCAACACACAAGTTTCTTGCTCGTTCTTCTTGTGATGAGACAGCTTTCCGAACGAGTGGTAGATAAAAAACAAATTGTTATGACTATTCAAAAGTGCTTAAATTAAGTTTATTTGAATAAATGATTTTCTATTTCTATTTCTATTTAAAAAAAAAAATTTTTACAGTGACGGCTCCACGCAGCTGTTGTCCGGCTGCCTGCGTGACTTCCGCAACAAACCATTCCCGACGCGTGCCCGTGTGGAGTACTATCACAACACGCTCACAGTCTACTTCCACAACGGTGAGCACAGCAGCCTTTACACGCACACTCTTGCACGTGCAAATTGCCTTACACGCTGGTGAGTGCGCGTGTAAATACCTGCCTTTAGTACATCGTCCAATTCAAACTGGGATCGCAATTAGTTTGAAGCTCTAGCGGTGCCGTGAGACTAAAGTCGTATCTGTCATTCGGGAGCTGGCCTTCAGCCGCTCCATAAGTCCTTCCTTTGGTTTAGAGTGCTATCTGCACTCGCTCCTAGCGTCCGGTGAAGCTGTAAAAGTCAGCTGCGGCCAACAGTAAATACCTGTAATGCATGCATGTAAATACCTGCCTTTACACGTATACTCTTGCACGTGCAAATCGCCTTACACGCAGGAGAGTGTGCGTGTAAATACCTGCCTTTACTCCCCCGTCCAATTCAAACTGGGATCGAAATTACGGCCTGAGCCGAGGTTTGAAGCTCTAGCGGTGCCGTCAGACTAAAGTCGTATCTGTCATTCGGGAGTTGGCCTTCAGCCGCTCCATAAGTCCTTCCTTTGTTGGAATTACCCTTAAATAAATTCAAAATATCTATTAAATCATATTTACTGAGCAAAGCCTATTACTCACTAAACGATTACTTGAATGACGAGCGTGCATGGCAATAGTTGTTCATGCACTGATTTTCATTTAATGTTAGACATAGACGCCTATGTAAATATACATTGTAAATAAACTGGCTTTAAAAAAAAATCGATTGAGTTTCTTGCTAGTTCTTCTCAATTGGATCTATATACCGAACTGGACGGTAATGAAAAAAATTAAAATTAGAATGTAAAAATTTGACGTTCATAAGCGACTAAAATGTTCTACATGAATAAATGATTTTTGAATTTGAATTTGGTTTAGAGTGCTATCTGCACTCGCCCCCTATCGTTCAGTGAAGCTGTAAAACCAGCTACGCGTAACAGTAAATACCTGTAATGCATGCATGTAAATACCTGCTTTTACACTGACACTCTTGCACGTGCAAATAGAGTTTTACACGAGAAAGAGTGTGTAAATACCTGCCTTTACAATTACACTCTTTCACGTGCACATAGACTTTAACACGGAAACACTTAGATGGTGGAATGAACTTCCTGCCGAGGTTTTCCCACGAGACTACAGCATGGGGTTTTTCAAGAAGGGTATATTGAGGTTTCTTAAGTGTCGGCAACGCGCATGTGACACACCTGGTGCTTCAGGCGTCCATAGGCTATGGTAACCATTTACCATCAGATGGACCGTATGCTTGATTGCCACCATCGTAGTATAAAAACCCTCTTATCAAAGCGTTCGTGGCCCTGGTCCCCACCAACATGCTGCCCACCTTAATGAAGGAGGACTACTGGCCGAAGGGGGTGGTCTATCGGCGCTACCGTGGCAGATTGCCGTCGTCAGTGCCGTGACCATAGAGACAATTGTATTTACATATTTTATTATTATTTCTTATGTATGTTAGTTTATAAGGTATTTATAATATGGGCCATGAAGCCTGAATTAAATAAAATGGATTAGGGCAACATTGAAATATAATCTTTCTAACATCATAATGCAGGTATGACCAACAACGAGGCGGACTACGAGCTGTGCTTCCGCGCTGAGAACGTGGTGTTACCGCGGGGAGGTTACTTCGGGATATCAGCGGCGACCGGTGGCCTGGCCGACGATCATGACGTCATACACCTACTCACTACGTCACTGCACACCGCTCAACAAGGTTACACTTTTTTTTTATTGAGCTTGTTAATACTCATAGTAACATCGCCCATACAGCTATAACCCCTCTGATCGATCTCCCGTCCAATTCAAACGGGGATCGAAATTACAACGGCATGTACCAAGGTTCGAAACCCCAGCGGTGCCCTCAGACTAAAGTCGTATCCGTCAGGCGGGAGTTGTCCTTCAGCCGCTCCATAAGTCCTTCCTTTGGTTTGGAGTGCCATCTGCACTCGCCCCCTATCGTCCGGTGAAGCTGTAAAGGCCAGCTCCGGACAACAGCATTAGAGTAGTCCGAAAAAAAACAGCTACAATATTCTGTATCTGTGGCGCATAATGTTTGCGCGGGAAAACTAAAAGACAACAAAATGGGTTCTTCTCCAGTCGTACTCCTGATTCCTAATTATTTTATACTATTCTACATCATTATATATTATATATACATACACATAGTATAAAACAAAGTCACTGTCGCTGTCTGTCCCTATATATGCCTAAATCTTTAAAACTACGCAACGGATTTTGAAGCGGTTTTGTTAATAGATGAGTGATTCAAGAGGAAGGTTTATATGTATAATACATGTACATCCGTGCGAAGTCGGGGCGAGTAGCTAGTAACGTTATATGTCTGCAATTTACTTTTATTGTAATATATACTTTTAAATACAGCAAAATGAATATAAATACATCTTCTAGTATCATACTAATTATTATTATCATTCTAATGTATGATCATGGAATGGTGCACCCGCCTGCGCTAACGGTATACGCTGGCGGGGCACCAGTGGAGGATGATAAGATGAACATGAGGTCAGGTCAGTTAGCCCATCGTGGTAAATTCACAAAGATTTTATCACGATTTCCAAGGGGAGCCACGTGGAGGTCAACCTGACATGGTACATTGCTAATAATGGAGTTAGCACACCGCGTTTCTTCCGACGGTCGCGGGTTCGATTCCTCGCACAATTAAGCATTTATATTCATAAGAATAATTGTTTGTATCTGTCTTATTTTCTAAAAAAGTATTTATTTCAGTTGTCTAGTATATCACAAACTCTGCTTAGCGTGGGACTAGATGGCGCTATGTGAATTGTTCTGAGATATTATTATTAAACTAATGCTGGGGGTAAATGAACAGGTGGACAGCAGATCAGCTCGGATGAACAGCAGAAGCTGTCGCAGGAGTACCAGGAGTACCAGAAGAAGCTGGAGCAACAGAAGGAGGAGTACAGGAAGGAGCATCCTGATGAGGTACAGGACACAGCTTTTGATATTCAATTCGATAAACTTGTGTGTTGTTCTTTTAAATAATGTTGTTCAAAAAACTTTTTTAAGAATATTGTGCGAATACAAACTGCCACAAGCAAAGTTGACTTAAATAGTTACTTGAATAACAAAATAAATCAGTCCTAGTTATTAGAATAGAATAGAATAGAATAGAAAATCATTTATTCAAATAAACTTAATTTAAGCACTTTTGAATAGTCATAACAATTTGTTTTTTATCTACCGCTCGTTCGGAAAGCTGTCTCATCACAAGAAGAACGAGCAAGAAACTTGCGTGTTGCTCTTTTAAATAATACTTGTAAGTTTACATTTACAAGTCGAAACGTGTGAATACAAACTACCAACAAGCACTAATTTTTGGGTCAAATATAAATATGCAATAAGATTAAATCAGTCGTAGTGATAAGAGCAGACCAGTCCCTACAAGCAGCACTCGTTCACGAGTATGACGGATGAGCCAGCCATCACTGCGCTCGACCATATTTTAGGGAGCCCATTGACCCGGCCCACCACGCCGCCACATGTCTGGACATTTTAGTGAGCATGACTACTCATTCCACACGACCACGTCACAGCTACAAAAATTACTATATGATAGCGTAGCGGCTTTTGTATTGATTGCCGCATGCATCCTCATGTAAACATGAGGATGCATGCGGCAATCAATATAAAAGCCGCTACGCTATCATATATCAAGAAAGCAGTATGAAAATTAAAATTTAAAGAGGAGACCGGTCCTTATGAGCAGTACCTGTTCACGAGTATAACGGGAGAGTCAACCGTCTCCGTGCTGAACCGTACTGTAGGGACCCCAATGTCCCGCCACACCACCGCCTCTCTCGACATTTAAGTGAACACGAATAGAATAGAAAATCATTTATTCAAATAAACTTACATTGAAGCACTTTTGAATAGTCATCATATTTTTTAATCTACCGCTCATTCGGAAAGCTGTCTCATCACAATAAGAACGAGCAAGAAACTTGCGTGTTGCTCTTTTAAATAATTTTATTCTTACTTTTAAGTTTAAGTGTGTGAATACAAACTACCGATTAGCACTAATTCAATTAAATAATTAAAGAGAAAACATATTGAATGCACAACAACTGGTTAAACAGTTAATAAGAGGAAATCAGTCATAGTGATTAGAGCAGACCAGTCCCTACAAGTGGCACCCGTTCACGAGTATGACAGATGAGCCAGCCATCACTGCGCTCGACCATATTTTAGGGAGCCCAATGACCCGGCCGACCACGCCGCCAAAAGTCTGGACATTTTAGTGAGCATGACTACTCAAAACACCAGACCACGTCATAGCTACTTACAGTTGCCATCTTATAGATATTGTATTCACATTTTACATAAGGACTTTTATTGGCAGGTAGTTGATGTAATAAGGAGTAACTTAGGCTACTTTTATTTTAGAAAAATAAAATTTAATTCCACGCGGACGAGGTCGCAAGGTACTAATTAGTATTAAAACAAGGCAGTGATCCCCCGGTGACGTAGTGTTGTATTGTTGCAGGCTCGTGACAAAGAGGGCGAGTTCGAGGACTGGTTCGAGTCGGACGGACAACGCGAGCTGCGACAGATCTTCCAGGGGCAGGCGCAGATGCACGACGTGCTGCGAGATATGAACAAGAAGATTGACGAGGTAACCCAGGGTATTTTTTTTAAAGGATGATAATGTAAGGGTGCACCCGCCTGCGCTAACGGTTTACTCTGGCGGGGCACCAGTGGAGGATGATAAGATGAACATGAAGTCAGATCAGTTAGCCCAACGTGACAAATTCACACGGAATATATCACGATGGTTTCCAGGGGGAACCGCGTGGAGGTCAACCTGACATGGTACATTGCTAGTAATGGGGTCATTAGTCCACATTACTAACAATAACCTTTCCCCCTATTGTTAGGTGTTTGTAACACCTGTAGCTACTAAATCCTGCTACTAAATGAAGTAGGAAGCAGAAATAATATTATACTGAGATGGGTCCCCGGTCATTCAGATATTGAAGGCAATGAGAATGCCGACCATCTGGCAAAGTTAGGGGCAAAAACCGTCCAACAGGGCCCCGAACCCTTCTGTGGTGTGCCTCGTTGCCTAAAACTGGGACATTTCAAATTAATAACCAAACGAGAAGCACTGAATCACTGGCAAGAAATGCCAGGATTAACACATTCAAAAGACCTAATATCGGGCTTCTCGACCAAATACTCCAATAGACTACTGCTATTGAGTAAAAACAACATATGCATGATGACTAGGGCCCTCACAGGACAATGCAAATTAAATAAGCTTATGGCTAAACTAGGCCTATGCACGACAAGTATCTGCAGATTCTGCCAAACTGAAGAGGAAACGCCGCTTCACATCCTATGTGGTTGTAGCCCACTCATGCATAAACGAAATATCTCCTTTGGAAAGTTTACACTCTTAGTCTTCTGAGATAAAAACTACCGCTCCTAAGAATATCCTTCAATTCTTGTCCCTGACGGGTCTAGGTAGCGAGAGAGCACAATAGATCTATGTAGGTCGCAGTGCTACAGGTGCTACACATCTGACAATAGCCCAAACAATCCAATAAAGAAAAAAAAACACCTGTAGCACTGCGACCTACATAGATCTATTGTGCTCGCTCTATACCCCTAGTGGTGCCCTCACACTTAAGTCGTATCCGTCAGGCAGGAGTTGGCCTTCAGCCGCTCCATAAGTCCTTCCTTTGGTTTGGAGTGCCATCTGCACTCGCCCCTAACGTCCGGTGAAGCTGTAAAGGCCAGCTACGGCCAACAGCATTAGAGTAGTCCGAAAGCTCTATTTCAGAGTTCGCTGCCTAGACCCGTCAGGGACAAGAATTGAAGGATATTCTTAGGAGCGATGGTTTTTATCTCCTCAGGATAGAGTGTACTTTCCAAAGGACATATTTTGGGGCTACAACCACATAGTATGTGTAGTGGCGTTTCCTCTTCAGTTTGGCAAAATCTGCAGATTTTTTATATGCATAGGCCTAGTTTTGACATATGTTTGATTAGTATAACCTGGGGTAATATTCGTGGGGAATACGACTAGAGGTCGCGGGTTCGATTCAATATTCTTATTATTGCTCCCAAGCTGATAATTGAATTTATTGATAGCTTGGGAACAATCTTAAGAATATCGAATCGAACCCGCGACCTCTAGTCGTATTCCCCGTAGGGTTGGCAATGCTTAAGATTCTGTTTCAGACCTGACCAGACATTAGCTATGGTAACCATTTACCATCAGATGGGCCGTATATTTGATTGTTACCATCATAGTATAAAAAATATGTTTAACAGATTCAGCGTGAAAAAGAAACACGTTTTTGCGATTTCTTTTTTCTCAAATATGGTTTGTGCAATTCTATTTGAACCTTTTGTAGATTATTGAGCCTACTTTTGACAATGTTGTGTAATTTTTTCACGTAGAAATATTGAAGCATAAGCCGGTAATAGAGCTTCCCCCGGAACGTCTTAGGAAAAAACAATTTGTGTGTTCACCATAACTCGGCCGGAAATTATCTGAAAATGAACCAAAACCATGAAAATTAATTAAATTATAATCAAATCTTACCTTAATTTAATTGATATATATTTTTTTTTTCCATTTAAACATTATTGGCGGCCATTTAAAGTGTGAAAATTGATGGTGTCTGTGTGTACAGGTGATCGGCAAGCAGATGAACTCCCTGTCGATGTTGACGGCCGTGTACAGTCACGCGCAGGGCTCCGGACTGCAGGCGCAGCCCCCGCAGGCTGGACAAGCTCCCCCGCCAGTATGTATACACTACACTGATATCAAATGAAATCAAAAATTATTTATTCATGTAGGACCTTTTAGCCACTTATGAACGTAATTTTTTTTGTATTAATATTTTTCCCTACCATCCAGTTAAGTATACAGATTCAATTGAGAAGAACTGGCAAGAAACTGAATTAAATTGTTTTTTTTTTACTACTAACACTGATTTTTTTTAGGTTTAGTTGGCCTTCTCATTATCCTCCCGCCTGCACTGATGGTTTACCCCGGCGGGGCACCAGTGGAGGATGATAAGATGAGCATGAAATCAGGCCAGTTAACACAGCTTGGCTTAGCTTCCAGGGGAACCGCGTGGATATCAACCTGATATGGTTACATAGGAATAATCCATATTACTAACAATTCCTTTAAAAAAACAATGTAAAATGTGAACTTACAAGGATTGTTTAAAAGAGCAACACACAAGTTTCTTGCTTATTCTTCTTGTGATGAGACAGCTTTCCGAATAAGCGGTAGATTTTAAAAAATGTTGACTATTCAATAGAATAGAATAGAATAGAAAATCATTTATTCAAATAAACTTAATTTAAGCACTTTTGAATAGTCATAACAATTTGTTTTTTATCTACCACTCGTTCGGAAAGCTGTCTCATCACAAGAAGAACGAGCAAGAAACTTGTGTGTTGCTCTTTTAAATAATCCTTGTAAGTTTACATTTACAAGTCGAAACGTGTGAATACAAACTACCAACAAGCACTAATTTTTTGGGTCAAATATAATCATGCAATAAGATTAAATCAGTCGTAGTGATAAGAGCAGACCAGTCCCTACAAGCAGCACTCGTTCACGAGTATGACGGATGAGCCAGCCATCACTGCGCTCGACCATATTTTAGGGAGCCCATTGACCCGGCCCACCACGCCGCCACATGTCTGGACATTTTAGTGAGCATGACTACTCATTCCACACGACCACGTCACAGCTACAAAAATTACTATATGGTAGTTACAGTATTCGCACTTTACATAAGGATGCATGCGGCAATCAATACAAAAGCCGCTACGCTATCATATATCAAGAAAGCAGTATGAAAATTAAAATTATAACGTTGTCCGCAAATAAACTTATTCTTGCTATATATTGCTATCATCTATAAATTCATCTATCTTATAATAGGCTTTTTTACATAACATTTGTTTAATATAAGATTTGAATTGCCTCTCTGTAAGATTTAGCGTAGACTCTGGCAGTTTATTATAGAATCTTACGCAATTACCATAAAATGAATTACTAACTTTGTGTAGACGGCATTTAGGTAAAATTAGCTTATTTTTATTGCGTAAGTTTCTAATTGTACAGTCTTTAAGTTTCTTGAAACTATCTAAGTTTTTCCTTGTATACATAATATTTTCATAAATGTACTGTGAGGCAACGGTGAGGATATTTGATTGTTTAAAGCATTGACGTAATGACTCTCTAGAACCCATACCATAAATAGAACGTATGGCTCTCTTTTGTAAAATAAATATAGTATTTATATCGGCAGCTTTACCCCATAGCAGTATGCCATATGACATAATGCTATGGAAATAACTAAAATATACAAGTTTTGCCGTCGCCACGTCTGTTAATTGCCTTATCCTTCTAATTGCATAAGCAGCAGAACTAAGTCTACTGGCTAATTTTGAAATATGGGGCCCCCATTGTAACTTCGAGTCCACTGTTATTCCTAAAAAAACTGTATCATTAACAAAATTTACTATTTCATCATTAAGTAATAGCTGCGTATTTACTTGTTTTACATTAGGCAGCGTGAATTTAATGCACTTAGTTTTGTTGGAGTTCAATAATAGATTATTACATGTGAACCAATTTAGTATAGCAGAGATAGCATAATTTACATCGTCTAATTGATTACATTGGCGACCAATTTTAAACACTAACGAAGTATCATCCGCAAATAACACTATATCTGCAACTTTCTCTACCATGTAGGGAAGGTCATTTATATAAATTAAAAAGAGAAATGGGCCTAATATTGAACCTTGAGGAACGCCCATTTTTATATTAGTTCCCTTAGACTTTACACCATCAATATCTACAGTTTGCACCCTATTCTCTAGATAAGTTTTCATTAGACTTAGGTCATTATCTCTAATACCATAATATTTGAGCTTGTACAAAAGTGTTTCATGATCTACGCAATCAAACGCCTTCGACAAGTCACAAAAAACGCCGAGAGCATCCTGTGAGTTTTCCCATGATTCGAATATATGTGTAATATATTCGAATTCGAATATGTGTGTGTGCAGTGAAACCATATTGCTGACTGTGAAGCAGTCCGTTATCCCTGAAGTATTTTAACATTTGGTTAAACATAATCTTTTCAAATACTTTACTTAGAACTGGCAAAATAGAAATTGGTCTATAGTTGCCTAGCTCAAATCTATCTCCAGATTTAAAGAGTGGAATTAATTTGCTAAATTTCATTAATTGAGGAAACACGCCATTATCAACACATTTATTGAAAATAGTAGCTAGATAAGGAGCAACAATATCTATGAATGAACTAACTACTTTAACTGACATGTCCCAGAGATCTTCCGTATTTTTTAAATTTAACTGTTTGAATATTTTTATGACATGAAAAGGGCTGACATGTGAAAATTTAAATGTTAAAGAGCAAGGGCTGACATTAGCCTCCAGTAATGTTTTTGCTCGAATTGGAGATGAGTCTAGAGAAGATGTAATATCAATCGGAATATTAGCAAAAAAATCTTGAAAAATATGAACTATATCTTTTGTTGCTGTTATTAACTTATTGTCATAATTTAATGAGAATTGATTGCAGGCTTTTTCAGACCGTCCAGTTTCTTTGTTTATAATTCCCCAGATGGTCTTAATTTTGTCAGAGGACTGATTAATTTGTTTATTTATAAAATTAGATTTAGCTGCAATACAAACTTGTTTGAAAATTTTAGAGTAATTTCTCACATAAGTCGTAAATTTGTCATCAAATCTATATTTTTTTTGATCATATAAATCAAATAAAATGTTTCTACTTTTAAGTATTCCTACTGTTGCCCATTCTGTAAATTTAGATTTAACACAATATTCTCTTTTCTTGAAAATATTCTGGTATTCTTTTGACAAAAGACTAATTAACTTGGTGTAAAGAATATCAGGATTATTAAGACTGACAGATTGTAACTCTAAGTCTAATTTATATTTAACCGTGCTTTTGTATTTATTAATATTGTAAGCATTTATTTGTCTTTTTGATCTTTTATTATTGGTATTTTTTTTTAGTCTGATTACTAAACTTAACAACTTGACCACAGTGATCCGAAGGAAGTTTATTTATTATTAATTTTTCAATATACTCACAGTTACAAAAAACATTGTCAAGACAAGTAGCAGTCGTAGCGGTTACACGAGTGGGTTCCTGAAAGACATTACCCAAATTAAAAGACTGAAATAAACTAATAATTTTTGTACATGTGGGTGTATCACAAAGAATATCAACATTAAAATCACCACACACAATGATTTTTTTACTGCTATTAAATACTTTTTTTAATATATCCTCCATCACCTCTTCAAATACATTATAATCACTATTAGGAGGCCTATAAACACATATAAGTATATAATTATCTAGTTCTATACATGAGATTTCTGTACAACACTCAATAGAAAGTCTAACAATGTCAGCACGTTCCTTTACTTTAATATTATTTCTTGCAATTATCATAGACCCACCTCTGTTAACTGACTTTCTATTGAAGCAGCTGACAACATTATAATTATTTAAACTGAACATCATATTGCTTTCTTTAAGCCAATGTTCAGTGAAACAGATAATGTCAATATTGTATTTTTCCAAAAATAATTGTATAATTAATTCACTGCCGGGAAAACTTTGTATGTTCTGATGAACAATTACCAATTCTAATTGCTTTCCCTTTGTCTTTGTTAGCAGTTTAAATCTGCAGTCAAATTACTTATATCACTATTTAAACAAAAATTAATAGAATCATTTGTTATGTCACAATTTTTATATTGAAGTTTACCATGTAAACTGTTCATGAAGTCAATATTATAAGCCACTAAAGTGGCTATTTTATTCTTAGAAGATTTAGAAAGATACATTGTATCTTTTGTCAAATAAAAATCACTAATAAAACTATTAGTGTCAAAAAATGTAAAAACGTCACTATGACGACATGTCAATGTATGTAATAAATTATTAAGGTAATGTACCTTATTGTTAATTTTTTTATAATAATGGCTACTTGTATAAGGTAGAGCGCACAATACAATCTTATATACATTCAATTGTAACAAATATTGAATACCTTTAATTATATCCTGTCTATTTAATTTAATACTATTACCAAAAAATAACACAACTGTGGTCATTTTATTCATTTTAGTAGATTTAATTTTGTTAATAATTTGTGCAAATGATGCCCCTGGCATACAGTAATTTAATACATCACCCTTAAGATGATACTTCAATATAGACCCAAAATTACAGCCTATTCTGTCAGAAAACACCATTGTGCTACTTTTAGGATTATAGTCACTGACACAAATCCCCTGAACTTCATTTATCTGCACAGTTGAAACTGAATTATTATTTGGCAAAGTTGAATGATCACATGTACAATGTTTCGTTAACGACTCAAAACGGTCAGCATTGTATTTACTGACATCAATCAAATCATCCATTGCTAAAATATGCTCCTGGATTTGTTTTTGTGAGATAGTATACTTGTTATTTAAATCATGAAGCGATGATTCTAAACTCTTTATTTTTGAAGTTAGGTAACTTGTATCCATGTCATATAACTTTTGGCTTTCCACTAGTTTATTATTATACTTATTAATATAATCATGCAATTTTAAATTGTTTAAACTAGTTTTTTTCAGCAACTGACCATTTTTGGAACGTTTATATAATATACTCCGAGTCTTAGTTATAAACTTTTTTAATTTTAAATATTTTTTTAATTTATTATGACTCAACATACATATGTTATTATTATAGTTGCCCTGTGATGTGTCGCTAGTAAGGTCAATCACAACTGGATGGCTGCATGGAACTGAAGTAGAAGGAGGCATACAGTCGACACTAATAAGCTCCTCATATAAATTACTAATCTCATTACTTTGTTGAGATTCAAATTTTGTGTCAAGATCATTAATTTTAAGATATGCCTGCTTTAACTCAAGCTCCAACTCAGTGATACGCCTCAAGGCTTGCTCATGTGTATCACTACATTGGTGAAAGCTACTTAATAGTTCTTGAAGCTGATCCCGCTGCTCAATAACTTCCCGATGACTATTATAAAGTTCTGACAATTCAGATTTTAATTGTGTATTTTTATTTATAATTATTAAAATTTCATCTTCACTCTCTTCTCTCTCCCTGATCAACTTGTCACTGAGATCTTTGGACGCCTGAAGTTCTTGTAGGGCCACTTTAAGCTTCATCTCTGTCTGCCGCGCAGTTGTGGAACGGGTAGATAGTGACATTATTAAGAATATAAATAGTTACTTGGGAGAGTGAAGTGAGCTATTTCTAAAAGAAGCTAAGTATTACAACGAGAACAGCAGCTGAACCTTACTATACAGTTTAAGTGTTAAAATTGTGTATAAATTCTCCTAGGTATATTATATACAAGTTATATTTGATAAATTGATAATCTAAATAAACGTTTTAACTGAATAACGAAATAAATGTAGATAAATTGTGCTCTTTCCCTTTAAATTAAAATAATACAAAATATAAAAAGACTTACAATTAAATTAGTGGGTATTTTTTCCTTCGACGTATGCAACAACCGAACTTCACTATAATTATTATTAATTTAACTTAATATGAATATTTTATGTAAAACTTGCAATGATTATGAGTTGCTTGGGATAAAACCAACAATAAATTGCAAAATAATTTTGAATAAAACTTAGTTGTTCACGAACAGTTTGACAGATGGCCGGTACACTATATGTAATGTCGATTTTTGCAAGTAATACACCACTAAACTGTACACAAACAACAATCGACACTAATTACACTATTAGATCACTAATAACAATATTGAAATTATAATATTTTTATGATAAACAATTAAAATTTATTTATTATTACGGCCAGCTGAAAATGACAATTCTCGTCGGTGTTGCCAGTCGAAAAAAAAAAAAAAAAATTCAAAAGTGCTTAAATTAAGTTTATTTGAATAAATTATTTTTAGAATAGAATAGAAAATCAATTATTTACTTACATTGAAGCACTTTTGAATAGTCATCACATTTTTTTAATCTACCGCTCATTCGGAAAGCTGTCTCATCACAAGAAGAACGAGCAAGAAACTTCTGTGTTGCTCTTTTAAATAATTTGATTCTTACTTTACAATTTAAGTTTAAGTGTAATACAAACTACCGATTAGCACTAATTCAATTAAATAATCAAATAGAAAAAATATTAAATACACAACAACTGGTTAAACAATTAATAAGAGGAAATCAGTCATAGTGATTAGAGAATACCAGTCCCTACAAGCAGCACCCGTTCACGAGTATGACGGATGAGCCACCCATCACTGCGCTCGACCACATTTTAGGTAGAGCCCAATGACCCGACCCACCAAATTACAATATGTCATTACTAAATTTATTATATTGATGTCTATAGTCTGAACTATGTCAGTGAGAAAATTATATATCTCATTTCAGATTCCGTCCCTGCCAATCGGCCGCCACGACTGGGACGCGCTGGTGGCCAACAACCAGATCATGATCAACACGGTCGCAGAACTCAAGTCAGTGCATCACTCATTTCTTCTTCTTCTCTTCTTCCTCTCTTCTTCTTCATCTTCTTCACGTCTATAACACTAGATGGGGTAGTCAGATCCATTTTGATGTATCACTTGACATAGTCATGTTTGTATTAGTATTTTCTCGATAGTATAGCGGATTAGCGCCTTACTTCCGACGGTAGCGGGTTCGATTCCTCGCACTGCGCAAATATTAGTATTCATGATTTTTATAGGTCTGGATGTTTTATATTATGGATATTATAATAATTTATTTATTTGTTTATTTAATTTATTTATTTGCTTGCTACATGGTAGTTTCGGATCTAATTATAACTATTATAACTAATAAAAGTACATGACATGCAGCAACCCTTAGAGGTATGCAAATATTCAAATTAAATCATATTCAATTTAATATAAAATTATGTCATTACATTACGAATACCCACAAATATATTTAAATATCTATATTAATTCATTAATGTCAATATTTGTAGTTATTAATAAATATTATATAATGACATCTATTTTGCATGTAAAATAATCTTTCACTGAGTAAAAACACTTATTTATCACTTATTTATTTATAAAAACAATTATTTAAGTATATCTATAAGTTGTCTAGTACCCATAATATAAGCTCTGCTTAGTTTGGGACTAGATGGCGCTGTGTGAAATCTTGGAGATTGCCGTTATTATTATCTTAAATCTAAGATCTCGATTTGTTTTTGTTTGTTATTGAGTTTTACATTACCGGAGAAATAATCAGAAATATTAATTTACACATAGTTTTCACAAAAAAATAGGTGATCGATTACATTAGTGATGACTCTCCTGCGATGGAAACACCGAAAACAAAATGCATCCAATTTAGTTCAAATATATCTAGCGAAATGTGGACACATCAAGCGTTGACTTCACAACGACATAGAGAGCTGAAATGTCTCTGAATAGCTCATCTGAGCTACAGTAGTATCCTAGTAAATTGTACTTTTGTGTAACTGTAAAATGCACCGTATTACGTTTGCAGAGGGTTCATAATCGAGGTGGCTCGTAAATCGGACTCATTATTAGCGGCCGGCGGCAGTGGAGGCGGTACAGCCATCAACCCTCAGTTCCTGAACGAGATGAGAGACTCCATCAACCAGGTCAAGCAGACCGTCGCAGGGGTCGCGCAGAGGTGGGTGGCATTTTTATTATTTATTTATTCTTTATTGCACTTAAAAATTATACAATTTGGCGAGCTTAATGCCATAGAGCATATATTTATTGTAGGATTTATTTATTTATTCCTTTTCTCATTAAAGAGCTCACATGTAAAGGCAGCTATTTACATGCACACTCTATCCAGCATGAAAGACGATTCCCTCATTAAAGACCGTACGTGTAAAGCTAGTTATTTACATGCACACTCTATCCAACGTGAAAGGCTATTCCCTCATTAAAAACCGTACATGTAAAGACAGTTTTTTACATACACACTCTATTTAGCGTGAAAGACTATTCCTTCATTAAAGAGCTCACATGTAAAGGCAGCTATTTACATGCACACTCTATCCAGAGTGAAAGACGATTCCCTCATTAAAGAGCTCACATGTAAAGGCAGCTATTTACATGCACACACTATCCAGCATGAAAGACTATTCCCTCATTAAAGAGTTCACGTGTAAAGGCAGCTATTTATATACACATTGAATACCGAATCCCTCGTTAAAGAGTACGTGTAAAGGTATTGCTAGTTGGTGGTCTGCATTCGCATGTTTCGAATTGGAAATGTAAAGTTACAATTATTTAAAAGAGCAACACACAAGTTTCTTGCTCGTTCTTCTTGTGATGAGACAGCTTTCCGAATGAGCGGTAGATTGAAAGAATCATAACTATGACTATTCATTGGTCATTGGGCTCCCTAAAATATGGTCGAGCGCAGTGATGGCTGGCTCATCCGTCATACTCGTGAACGAGTGCTGCTCGTAGGGACTGGTCTGCTCTTATCACTACGACTGATTTAATCTTATTGTGTGCTTATATTTAACCCTAATAAATTAGTGCTGGTTGGTAGTTTGTATTCACACGTTTCGAATTGTATAATGTGAACTTACAAGGATTATTTAAAAGAGCAACACACAAGTTTCTTGCTCGTTCTTATGATGAGACAGCTTTCCGAATGAGCAGTAGATTAAAAAAAAATGGTTATAATTGTTCAAAAGTGCTTAAATTAAGTTTGTTTGAATAAAGAATATTTCTATATGTAAATGAATGTCCGTCCGTCAGGGTGGCGACGAGTCCGGGCGTGTCCGGGGCGCAGGTGTCGTGTCCGGACGTGTCGTGCGTGGGCTTCACGGGGCTGCTGCTGGTGGTCGCCGTCCAGCTGGTCATCATGCTACTATACAACTTGTACAAGTTAGTATACATTCTAAGTAATTGGAATAGACCTCTGGAATACCAGAGGACTGTGATGCCTCTTATCCTGTAATTTCATTGCCTAATCTGCACAGTATAAAAGAAACAGCTGCTTGGCGGCTGAAATATGTGAAACTAAGTGCTGGTTTGGCCAAATAATATACTTGTATGTTTCATATGATATCTAAATATATATAACTCAAAGGTGACTGACATAGTGATCTATCAACTCACAGCCCAAACCACCGGACGGATCGGGCTGAAATTTGGCATGCAGGTAGATGTTATGACGTAGGCATCCGCTAAGAAAGGATTTTGATTAATTTTATCCCAAAGAATAAAATAGGGGATGAAAGTTTGTATGAAACTTTGTCAATTTTAAACCGATCGGGCTGAGACTTTGCATGCATAAAGCTACTGTTATGAAAACAGCTAACGTAAAATTTTGAATTCAGCTGTCTTTAGTGGACTGTATTTACGACAATTGGATTTGAGCAAGATTGATAATTTGGAAGGCACTCACCTTGTACTGCGAGGATTGCCGGTTCGGTTTCAGCAAGGCTTCCCAGAACTCCGGGCTTGTCCGAACTTACCTTTTGAACGGGTTACCTGTTTACCGCCAAAACCGACAATAGGTGCTTTCCAGTATCAACTTGCGTTCCTTTATTATTTCGTTAAGAATATTTAGTTAAGAAATCTATATAAAATAATTTAGTTAAGAAATCTATATAAAATATCGACAATTACGACAATTACGACAGCGATTATCAGAACACTTTTTTCGACAACGACAAAAGGCGAAACGACTCCCACCCTCGTAATCTCTTTTTATTTTTTTACTTTTTTTTTATTATTTACGGCATTGGATATCGCGATAATGTTGCCGTGCGTATTATTGTGAATAGTGACCAGCTACTATGACTTAGGCATCCCCTAAGAAAGGATTTTTGGATCCCTAAGGGGATAAATTAACGCGGACAAAAGCTAGTAATTAATAAATTATTACAGTACAATGACGTGGTTACAAATGTGAATTTATATTGCGTGTGTGATACAACTAGTGTTGTGTCCACATCCTTTTACAACTAGTGACGTCTTATAGCTAAACTATCGATTATCATAACACTGAGGTACACTCGTAGGCCAGTTTTTTTTTTGTGGATGATAATGGAATGGTGCATTCGCCTGCGCTAACGGTTTACGCTGGCGGGGCACCAGTGGAGGATGATAAGATGACGTCAGGTCAGTTAGCACATCTTGGTAAATTCACTAGGAATTTATCACGATGGTTTCCAGGAGGAACCGCGTGGAGGTCGACCTAACATGGTACATTGCTAGGGGGATTCGCATTATAAACAATCCCCCCCCCCCTCAGTATGAACAGTCTATCTCGGTTATGCATCTATTTTATATTTATATATATATATTAAAAAGTTCAATGATTGACGATCTCGCTGGTCTAGCGGTTAAGTACACCGCCTTATTTCTGATAGTCGCGGATTCGATTCCTTGCACGATGCAAACATTTGTATTCATGTGTATGATTGACTGCGAACAGGGATGAATGAAAGAGAAAAACGTATTGCGCCGACCACAAATAAATGGGATAAGGAAGAAGCAGATGATGATGAGTATGATTGTTTGTATCAGTCTCGTTGTTTACTATGTATAATGTATGTATTTACGAAAAAAAATCTATGTAGGTATTTGTATCAGTTGTCTAGTTATGGGTATAACACAGCTTGCTTTTCAGCTAGCTTAACTTGGGTCTAGATGGCGCTGTGTTAATTGTCCTGAGATTATTATTATTATATTATATTACACTCTGTAAATGTAGTTACCTATTGGTGGTGGCGGTTCCCCCTGGAAACCATCGTGATAAATTCTTGGTGAATTTGGGCTAACTGACCTGACCTCATGCTCATCTTATCATCCTCCACTGGTGCCCCGCCAGCGTAAACCGTTAGCGCAGGCGGGTGCACCATTACATTATCATCTATAAAAAGACCCCACGGACCAAGGGTCACTGCACAGAATGCAAATGAATTTTGAGTTTGAATTTCACAATTAAAATTCCTTTTTTTTTTTTCAGAGAAAGAAAAGAAGCTCAAGCAAAGAAATTCTTCTGAGGTGTGATAGAGATAGGTATAGTCGTTACGCACTTGTTCCACATTGTCGCATACCTTACAGATCTCAAGAGTAGGGCTCAATTACAATATCAAATGCAGTTGTGTATAGGTCACTGTTTTTTTTTAATACAGATTATATATATATACGACGAGTCGGTGGTCTAGCGGTCTAGCACACCGCTTTACGACCGATGGTCGCGGGTTCGATTCCTCGCACGGCACAAACATTTGTATTCATGTTTGTATCGGTCTGGGTGTTTTCAATGTATAATATGTATGTATTTACAAAAAAAAATCTATGTATATGTATCAGTTGTCTAGTACCCATAACACAAGCTTTAGCTAGCTTAACTTGGGTCTAGATGGCGCTGTGTGAATTATCCTGAGATTATTATTATTATATTATATCACACTCTGAAAATGTAGTTACCTATAGGTGAGTGTTTTTTTTAATCGGTCGAGTACTTGTGTTATTTTTACATTAAAAACAAAGGATTTCTGCTCTTTTGTACTAAATAAGCACTATTTATATTGTTAACTGCGTCTGATGAATAATTTTATGGTAAAGTAGCTGTACCCGCGCAGCCCACGCAGACGAAGCCGCGAGAACAGCTAGTTTATCACAAAATTATTCGTGTTAAGACTCTGTTAACCATACAAATTAGTCTTTACCTCAAATTAGTCTGTCTTCTAAGGTCGGATTTCACCAAAGAAACTGATCGCGTTTAGTTCAAACTGAACGCCATTAAAATGTTTAAACGTGTTCAAAGCTTCATTTTTCATTTCACCACTACAAATTTCGCTAAACACGTTTATAAATTCTGAACGTCTGATTTCCTACAGTTAACTCTTTAAACGTATTTAAAGCAGCTGTCAGTTGTCAAACAGTCATCAATCAAATTTTTGACAATACAATATCGGGAATAAAAAGAAAATTGCCAGTAGTGTAAAAAAAAACCTCAATAAAATATTTTTTTACTAGTTAATAGGTAAAGGTTGTCGTTTTATATTTTGTAGTCGACGGTACTTATTAAATTAAAAATTAATAAACTTATCCTAATTATCACATGATTGAATTACAAATATTTCTTAGAATTATTTTATTTAAATTACCCATTACATCAAATATTATTTTATGAGCGTGTAACACTGTGAACGAATGATAATCTAAACTTCATTTTGGTAAACGCGATCTGTATAACGCTGGTGAATTCCATTTAAAGTAAAACGAGATCAACGTCGTTCTTTTTTTCGAGTTCACGCTGAACTCCGTTTCCTTGAACGTGTTTATACTACGATTGGTGAAATCCAACCTAAATTATTTATCAAAATTAATATTATATGAAGGTAATAATAATTTACATAAATAATTCAGAATAGAAAGGTATGTTTTCAAAAAAACAATTTAGAAATTTTTTAGGGGCGTCCATAAATTACGTGAGGTGGTTTTTTTTTTATTTACTGCCTCCCCCTCTTAAACATCTCACGTAATTTATGGACGCACCGTAATTTGATTTGCAAAAGTTATATTTTATTGTAATAACGAATTGAAAATTAAATCGTATGTGTATTTTATTAAAGTTTATTTTAAAATTATCTTCTAAAGATATTAAACTCAATTGGTTGTTTATTTTTTTAATTTCATGCTCAAATTTTGTAATTGACTACCTCGACGGTACAGTGGTTTAGCACGCCGCCTTACATTCAAATGGTGCAAGTTCCATTCCCCCAAAATACCAATATATTTATTTGTATTGGTCTGGGTGTGTTTCTACATATATTATTTACTTAAGTATTTTTTTATATATCTCTTTTAATTGTCAGTTGTCTAGATCCTATAATACAAGCTTTGCTTAGTTTGGACCGGATGGCGCTGTGTGAATTGTCCTCTGTTTTTTTTTTGTTTATTATATTTAATGTAATTATTATGTAATAATATTATATTTTTTCTTGTATAAATAAAATAAAAATGTGGTCCTTTTTGTAATCTCTTAAACGTTTTCTCTCTTCTCTCTCTCTCTCTCTTTATAAAGTATATGACAGTATTACGTAAGCACTATGGGGGGCGGAGGGTCTTTGGTGTGCTTATTTTGGATGACATGGGGTGTAGGGGAGTCTAGATGACGAGTACGTTATCGGCAGTCATTTACTTTTTTTACGCAAATTGCAACCCTCACATTGTCTTTGTCTAAAAAACGATACATTAATTGAAAAATGTTTACGTAAGCATGGGGGAGGGGGTAAAAGCTTGGCTTACTTTTGCTGACAAAGGGGTTGGAGGGGGCGGTAAATAATTGTAATAAATCTACTTACGTAATATGTGACGACCACATCAAAACTTAATTTCATTAGATTTACATCTACCAAAACGGAATTTTTAAAATGGCTGCCATTTTTAATTTATTTTGTTTAATTCATCAGGCAGGCATAGGTTTCTACATCATACAGCCATCACTGCACTTTGTTTTTTAAAATAATGACAGATGTTTTTTTTTATTCCTTTTGATTGTTGACAATGTGCAATTAGTGCCAGGAAGAGGTTGAATTTTGTACCAACTTGAATGTATGTGTGTAAGAAATTTAATATAATTTCCTTGTAAATAAATATTTATATGTATTTTTTGTCTGTTTAGTAAATTTTTTTATTCATCCATTGTTTATTATTTCACAACGAACCTCTCTAAACCTACAGATCTATCTATTTTTCAATAAATACGAATATGGAGGACTAGCAGTGCCAGCGGTTTCGCCTGCATCAGATTTACAGCCCAATTGTTCTGATGTATTCGCTCCCGCTCATGTCTGGGAAACGCCACTTGCACATAATTACAATTATATAATTTAATCACTAAGATTTTAGTACAAACTATCAAATTAAGAACTATTTACAAACTATCAACTATAATATAAACTATTATGGGACACAGTCACCTAGATACATAAAATAATAATTGCATTTAATAATGTCTAGTAAGACAAATTCAATATTGTCTACTAGGCACTGTGTGTGTATCTTGAGAAATAAACTTTGTAGACTATCAACAATTTCTCAAGACACACACACACACACTGTCACCCGTAACAAATTCACATTACATTTTCACAGGTATTGTTATTTAGTATATAAGATCATTATTTCTATGTACACATTGTCAGTTTATCATCATCTGTAATATACATCGTCTCGACCAGCAACATATTATTTACCCGCAACAGTGGTGACCCCGACATGTATTATTCACCCGCAACACTATCAACCTTAAGAAATGGTTATTAACATTAGATTATGAACAGACAGAATTAATGATACGGTACTAGTACGGTAAGTAGCACTTCTATTGGCGTTTGTAGACTATCAACAATTTCTCAAGACACACACACACACACTCCTACGATTACACCAACCTATTTAAATTGTAAAATATCATAACAAATTCACATAAAGTACGCCTCAATATGGAAGAGGACACTGGCTTCTGAAACACAGGTATTTTTTACCTACCTACCTCAGAAGTAATGGACTTCATAAATTATTTGTAAAATTATGTGAAAGAAATAAATAAATTATTATTATCAAATTATCAAGGTGTATATACACTAGTTCCGCCGCGCGTATTGTGTGATCGGTTAATCGGTTCCTGCAGCAGCCGCCATAGCAGAATCCAGGTACACTCGTAACTCCTTACGTTACCCGAATCGTGATCTGTGATGACAGTTAGTTGAAGGAAAATATCATTTAAATCCCTCGGGACCCGCTTTAACATCCCTTACAGCCTGAAAATCTGGTAACCGTAGCCTATATACATGAACACCATAATGGATATCACGTCATCATGTGACGCTCGTGGTACCGTTGCCATTCTGAAGTATTAAAATGGTATATACCCTGCAATTTTACTGCCATATCTCACCAAAACTCAGCTTACAAAGCAAATTAACAAGCAAAGATGACCTCTAGCGGTTCAGCAGACCGTTTTACCTCCGATGGTCGCGGGTTAGATTCCTCGCACGGTACCATTATATTTATGAGTATTTTTCTTTGTATCGGTCTGGGTGTTTTCTATGTGTATTATGTATTTAAAGAAAAATATCTGTATAGTATCCATAACACAAGCTCTGCTTAGCTTTCCACGTGCACGCGCACGATATCGCGGGAAAAGCTAGTTTATTTATATGGCAGCCGCAACAGATGAAACAGATAACACTTTGTACAAAGTAAACCTTGATAAATACAATGCGATAAATAAATAAAACAACTTCATCAAATAACGCAGTCTTTTTTATAATATTATTATATATATAATGAATTAGAAATTTTACCTTTATGTTTTCTTTTATTAACATAAAATGAAATTAAAAAATAAAATTAAAAAAATACTTAAATTAAATATTTTCACTCTCGCCTCGCGGCCCACAACAGTTGCACGAGCATAGACCTCCCCGTGTTGGGACTGTCTCCTACATCGTCCGGCAGCTGGCTACGCTCAATGGCAATTTCATCGGCTGCACTAAGCTTAGGTATAGCTATATTATAGGAATTGGCAATATTATTTAATACTGCGCATGCATTAACTATTTTCCCGGCTTTTGCTGGGTTATAGTGAAGCACTCGGTGTGGTAGTAGGCACTTCCATCGTGACTTCAACGTTACAATACACCGTTGCATTATGCTGTGAGTCCTGTGATGGATTTTCGTGTAATATTCTTCTGGGGAACCTTCCTCGTATTTCAGTATGGGCGTCATCATATAGGCCTTTTGAGTGAAACCAGAGTCACCTGAAATAGAATGTATAATTATTATAATGATTATCGCATGCCTCTTACTTGTTATTGTGTAATCTATACATAAGTAAAATTGGGGTGTCTGTTTGTAATATTGAAATAACCGTTTTTACTATATGCATATGAATATAAATATGGTACATACACCAAAATAACATTTTTTCCGGCTAATCTCTGAAATCGCTGGACTGATTTTGACGAAACTTTTATTGTTCAGCTACCTGCCAATAAAAGTCCCTTCAAAATCGGTCCAGCCAGCAGAGATTAGCCGAAACAAACGGACAGACAGACAAAAATTGTAATAAATGTAATTTCGGTGTATGTACCGTATTTATATTGATATGCATGTAGTAAAAAACGGTTATTTCAATATTACAAACAGACACTCCAATTTTATTTATATGTATAGATAATATTTTCACAAAAGAATAAAAATTTATAAAGTAATCAAATCGACTCGCGAAGAAACAGCGAAAACTATCGAAAAAAAGCCACTGAGCACTCTCTTGGCAATTATTACCGTGAAGCTATATCACTACACTTACCTAATAGCCAGCAACTGTCGCCGTTCAAGTTCAATCGCTCTAAATAATTCTTTATAGGACTTTGAGTCCATATGAAGTTGTCGTGAGCTGCTCCCCCGTAGGACGCGTCTATGTATGTTATATTCATATGAGAATCACATATCTGTAACACATGACGATATACGTTATACTCGTGAACGAGCGCTGCTTGTAGGGACTGGTCTGCTCTAATAGAATAGAATAGAAAATCATTTACTCAAATACTGCAAAACTTACATTGAAGCACTTTTGAATAGTCATAACATTTTTTTAATCTACCACTCATTAGGAAAGCTGTCTCATCACAAGAAGAACGAGCAAGAAACTTATGTGTTGCTCTTTTAAATAATTTTATTATTACTTTACATTTATAAGTTTAAGTGTGTGAATACAAACCACCAATTAGCACTTATTCAATTAAATACTCAAATAGAAAAATATATTGAATATATAACCAACTGGTTAAACAATAAATAAAATAGAATAAGTAAATAAATTAGAAAAAAATATCGTTTTGTAGTATTGTAATTTACTAAGTTGTGTCGATATGTGTGTGTACACGCAAGTCTGCATCTGATGGTATATATGATAAAATAATCCTGAATAATGTTTAGATTATATAATAAAAATAATAATCTCAGGACAATTTACACAGCGCCATCTACACCCAAGTTAAGCTAGCTAAAGCTTGTGTTATGGGTACTAGACAACTGATACATATACATAGATATTTTTATTTTGTAAATACATACATAATATACATAGAAAACACCCAGACTGATACAAAATCATACTCATGAATACAAATGTTTGTGCCGTGCAAGGAATCGAACCCGCGACCAAAGGTCGTAAAGCGGTGTTCTAGACCGCTAGACCACCGAGGTCATCAAGATTATATATATTTAAGTTTGTTATTGTCAATTTTTATGTTTACTTTGTTAGTTGTAGTTTAAACTTAACTTAATATGCTATCGTCGTGGTTGATCTCACATTGTATTTTACTGATAAAGGCTATAACAGAATAGCAGAGAGGGTGGACTCACTGCCCTCACTGAGTTATAGACCGTTTTGTCTCATTCATTAGTTTTAAATTATATTACTGTATGGGCAACAGTTGTATTGTGTGAAAAGTTTTTGTTTGAAACAAATAAAGATAATAATTATTATAAGCTTATACTTATACTTTACTTATATGAAAGTGGCGCCGGTGTCAGAGAGATTGAAGAGTAATCGTCTATCATGGTATGGACATGTAATGCGTAGGAACGAGGATAATATTTTAAGAAAGGTGTTACATATGAATGTGGATGGTTATAAGGGCAGAGGAAGGCCGAAAAAGAGATGAATGGACTGTGTGAAAGATGATATGGTAAAAAAGGAAGTAAATAACGCGATGACTGCGAACAGGGATGAATGAAAGAGAAAAACATTACGCCGACCACAAATAAATGGGATAAGGAAGAAGCAGATGATGATGATGATGATGATGATGATGATGATGATGACTTACCGCCAAAACATTGAGTGAGTGATACAATTTGCTGTTCAGGTATGCATTAGCGTTCTCAACCGGCTTCACTATAGCTATGTGAGTTCCGCCCACACATCCTATAACTCCAGGCATTCCACTTATATTCTTAAAACTGTAACAGGGATGAAGGCAGTGTCAGTATCAGGGAATTGCTAACAACATCAGGTCAATCTCCACACGATCCTCCCTGGAAGTCATTGTGATTTATGTCAGGTGATTTTGCCATAGATAACAGACCTGATTTCATGCTCATCTAATCATGTTCCACTTGCATCAGTCCATTAAAATACATAAAAACTATGTTAGAATGAAATATATTATTAAACTAGCAGTATTACAGTTATTAACCAGTAGAATTTATTTTATTTTGGTATATCAACCGTATTTATATTCATCATCATCATCATCATCATCAGTCCACTGCAGTCCACTGCTGGACATAGGCCTCTCCCAAGGCACGACACTGGGCACGATCTTCAGCCCTTCTCTTCCAGTTTTTACCCGCAACCCTACGTATGTCGTCGCTCCACCTAGCTGCGGGGCGTCCTACACTACGTTTGTGAATTCGCGGTCTCCACTCTATAACACGCCTACTCCAGCGAGCATCGGTTCTACGACAGATATGACCAGCCCACTGCCACTTCAACTTGCAAATACGAAGAGCTATGTCGGTGACCCTAGTTCTCTGGCGAATTACTTCGTTACGGATTTGATCCCTCAGAGAAACTCTAAGCATAGCTCTTTCCATAGCTCGTTAAGCGACTCTGAGTTGGTGGACCAGTCGTATCGTCAGTGTCCACGTTTCAGCACCGTATGTCATAACGGGTAGGACGCATTGGTTATATTATATATTTATATTCTTCGTTTTTTACTACATGCATATGAATATGCATGTAGTAAAAAACGGTTATTTCAGTATTACAAACAGACACTCCAATTTTATTTATATGTATAGATAAAGGTTTTGATTGAACAACAACTACATGCGCCTAAGGTCCTCTCTACTGATCGCCACTATTATCCAGGAATGGTCCGGGAGGCGATTGAAGTTAAAAACATCCCAATTTCAACAGAGAGGATGGCTTAAAATTATCTTCTGCATGGAATCCAGTCATAAATAAGTTCAAGCAAAGTTCAGTAGCATCAACAGTCAATAAGTGTATGGATACTGTGAGTGCTGTGTGTCGCGAACTTTCGTTGAAAAATCTAGTGACGGTAGATGAAAAAACTGCTGTCACCTATCTACATTGACATCGCTGTTACTCCAGTCAGCTCGTGACCACGGCTAGTGCAACCTACTCGAAACGTCGAGAGAGGTAAATACCTTTATTTGCCATAAAATTAGTTCGTGTTAAGACCCGTTAATAATATAAATAATGTATATTAAACATGAAAGTTTAAAAATAAATACGTGTAACATTAGCAACGCAGCTGCGCGACCTTCAAACCGTTGTTATCTACAGCGGCACATGTGTGCAACACATGTAATTTTGTATATGAGGCCAAAACATCTCCACAAAAAAAACTCTTCTATTCTGTCTCTCGCACCTATCATTTCAAGTTCCCAGATTCTCGACGACGTAGGTCCTAAACCCTAAAGGGGCGTGCACATTGACCCCCTTAAAAGTGCATATAGGGATGTAAAAAAAAATATTATTTTTAATTATCTACATGGTAAATTAGGTTTAATTATATGTACATTTTATTTGATCTTTTTTTTTTCGTTTGTTGTATATATTGTATTGTATTTTTAACATTGCACTAAATAAAAGACTTTTCTTTCTTTCTTCTTACTTCTAAAAAATGTGAGTAAATAAAAATACAAGATTATTGATACTTACTCTGCGATTACAGCATCCCTTACCCGCCCATTGGAGGGAAACTTAATATATTTCTTTAATATAACATCTGAGTTGAGGGCATTTGTGACCTCTTCCAAACAATGAGAGAATGATGGTTGCGACATATTGTGGATGGAGGAGTTGCCCATGCCTCGCTGGTACGCTCCACACGCAAAGAAAGTCAGGGCAGCTGCGATCTGAGTACATGGAAATAGATGGAAATAACAAATAAATACTATTTGTATTTTACTTTGACTTGAACAAACACAGAAGCATTTTTTACATGGATGATTATAGAATGGTGTGTATATATAATAATAATAATATTTATTTCAAGAAAAGACACTAATAGAAATAGAAATAATCTTTATTCAAATAAACTCATTACAAGCACTTTTGAATAGTCATATTTTGATTCTACCACTCATTCGGAATGGAGATTCATCACAAGAAGAATGAGCAAGAAACTTGTGTGTTGCTCTTTTTAATCGATGTTTTTTTATATAAATAATTACAGTATAACAAGTAAGAGGCATGCGATAATCAACATAGAAATCGCTACACACTCATTATTAGTGTAATCAGATAATATTGTCAGTGCTATGGATTTAAAGTTTTTCTATAAAAACATTATTATCGTTACACTTAACATGAGACACAACTTTACAAATATAGAACTTAACTTAACTTAACCTATGACATTTAAACAACGTGGTCAGTTGTGTATTTACAACAGTTTCTGCACTAAGCATAGTTTGTATCGCAGTGACTAGGCTATGTTTACCTATTTATTTGATTTTAGGACAGTCAGTTCTAATACTGTATCTATATAAAATATAAGATTATAAGGTAATTTATTAATTAAAATAAAGATTAAGTGTGTGTATGCATTTGGATGTGTTTATTTATGTCTTTGGAGTTATTTATTTTGTGGGAATGGGGATGCTTAGTTTTGTATGTAATGAACACTGGATATGGATGATAATGGAATACCATACCAGCCAGCACTAATGATTTACGCTGGCGGGGCACCAGTGGATGATGAAAAATGAGCTTGGTTAACTGACCTGACATCCGTTAGGCCACCTTGTAAAGTGGTAGTGTACCGTGATGGTTTTCAGGGTTGATATATTACTAGCAATGGGGTCATCAGTCCATATTAACAACCCCCTTCGGCTCCTAACACAAGTTTATGGTAATGTAACTTACTTTAAGTTCATCACGGATCATGGTACTCCTTTTTCGAGTTCGTAGCAATGGTATCACCTCCCTACACAACTCGTTAAAAGCCTCCTTTGTGAGCCGGAACTGTGCCTCAAACTCTTTTGCAGAGAGTCCCAGTGGGTCGCTAACTTCTCTTCTGAGGCGGCGGGCTCGTTTGAAAGCGTTTTTCTTACGTTCCTCCTCAGCGAATGCTAAGAGTATAGCTCGAGCCATCGTAATAATTATTATAACAAATGATACTCGAAAAATTTCTAAACATAATATTTTTCTGAATTGTTTGTAAACAAATATTCAAAATACGGAAATAAGTTTTAAGCTTAAAGAAACACAAAGGATTTTATATTTGAATAGGTTGTAAAAAGAATTGTTTACAATTTGATACATATCAAACTTCCCGCAATGTTTTTAATTAAATATAAAATCAGAAGTAACTTTAGTTTGTATTTAAAATTAATACAACTTCTTTGACGTTATGTTGACGTGTGAATCGACGTCAACTTATGGCACAGACTACTTAGAGTACCTAGAGAATACGCCGAGTAACACATGTCATAAGTCTGTAATTATCTGTGCAGTATAAATCAAGCACGTTATTCAAAATAAATATCTTAGTAATCATAAATTTACAAATTGAGATAAATACTCAAAACTATATTGTAAGCACTTAATATTACTCTATTTAGATTTTGTTATTAGCAAAGTTTTTTGCCAAATATTATCTTCGTTATTTTTTTTTATTAGTTTTGCACTAATATTAATCGGCAGTGCAATTCCTCCAGATTCAGTAAGATATTTAAATAGGTTTACACATAAACTTATATTTATAATGTAGGTTGACACAATGTCAGTAAAAGATCCATCTTAAATAATGCAATAAAATGAACCATCACGACTATAATCCCAGCAGGGAGTAGTCATAGACATTGTCAGATACACAACACATACCGTGCAATTTCGCTAGGTATATTCAGAGTCTAACGTGAGGGGTGGGAAAGGGGATTGTTAGTAATGTGGACTAATGACCTTATTGCTAGCAATATACCATGTCAGGTTGACCTCCACGCGATTGCCCTTGGAAACCATCATGATAAATTCTTGGTGAACTTGTCACGATGGGCTAACTGACTTGACCTCATGCTCATCTTATCATCCTCCACTGGTGCCCCGTCAGCGTATACCGTTAGTGCAGATGGGTGCATCATTCCATTATCATAAAAAAAAAAAACATGTGGGGGTAACCCTGTATTTTAGTTAATTTGAGTTATTATTGCTGTTTTCATTAATTTAGAAATTAAGAATTACAATTTTGGTATCGCCCAGATTTAAACTTCCAACCATGTCCATAAGTTGATACAGTAATTCACTAACTTATAACACTTTTTCTTTATATTATTTAAAATGTGTACATGTTTTCAGGCCACTATGACGTCACTGGTACCTGTAAAAAGCTCAAAATCGGAATTATTAGCCATATATAGATTAGAATTCTACAAAAAGAAGAAAAACTGGAAACTCTGTACCGAAGAGAAAGAAAAAAGAAAGCGAGTTGTTGCTATTGAGTCAGCAAAGTAAGTTAGCACAGACAGACAATTTATAAAATTATCCCATCAAAAACATAAATGTGAAATGATAGCCGAGTTTAATATTATGATATAAGCTTTGATTGTTGACTTCTATGACAAAAGAGGTGATATCTAAATGGGTGCCAAGTTCAATGGTCTGTCCTGAAATGTATTTATAACAATATAAAATATAATTTCTTCTTATAACAGGATAATATACTGTATATTATTGACAGCCTCTGTGATCTAGTGGATCTTAAGGCTCATAAATTGTGATGTACCACAATGATGACCTGACCTCATGCAGGCAGACCTGCGGTGATACCTCCCTAGCAATGGAGTCACTATTATGCATTGCTTACAATTGATTTACCTGCATTATCACAGCTATCACATGATAATATGATACCCATAGTGTATGCACTTTTATACAGTTAAAGTTAAGTAAAAAATATTAATACAAAAGACTTGACTGAAAATATTCTACATTCATAAAATTCTTACTAGCTGTACCTGCAGTGTCATCTGCATGAAATCTATGTGTTATTCTGATGTATAAGCTATATTACTGTAAAGTTTCATCAAAATCAATACAGTAGTTTTTGCGGGATAGATTAACAAACATCCATCCATACTCACAAACTTTCTCATTTATAATATTAATTATAAGATTCGTTTTGATTTGGTTGAAATTAATATTAGGTGGATGATGAGGAGTTTAGAAATAGAAATAATATTTATTCAAATAAACTCATTACAAGCACTTTTGAATAGTCATATTTTGATTCTACTACTCATTCAGAATGCAGACTCATCACAAGAAGAATGAGCAAGAAACTTGTGTGTTGCTCTTTTTAATAGATGTTTTTTTATATAAATAATTACAGTATAACAAGTAAGAGGCATGCGATAATCAACATAGAAGTCGCTACGCACTCATTATTAATGTAATCAGATAATATTGTCAGTGCTATAGATTTAAAGTTTTTCTATAAAAACATTATTATCGTTAACGAATTCTTCAATTTTATAGTAATGTTTTTTGCAAAGGAACTGTTTTATTTGACATTTAAATCTTTTTTCTGGCAGATTTATAACAGACTCTGGTATTTTATTGTAAAACCTCACGAAATTGCCATAAAACGAATTACTAACTTTAGCCAAACGACATTTAGGTAAAATCAATTTGTTATTGTTACGTAAGCTAAAGTAAATTTGTTTGTTATTTTTAAATCTAAGTTAACCTTACCTATTTTTATTATATTTCTTTTTAAATTTAGAGAATTTTGTACAATCTAAAAGTACATGATAGATAGATAGATAGATAGATAATAGTTTTTATTTGTATCTTAGTACACACATATAGGCTTAATTATAACATCAAATGACAAGTACCTACACTATAACAATTCAATAAGGGTAAACCTGCACGTGTGTGCTACAGCAATACAAAATTGGTACATAGCTCAGTGTGGAGAATCACACAAGGAGCAAAACATTGATTTTCAGCTATGTCCTCGAGGGTGAATAATGTACCTTGTATATATATACATGGCAGCCATTATATGCCATTATACCCTAAAACTACTCTATTACCTCACCAGTGAATAATTTTTTTTTTGTGGATGATAATGTAATGGTGCACCCGCCTGCGCTAACGGTTTACGCTGGCGGGGCACCAGTGGAGGATGATAAGATGAGCATGAGGTCAGGTTAGTTAGCCCATCGTGACAAATTCATCATGAATTTATCGCGATGATTTCCAGCAATGAGATCATCAGTCCACATTACTAACAATCCCCTTTCCCCCCAGTGAATAAATTGCCATAGGACACACAATGTTAACTATTTTAATTATACTTATGTAGGATTTTAAACCAGACATATGAGTTGGAGTGTGGTGGAAATAAAGATATATCCTCATCAGACAGACATGCTGTACTGGAGACAATCACATGTAAGTATTTTTAAGTAATTATTGAGGAATTACATATGTTACTAGAATATCATCAACATATTTGTGTAATACAAATAAAAATTATTATCTATCTATCTATATGAAATTCCTATTTTATAATGCCAATGTGTCGCCATAGCTTTTCAAAGCTGAATAAATTTGTTAATGAGTGATATGTAAAGAATAGAATAGAATAGAAAATCATTTATTCAAATAAACTTACATTGAAACACTTTTGAATAGTCAAAACATTTTTTTTTTAATCTACCGCTCATTATTGAATGCTGTCTCATCACAAGAAGAACAAGCAAGAAACTTGTGTGTTGCTCTTTTAAATAATTTATTCTTACTTACAATTTAAGTTTAAGTGTTTGAATACAAACCACCGATTAGCACTAATTCAATGAAATAATAAAATAAAGTTACTCATGTAATCATTTAGCATTACAAAATTATCAAATTATAATTTCCTCCCTACAAAAATTTTGTTATCTAAGTAAAGAAAAAAAATATTCAGCTCCAATTTGGGGCCACGGTTGATAGTTCTGATTTAAATCTTATATATAAAATTCTCGTGTCACAGTTTTCGTTCCCATACTCCTCCGAAACGGCTTGACCGATTCTCATGAAATTTTGTGAGCGTATTGAGTAGGTCTGAGAATCGGCCAACATCTATTTTTCATCCCCCTAAATGTTAGGGGTAGTCCACCCCTAAATTTTTTTTTTATTTTGAGGCAAAACAATGTTTGCCGGGACAGCTAGAAAAATTATATAAATTTATATTTCAGCAAATGATACACTACCCTCCAATGTTCCAAATCAACATATATCTACCATAGATTCTGATATTGGTACATACACCTATACAGTAGACATGAAAGCCAGTAAGTTTGACCAGGTTCGGACAGAAATTGAGAAGAATAGAAAGATGAGGAATTGGTCAAAATCTGAGAAATTGACAGCATGGAGTGAAATCGACTGTAAAGATACTAATGAAGATGAGATGAGAAGAGATGGTGATTGGGTGGAAACAATTTGGGCTGAGGAATGTAATGGAGCAGAAGTGAAAGAACTTGTTGGAGTAGAAGATCATGTTTGGTCCGAAAATGAGGAATTGTGGACAGAATATGGTACACAGGTAGTTTTTGAGTTTTCTATTTATTTATTTAACTTCAATGCCACCCATACTCCTAATCAAACACATGGACACTATACATTTTTTTTCCTCATTTTTCTTGTATACGTATTACTTTGATTTTTTTTTCTCTCTACATTTTGTTAAATTAAAGTTCAGTACAATCTAGTATGCCAGAAAGAATAGCGTCTCTTTTATACATTATTTTTTTTGTATTCAAAATTATTTAAGTTTTTTATGTACACAACTGCAAATGTACCAAAAATGTTTACAGAATTTTGGAGGGAACTGGCTTTCGTGGCACAGGTTCACCTATATCCAAAGCCAGGACTAACTATATTTAATTGTACCATACATTTATGAATAAAGTTTATTATTATTATTGTTTTTATATATATATTATATATCTCCCTTTGATGGGGTGTTAATCATGTCACGGCGGGTGAATATCACCAAACAATGACAATTATAAAATAAATGATTACGATGACAAAAAATTGCGGACTATTCTACATGTGTTTAGAATTACAGCTTTTTGGAGAAGTTTATTATTATTATTAATGCACATAAATAATGTATACATATACAAACTACCAACCAGCACTAATTTAGGGTCAAATATAAATACACAATAAGATTAAATCAGTCGTAGTGATAAGAGCAGACCAGTCCGTTAATTATTTATATTTCTGTAAGGAATTTAATATATCTAATAACACTATCTCAGTCGTGTCCACGCGAGGTCCCCCACGAGGAACAGTTCCTGCAAGACGATCGCTGTCGGCCCTGCAGTGATCAACCACTTCCGTTTCCTAGCCATGACGCCTGGCCTGTGGAAGGTACAGTTTATTTATATATTTTTTTATATCTAAAACTAGCTCTAGCTGTGCCCACGGTTTTACTTACGTTAGACACAATTCATATACATCAGAATAACAAATAATTGTTATTCTGCTGTATAAGTTGTGTTACAGGTTTTTTAGATAACATTAGCTGTGCCCGCGGTTTTACTTATCTTAAATTTTTAGTCTTATTTGTTATTCCAATGCCTGAGCTATATTACTGTAAATTTAGATTAAAATACGTGCAGTAGTTTTTGAAAATTTTTTAGAAAATTCAAAAAAATATCTCGTAATTTATGTTTGCGTTAATTTATCCCCATAGGGGTGGAATTTATCAAAATCCTTTCTTAGGGGATGCCTACGTCATAGTAGCTTTATGCATGCAAAGTCTCAGCCCGATCGGTTTAATATTGATAAAGTTTCATACAAACTTTCATCCTCTATTTTATCCCCTTGGGGGTAGAATTAATCAAAATCCTTTCTTAGCGGATGCCTACGTCATAACATCTACCTGCATGCCAAATTTCAGCCCGATCCGTCCAGTGGTTTGGGCTGTGCGTTGATAGATCACTATGTCTGTCACCTTTGAGTTATATATGCACTTGCATGAGTTGGTTGATCTCAGGGTTGCCAACCTTATGATAGGTTTTTTAACATTCTAGATATTTTTTATATTCCTAATATAGTTTCAGTGGGCACTGGGGGCCCTTTATATCCTCGGGGCCCTGGGCTGCAGCCCAAAAAGCGTTTAGGTAGATCCGCCCCTGGTTTTACTCTTATAGTAATGAAATAATTAAAGAATGTACAATCTTGTTTATAGAGGAGTTACGCGAGGCGATGGAGACCTTACTGGAAGCAGAGTCAAGTGTGGCGCAGGTCGACCTCCAACACATTCTGCACTATGTTAGTATGTGATGTGGAAATGTGACTACCTCGATGGCAGGGACGTTATGGATATGATATTTCGGAGACGGATAGGTCTCGGATATAGGAATGATTATTATACCGGATACGGATGCGGGTATGAAATTATTTCGGATCATCCGTTAGTTTCGGATAATTTCGGTTACGGATATTAATTTTTAGGGATTTTCGAAAGTAAAATACAAATAGCTAATAAAATGGTTACATAACGTGTCTCAATTGGGCTCCGCCCCTATCCGATACTATCCGAAACTTTTATTTCGGTTACGGATATTTTTTTATATCGGATATCCGAGTTTCAATTACGGTTATGGAGCTCCTTAACATCCCTGCTCGGTGGTATAGCTGTTTAACATACAAACTTATACCTCCGGTCACCAATTTTTTTTAAATTTTATACTAGCTGTACTCGCGACTTCGTCCGCGTGGAATTTAGCTTTTTTTTTTCAACTAAAAGATTGTTTTAAATATAAGCCAAAAAGAGTCCCGTCATAATCGGTCCAGCCATTTCAGAGATTAGCCAGAACAAACAGACAGACAGACAAAAATTGTAAAAAAAGTTATTTTGGTGTATGTACAGTATTTATATTCATATGCATGTAGTAAAAAACGGTTATTTCAATTTTGCAAACAGACACTCCAATTATTTTTATATGTTTAGAGTAATATTATAATAATATCATAACAGGACGGCTGCCATCTAGTGGACGACTATGTAGAGTTCCTCAGCGGAGCACACGCAGCGCCCCACTCCTCAGAGACTGATCTCAGGTTCGATGCAGGTCTGTACCAGTTTGCAGCTAGCATTGTATTAGAGTTCACATCAATATTGTAGAAAAATCCGATATTTTAAAATGATATCAAAAGAAGGTAGTTTATGAAGTACCCAATGTAAAAATTATTACAAATATTGTAAATAGCGCCATCTAGTATTTATAGACCGAACTACTACACTGACTTCGGTCTATAAATACGGAGGTCGGTAGTTGAATAATCCTCTTTGGTTGCGTGAGCCGCGGCATTCAGTCGACGAGCGCAGAGCGTGCCGGTTGTGTTTTGGATACTAAAGTGAATTGTATTAGAAATGGGTTTATCCCGGTCTTAGTTGGGCCTGGGGGGAAGCTGCAAGTAGTGAAGGTGAGTGTTAATGCATTCTAAAAGGGCCTTTTAAACCTACACCCGTGTCACAAGTCACGGGCGCTACTTGGGGTTTCTCTTGCGGTAGCCGGCTTCAAAGCCTCAGTCATCATCATTTATTAGTGCTTCTTATAATTGTAACTTATTACTAATACATACGGCGTGATATTAATTCTGAAGGTGATTTTGTTTTCATACACAAATAAATATGATTATATATTATGACAAAGAGCCCTACCAAAAAAATAGGGGTTCTATTTTTTTTTTTTATGCAAATAAATGGAATAGTGCACCCCCCTGCGCTGACGGTTTACGCTGGCGGGGCACCAGTGGGGTATGATGAGATGAGCATGAGGTCAGGTCAGTTAACCCACAGTGACAAATTCACAAAGAATTTATCACGATGGTTTCCAGGGGAACCGCGTGGAGGTCTACCTGACATGGTACATTGCTAGCAATAAGATCATCTGTCCACATTACTAACCCTTTCTCCCCGGTAACCCCTGTTATTTGATATTCAATAAAAAAAAGTCTACTTTCTGATTAGTGGAATGGTAAGTAAGGGGCGTGACCAAAAGAATATGGGTTCACTTCCTCGCACGGTACAAATATTACTTACATTCATGAGTATGATTATTTTTGTCGTTCTAGGTGTTTTATATGTATATTATGTATGTATTTACAAAAAAAGTATCTATGTATTTGTATCAGCTGGCTGGTACCCATAACACAAGCTCTGCCTAGCTTGGGACTAGATGGCGCTGTGTGAATTGTCCCGGGTTATTAATAATATTTTTATTTCGTTTCCAGTAAGGGATCCCCCGGCAGGTGCGTGGCATTTGACCGGCGACCAGCTGCGGCACCGCGTGGCTTCACTGGCGGCCGTCCTCAGAGAACTGCTGCAGCAGCTGAAAGACCGGGACCTGGAGCACCAGGTCGGTATCGTATTTTAGACTCTGTTTTCTTCATTTAGGCCTTCTGTCATTTTTTGATTAGTGCAAAAAAAAACTTCTTGGAGTAACGCTCAAAGTAGTTTTTTTTTTATTCTCATGATAATGTAATGGTGCACCCGCCTGCGCTAACAGTATAAGCTGGCGGGGCACCAGTGGAGGATAATGAGATGAACATGAGGTCAGGTCAGTTAGCACATCGTGACAAATTCGCCAAGAATTTATCACGATGGTTTCCAGGGGGAACCGCGTGGGAGTCAACCTGACGTGGTGCATTGCTATTAATGGGTCAACACCGAGTGGCACTAGGGGCATCTGTAAATTACGTCACACGTTGAAGGGGATCACTGTGACGTTGTATGACAAGGGGTTGAGGGGGTTCCAAATTACTTGACGTGACTTTTAAATATCCAATATAAATAAATATATATAACTCAAAGGTGACTGACTGACTGATGTATCAACGCACAGCCCAAACCACTGGACGGATCGGGCTGAAATTTGGCATGCAGGTAGATGTTATGACGTAGGCATCCGCTAAGAAAGGATTTTGATTAATTCTACTCCTAAGGGGATAAAATAGGGGACGATATTTTGTATGAAACTTTGTAAATTTTAAACCGATCGGGCTGAAACTTTGCATGTAAAAAGCTACTATAACGTAGGCATCCTTCTTCTGACGCAATATTAAAGTTAACCGTGGCGGGAATCGAACTAACACTAATCCACGGGTTAAATGTTGAAAATCATTTCTCCAAACGTTTCGTTATATACAACCTGTAGTGTATAGAAGATTAAGCATAAGTACTAAACACATGTTAAAATAATATCTCTATGACGAACGGTTAGTCTAGATATAATATTACAATTTGTGATAAATAAAACTTGTTCTCCCAACATCCATCCTTACATGACTACTCTGCCAGTATTGTTTTTACCATCCTGATCATCTGGATGAATGGCAGTCCTCCACGCGGGGTCAGCTTTCCTAATCTTGAGGCGCCGTGCATTTCGTGGTTAAGCAGCGTCACTTGACAGGCCGAAATTTTAAATTTTCTGATCATCTGAAAGAATGGCGATCCTCCATAGTGCTGTTTTCTAGAAACTTCTCACCACGCACAACCACATTGTGGAATCACCTTCCGGCAATGGTATTTCCGAACCGATACGATATTGAAACCTTCAAGAAAAGAGCTTATTCCTTTTTAAAAGGCCGACAACGTACTTGCAATTCCCCTGCTGTTGCGAGTGTTCGTGGGCGGCGGTAATCACTTACCATCAGGTGAGCCGCATGCTAGTTTATCCCTGTATGTATATAATTTTTTTTTAGTTTTGTTACTCGATTTTGATTGTTGAATATTTCCTGTTTGTGTGTAGTCTAATTCCACATTAATAATATGTATTTTCACAGTTGCTACCTTCGGACTTGAAGCAACCCTGTAACATGACGGCAGATGAATGTCCCACGCGTGATGTCGGGCCTTCAGAACCTACATACACCACCCACAAGTCTCCAAAACGTGAGTTGACTTACTCCATGCAAGACGATTTCCTAGCCGGATCGTTCTTGCAAGCTCCCGAAGGCTTTCTAGAAGATTCCAACAGATTTCTCCAGAATAGAGAAGATTTACCAGCATTACAATTGCCCGAAGAATATGTTGGATGTAGACAGGAGGCAGATATGAAATCTGCAAAGTTTTACAATACAGTGTCATATGGAGGCGAGGGTAGGTTCTTGCAGGTTGGGAATGATATGAGCGAGTTGGAGGGTACTGGTCGTGGAAGAGGCAGGATGCACACTCCAACAATTGGCATTAGGAACGGGCGGCCTTATAGACTGAATAATGGATTCTAGAAACCCAAGCGTTACTTGTGCTGTGACAACCTATTGAAGGTCCAATGCCACTACCAGTATTACAATAGCCTACTTTTGTTACACAGACCTGCCTGATTAGCATAAAAAAATCCAGACTAACTAATTTAAGATACACCTTTCATTTATCACGTGGAAAGGCTCCAAAAGGCCGTCCCCCTACTGGAGGGGTGACGAAGCGGAGTGTGGGATTCTCATCCAATTTAAGACCTCCCGGTGTACCTACGACATTTCCCCTCCGATCGATCCCCGTTCAATTCAAACGGGGATCGAAGTTACGACGGCCTGAGCCGAGGTTCGAACCACTAACGGTGCCCTCAGACTGGGGTCTTATCCGTCAGGCGGGAGTTGGCCTTCAGCCGCTCCATAAGTCCTTACTTTGGTTTGGAGTGGCATCTGCACTGGCCTCCTATCGTCCGGTGAAGCTGTAAAGGCCAGCTGCGGCCGACAGCATTAGAGTAGTCCGAAAAAAAATTGTGGAAATCAATTTAAAAGAGACTGAATTATAATTTTATAAATATTAACTATATGTAGGTAAATATGAATCTGGGCTGCTTCATGTGTTAATAATTCTCATTTACGTGTGTCCCGATTTCAATAAATATTACACTATTCTGTTAATTTCTTTATCTATAGATATACATATATTTCAAATATAGATAACTATCAGTATATATAGGATATGTAAAAGATGGCGAAACAAAAAAATTGTAATAGAATGACAGTCTAAGTAGTTTAGTGGTTTAGCACATCGCTTTACTTCCGATTGTCGCGTGTTGGATTCCTCGCACGGCGTAAACATTTTGTATTCATGAGTATAAATTTACAAAAAAAATCTTGATTATATATATCAGTTGTCTAGTAGCCATAACACAAGCTCTTACAGCGGGACTAGATGGCGCTGTGTTAGTTATCCAAGATTATTTTATTCAATATTTTAATAGAATATTATCATTTTTATGTTGTGAGGAATTATGTGGTATTGGAGCAAAACAAACAAACAAGAGAATATTCTTATTTCAAACACATGTTAAAAATACAAAAAAGTCAACCTTTTAATAACTCCTTTAAATAAATTTAAGGTTCCACAGTAGTTATATTATTTGCAGACCAATTCATTATTCAAATTGTAGCTATTATAAACGACCAAATGTAAGTTATATTTACCAAATAAAACGAGTTACAGAGATGATGATATATATATATAGATAGATGTACCTACTCAATATATTTATAAGATATTAGCTTTGAATCTCAAATGTAAAGATATTTTGTTAACTTGTTAATATATATTTTTTTATGTATGGAATGCAGTGGCGTAGTTATCTAGAGGCTAGGCGGGGCATTGCCCCGGTGCCCTCAAGCTCAGGGGCTTACCAGAAAATCTCGATCGAACTGAACTTTTCGAAATTTCGAAATTTCTCCCATTTTCAAAATAAATATGACAGATTGCACCCGACTTCAATCATGGCAACTCAGTTGAGAGAAATACGAAAGTTATACCTTCGGAGTTCCCCTAAATTCTTTGTGGGTTGGCAGTGTTGTCAATTTGAGGGATAGCGATATGTGCGTTTTAATAAAACTGTAATGTAGCATCAAAAAATGTGGCCCCACTGCTCAGTTTTTGATTTGCCCCAGGGCCCTTGGTACTAACTAATCCTTGGCCGAACTACGCCACTATTGGAATGGCAAAACTGTTTGCTTCCACTGTGATATAAAAAAAACGATAGGCTCACTCCCTGTCGTAATGGTAGATAGATAAACAATTCATCATCATCATCATCGCAGCCCGGAAGACGTCCACTGCTGGACATAGGCCTCCCCCAAAGATCTCCACGACGATCGGTCCTGCGCTGCTCGCATCCAATGCCTTTCAGCGATCTTGACCAGATCGTCGGTCCACCTTGCTGGAGGCCTTCCCACGCTGCGTCTTCCGGTCCGTGGTCGCCACTGCCATCTGTCCTACGAGCTATGTGCCCTGCCCATTGCCACTTCAGAGTCGCAATTCTTCGGGCTATGTCGGTCACTCTGGTTCTTCTGCGGATCTCCTCATTTCTGATTCGATCACGCAGATTAACTCCGAGCATAGCCCTCTCCATTGCCCTCTGAGTGACTCTGAGCTTGTTGATGGGGCCCATAGTTAGAGACCACGTCTCTGATAAACAATTAGCATCTGACAATAACCCTCGATAAATTACTAAATTTCACTTTCTTGGTTTAACTTTTTTCAACTTGCGAGGTGTACCCTACCTCGCAAGTTGCTTGCTCGTTCTTAGTCTTGTAGAATCAAAAATATGACTATTCAAAAGTGCTTGTATTGAGTTTATTTCAATAATGATTATTTCTATTTTAATATTGTCTTGCGTTGTGAGAATGGCCACTTGGGTTTTTTGAAATAATCAAGGCGGACGAATTTAGGGTTGTCCATTTCCGGTCCTCGAATAAATAACATACAATCGTCGTTCGCTTTGATTATTTCATAAAACCCAAGCGGCCATCCTCACAGCGCAAGACAAATAAAAGTCCTTTTAAGTCCAACTTCAACTATGCTTATGTGTTGCCAGTTATTCAAATTCGAAATATCTTTATTCATGTAGGTCTATTACAGACTCTTATGATATGTCAGATCTACCGTCAGCTCGGAGTGATTTCGAGATGAGAACTGACAAGAAACTCAGCTCGTATTCTTTTCAAATAAATGTTGTAGATGTTTACAACATTTATTATAATACAAACAAATTTAAGTTACTTTGTAATTCCCTTACCTACATAAGACATTATACCTTCAAAACATAGCTATGTATGGGACCGTTCAAGTATTACGTATTTAGATTTATTTCAATTATTTACCCCCATCCCCCTTGTCAGCAAAAGTAAGCCCAGCTTTTACCCCCTCCCCAATGCTTACGTAAACATTTTTCAATTAATGTATTGTTTTTTAGCAAACACAATGTAAAATTACCATTCGTGTAAAAAAGTAAATGACTGCCGATGACGTAATCATCATCTAGACTCCCCTACACCCCATGTCATCCAAAATAAGCACACCAAAGACCTCCCTCCATACTGCTTAATATAAAATGTAATACTTGAACGGTATCATATAAATATATTTATAAGTTTTTGTTATAACAATATTTTGTTGTAAAGACGAATTGTGTATTTTTTTGTTCGTTTCTTTATCATATTAAGATGGTGCCAATACATACCTATGTATGTATAATTTATAGTTGATTATATTGTTGAATGCATCTGCAAAACCTCTTAGAATTAGTGGTGTTTTTAAATAAGGGCAGTGGTAGGGAGCGAATTAATAAAAAAAGTCTAAATTCAAAGTCTTTATTCATGTAGGTCTATTACAGACTTATGATATGTCAAACCTACCGTCAGTTCGGAGTAATTTCGAGATGAGAAGAACTGACAAGAAACTCAGATCGTATTCTTTTAAAATGAGCTTGTACATGTTTAGATGGCGTTGTCCAGGAATAGAATAGAATAGAATAAAATAGGAATATAGTATTCTATAGTAGTAGAGTAAATTATAGAGGGGACATGAATTGTTAGTAATGTGGACTGTTGATTCTATTGCTGACAAAGCACCATGTTAAGTCGACCTCCACGCGCTTCTGGAAACCAACATGATAAATTCCTAGTGAATACACAAGGTGTGCTAACTGACCTGACCTCATGCTCATCTTATCATCCTCCACTGGTGCCCCGCCAGCGTAAACCGGTAGCGCAGGCGGGTGCACCATTACATTATTATCAATAAAAAATTAGTGATACTTTTTTTTATTGTTCTCTCTTACGATTTGACTATTGTATGTAGAGTATCAGAGTATCTGGGGCGCTCCCCACCACTAATATAATAGCAACACTAATTCAATGACGTGTGTAGTAGTTTCTAGTTTATAATACTGATTGTTACTTTTTTTTAAGACTAAACCATTATGTTAACTAATTATAATTGTCTATTTTCAGAGAAAATATATATATTACATAAAAAAAACATTTTATTATTTGCTTTACGTGGATATATTTTACCTATATATATTTAGCAAGACAATGATATATTTCTAATTAACTCTCCGGCTATGAAAAGACCGTTAACAAATCGAATTCCGAAGTTGGTTGAATTCAAATACACTCAGATGAAAATAGGTATATCACCAAATGTTGCGTTATGGTTGCGACCGCCATTTCGTTGACAAGCCATTCAAATTCAAATTCAAAAATTATTTATTCATGTAGGACATTTTAGCCGCTTATGAACGTCAAATTTTTACATTATAATTTTATTTTTTCCCTACCGTCCAGTTCGGTATATAGATCCATGAGAAGAACTGGCAAGAAACTCAATTGAATTACTTTTTTTTTTAAAGCCAGTTTATTTACAATGTATATTTATATAGGTGTCTATGTTTAACATTAAATGAAAATCCCGTACATGAACAACTGTTGCCATGCACGCTCGTCATTCAGGTAATGCTAGAACATATGATGTTCAAATAAAACAAAAATCATTCAGTCTTTAAGTATATTGCCACTCTCCGTTACAATATATACAATTATATACATGTTACAATAATGCTCTCTTGAATTATATTTTTTTATATAATTAGAATAGACAAATAAGTAGAGTTTTTATTTTACCTGGTGTGGTATCTGTCACATGCAAATACCACACAGACTTATGGTTTTGCCACAACACTGCACCAATTAATCTATACATATAAATAAAATTGGAGTTTGTAATATTGAAATAACCGTTTTTTACTACATGCACAATACCATCTTTACTACAAGGGCACACGGGGCCCGTGCCCAGGGCCCCCATTCTCAGGGGACTCTCGACGTGTGTGTGTGTACACTACATTCTTTTCACAAATCAATAATGTTATCAGAAGGTATATACAAGGCATATACTACGTCATTATACCGATTACTTCGCCTATTCCTATGTTCTTATACCTAATGAGTTTTTTTTTTACTTTCCAAAAGGGCCTCGTATTCTTGTGTGCCCGAGGGCCCCGGCCTTGTTTAAGACGGCGGTGTACATGCATATGAATATAATACGGTACTGTTAGGGTTCTCATCGATATTGTCGAAAAATCTGATATTTTATATTAAAAGAAGGTAGTTTCATTATTACTCGGTATCGTTAAACTAGTTGCGTATAACCCCCACTCATATCTTCTCTGTATAAAAGGGAGGGTTTTTGTAAGCCGCGGCATTCGATCTTTGAGCACAGGATGTGCTGGTTGTATTTTAATTGCTAAAGTGAATTGTGTTAGAGACATAGTTAAATTAATGTTATATAGTTGTTATTTTATTATAATACATACTTTTACTAGTACATAGAGTTGATATATCTAACAGTACATACACCAACATAACATTTTTTACAATATATATATATACTAGCTGTACCCGCGACTTCGTCCGCGTAAATAATGAAAAAATATTTAACTCAATTAACACAATATAAGTCAAATAACCGACCGACGATCTGGTCAAGATCGCTGGAAGGCATTGGATGCGAGCAAGGACCGATCGTCGTGGAGATCTTTGGGGGAGGCCTATGTCCAGCAGTGGACGTCTTCCGGGCTGCGATGACGATGATGATGATGATGTCAAATAAATAAGTTTCATCGTTTTAGCTTCAAAAATGATAAAAAGTAAAAATAAATCTTTAATCAATAGGCTAAAAAATAAATTTCAAGCTTCTAGCTTTAAACATGACGATACATCTATATAACCTTGGATCTACCCTTTCAATCCTCTTGCAACCCTTTTTCACATTAAAAAGTAACCTATGTCCTTTCTCAGGATCTAGTCTATCTATGTCTGTTTCAAATTTCAATTTAAATCGACAAACAGACAAAGTTATTTATAATATTAGTAAGGTATTTAATAAACTAACCCTAAAAAGACAAAGAAAAAAGTTTAATCGTTCTAGCTTCCACAACCACACAAACAGCAAATTTCCACAATAACTTTCATTCTCTATTTAATTTTACTACCCCCCCTCCCTCTAAAAATTTTACAAACATTGAATGTCATATTTATTGATATTTAAACAACAGCCTAAAAATGAGTCTCAAACTTCTAGTTTTAAATAATGACGATTCTTCCATACAGCGTACCATTGCAACCCCCTTACAATCCTTTTTTCACATTCAAAAGTACCCTATATTCTTTGTCCGGGTGTAAACTAACTGTTTACCAAATTTCATTTAAATTTTTATTTTGTTTTGGTAAGACTGACAGAAAGACAAACAGAGTTACTTTCACAGTTATAACATTAGTGGGGTATTTAAAAATCTACCCCAAAAGAACCAATGAAAATAGTTTCATCGTTCTAGTTTCAAAAATTAGGAATTTACATAATAACTATCATCCCCTATTTTATTTTACCCCCTTAAGGGTAATTTTTTTACAAACAATGAATATCATATTTATTTATATTTAATCAACAGCCTCAAAAATAAGTTTCAAGCTTCTAGCTTCAAAAATGACGATTTTACATAAAAACTTGCATCCCCTATTTTATTTTACCCCCTTAAGGGTATTTTTTTTTACAAACAATGAATGTCATATGTATTTATATTTAATCAACAGTCTCAACAATAAGATTCAAGCTTCTAGCTTCAAAAATGACGTGTTTACATTAAAACTTGCATCCCCTATTTTATTTTACCCCCTTACGGGTAATTTTTTTACAAACAATGAATGTCATATGTATTGATATTTAATCAACACACAAAAATAAGTTTCAAGCTTCTAGCTTCAAAAATGACGATTTTACATAAAAACTTGTATCCCCGATTTTATTTTAACCTCTTAAGGGTAATTTTTTTACAAACAATGAATGTCATATGTATTTATATTTAATCAACAGTCTCAACAATAAGATTCAAGCTTCTAGCTTCAAAAATGACGTGTTTACATTAAAACTTGCATCCCCTATTTTATTTTACCCCCTTAAGGGTAATTTTTTTACAAACAATGAATGTCATATTTATTTATATTTAATCAACAGCCTCAAAAATAAGTTTCAAGTTTCTAGCTTCAAAAATGACGATTTTACATAAAAACTTGCATCCCCTATTTTATTTTACCCCCTTAAGGGTATTTTTTTTACAAACAATGAATGTCATATGTATTTATATTTAATCAACAGTCTCAACAATAAGATTCTAGCTTCTAGCTTCAAAAATGACGTGTTTACATAAAAACTTGCAGCTCCTATTTTATTTTACCCCCTTAAGGGTATTTTTTACAAACAATGAATGTCATATGTATTTATATTTAATCAACAGTCTCAACAATAAATTCAAACTTCTAGCTTCAAAAATGACGTGTTTACATAAAAACTTGCATCCCCTATTTTATTTTACCCCCTTAAGGGTAATTTTTTTACAAACAATGAATGTCATATGTATTTATATTTAATCAACAGTCTCAACAATAAGATTCAAGCTTCTAGCTTCAAAAATGACGTGTTTACATAAAAACTTGCATCCCCTATTTTATTTTACCCCCTTAAGGATAATTTTTTACAAACATTGAATGTCATTTTTATTTATATTTAATCAACAGTCTCAAAAATAAGTTTCAAGCTTCTAGCTTCAAAAATGACGATTCTTCCATACAATCTTTCATCCCCCCTTTTAACCCCTTACAACCCTTTTTTCGCATTAAAAAGTAGCCTATGTCCGTTCTCAGGGTCTAGACTATCTGTATACCAAATTTCATTCAAATCGGTTCCTACTGAACTTTTGGCGTGAAAGCGAGACAGACAGACAGAGTTACTTTCACATTTATAATATTAGTTTTTGCCGCAGCACAAAAATATATTTTTATCGTTTCCGTACAAATAATAATTTTACAGTATTAATCTACAAACCAACATTTTGTTTCTTACAATCAGCTAAATAATTTAAATAGTTCCATAATATATGGCACAATGAAAAGGTCATTTATTTTATAAAAAAGACAGTTAGTTTTTATTTTAGTGAAAAATAAGAAAATTCTATTTTGATACAACAACCATATTATATTTATTAATACCTATACTTTATTAATTTTGTGTTAATGCTTTTTAAATAAACACCCACACATTATTTCTGTATAACCTACAAAAATGGGTAAATAATTTAATTTCGGATAGTGGCACACAAACGTAAAACAAATTAATAAAAAAAATCGCCAAATTTGTCTCGCAATCGGCCAATTTCAGGTTTAAAGAAAAAACACATAGGTACATACGATATACGATTTTATCATAAAAAAGTGTCAAAAAACAATATTTTCACTAAACGTCAACGTCATGTTTCCGGCAAGATCTTTCGTTTTACATTATGTTATCTGTGGTTTTGTTCTCTGTGATGGATACCTTATTGGCGCAAACGCACGCGATGTGTTGATTGGTTGTTAGCTAGTGAAATGAAAAGATGGCGAATGGCGCAAACGCACGCGATGTGTTGATTGGTTGTTAGCTAGTGAAATGAAAAGATGACGAATAAGGATTCAACCGCATAAAGATAACCTTGTATTTCCATATATCTATATGAGTACCAAATTTCATTTAAATCAGTTCAGTAGTTTTGGCGTGAAAGCGAGACAGACAGACAGACAGACAGACAGACAGACAGAGTTACTTTCGCATTTATAATATTAGTAAGGATATTTAATCTTAGTTCATACAAGGACACTCGTTTCTGGCACTCGGCCTCATTGAATTGTCAATTATTCTACTAAATTCTTTTAGTTTAAAACTTGCAACAAATATTAACGAGAGACCGCCATGAACTCCTTTGATATTCTTTATATATTTAAAATTATAACTATCACACAAATAAGTGTTTGTATGTCATAGTTTTATATATAAATCTTGACCGTAGTCCATAATTGCTATATCATATATTACTTTACGTGTTTTTACGATGTTAGCAAACAAGCATACGGCCCATCTGATGGTAAATGAACCATCAGTATATAATACTGCAGCCTGGTGAGGCAGTACAGTATGATATACTGATGGTTCCTGGGGCAGTATGAATCGTGAGACAGTACCGATTCGTTACAGTAATCCATATGATTACAAACAAAAAGTCAGACCTTTCTATATATATAACACTGCACGATATGACGTTATATGATATGTTTACAGTACGTACATTATTACTAATCTATACATATAAATAAAATTGGAGCGTCTGTTTGTAATATTGAAATAATCGTTTTTTACCACATGCATATGAATATAGATACGGTACATACACCAAAATATCAATATCTGTCTGTTTGTTTCAGCTAATCTCGGAAATTGCTGGACCGATTTTGATGGGACTTTTTTGGGCAGGTAGGTCATGTAATAAGGAGTAACTTAGGCTATTTTCATTTTAGAAAAATAAAGTTAAATACCACGCGGACGAAGTCGTGGGTGCAGCTAGTAACAAATATAATTATTAAACTGCATCCCTCATATATATAATCTAACTGCCCATTTTTGGTCCTTCGAGCCGGATACTAACCAACCCAGTATATATATCTATATATACGTACACCGTTAACACGTTGAAGACCGCATTGAAAAAAATGCCGGACCCTATGTGAGAAATCTTATTTCTCATATAGAGTCCGGTAATTTTTTATTGATAATTACGTGAGGCTATATCAAATTAACTAAGTCCACTATATGCAGTATCTCTACGAGGGCCCAGCGTATGAACTGGTGTACATGAATTGAAATTTAAATCATGGCCACAGGTGTACAAGCGGTCCCCGGGTAGAACTTGTTGTGTGCCCACCCGTGGGCACGTGGGTCGGTATTGTTGCGGAGTGACCCACCGGTGGGCATGCGGTCTTTGACGTGTTAAATAGTATGCAGAATAGTTTAAAACAAAATTATAGTTCATAATATTTCATTAGAGTTAAGTACACTTGTGAGCACCAAAAGTTTAATATAAAATAACTAGTTAGTCGCCCCGGCTTCGCATAGGTGTACATGTATTATACATATAAACCTTCCTATAGAATCACTCTATCTGTTAAAAAAACTGCTTCAAAATCAGTTGCGTAGTTTAAAGATTTAAGCATACATAGGGACGGACAGACAGCGATAACGACAGCGACTTTGTTTTATACTATGTAATGATAATCTGTACAAAGAGAAAATAATAATAATAATAGTAAAATAGGATCTCTCCAGTCCAATATAAAATAACACCATAGGTACTAGTCAAGGCATGTTAAAATATATACTGTTTTAGGTCGAATGTTTACGTTCTTGGTTTTTCCTTAGCTCGTAATATTTCATATAAATGAAGTTGCTTCCGCAATCTGTTCGCTTAGATCACTAAGGGGATAAATTAACGCGAGCGAAGCCGCGGGCAAAAGCTAGTTCCCAATAAAATTTTTAATGTAACCAAATTTATATATGTCACACTACAACAGCTTAAAAAGCAAGCTTGCTGCTTTAGAAGAGGGGGAGGGGATTGTTAGTAATGGGGATGAAAGAGCCCCTCGCTAACAATCGCCCTGGAAACTCCTGGGGGTGATATCCTGATAGGCTAACTGACCTGACTTCGACTTATTACGAGTTAACACATCTCTAACATAATGTATAAATGTGAAAACTAGTAACAACGTCACGACACGACACGACATATTTGACAATACAAATCCATTAGTTACCACGTATCACTGATCACTATAATCATCGGATGCACTGGATCCGTCATCGACACTGTTCTGCATCACGCCGCGTCCGGTGCTGATCACCTCTCGACTGTCATCAGTTTTGACGTCATTCATAAACTGTCGAGTGTCAGTCAGGTCGGCTGTGGAGGCTCGAGGTTTTACCCACGTGTGAGATATATTGGTGGGTATGGCCAGCTCACCGATAATGTCACTGGAAAACAACAATAGGTAATTTTAATCATAAAATCTTATTATCACTACAGTCATTGTGAGTCACTGCTCAGTAGAGTGAGACGGTATTTCACGGCGGTCCATCGCTTGCTATTATACAAGGCGCAGATCCGGCCGCATATGGAATACTGTTCTCATCTCTGGACGGGAGCACCACAATACCAGCTACTTCCATTTGACCAGATTCGGAACCGAGCCAGAATCATTGGTAATCAACGTCTATGTGACAGACTCGACCCATTGGCTCTGCGGCGAGATATTGCATCTCTGTGCATTTTCTACCGCATATATCACGGGGAGTGTTCTGAGGAATTGTTCGGATTAATACCAGCTGCTGAGTTTCACCACCGTACCACAAGCCAGAAACTAAAATATCTTGAAGCAGATGATGACATAGGTTCCCCCTGGAAAAACTTGATGCTCATCTTATCATCCTCCACTGGTGTCCCACCAGTATATACCGTTAGCGCAGGCGGATGCACCATTACATCATCATCCAAAAGACCTCATTGCTATGGAGTCATGAATCCACATAACTGACAATCTCTAAAGGAGAGTGTTCTCATATCATAACTCACTTGACATCGTCAGCGGGTCGTCTCCGCGACGTGAAGAACTCGTCATCCAAGTGGAACGTGAGGTTACTCCGCATCACCACCCTCACCGGCGGCGGAACAGTTTGTTCGCCAACAAGTTGGTCAACATGTTCGCCAACCGGCAACGTGCGTGTCTTTGTATTTGTGTCCTCAGACTGTAAGTAATTCTGCAATATTTAAAGAAAAAAGAATATACATTAAGGTGATATGGACATAGTCTGCGTAAACCTGAAATCCACGTTGTAATAAGTGACTTTCCAAGGCTACAATGAAAAGAGGATAAGGCAGGCCACCTACTACTTGGCTAACTAATGTCCATAGCAACATAAGTTTTTTTACAGCACAGGGGACAAACGAGCATGCGTTTCACCTGATGGTAAGTGATTACCGCCGCCCATGAGCAGCCCCAACACCAGGGGAATTGCAAGTATGTTGTCGGCCTTTTAAAAAGGAATAAGCTCTTTTCTTGAAGGTTTCAATATCGTATCCGTTCGGAAATACCATTGCTAGAAGGTGATTCCACAATGTGGTTGTGCTTGGTGAGAAGTTTCTAGAAAACAGCACTGTGGAGGACTGAAAGAATGGCGTCTTTCAGATGATCAGAAAATTTCAAATTTCGGCCTGTCAAGTGACGATGCTTACCAGCGAAGATAAAGTAAAGTAAAGGGAAGATGCGAGAATGTAGTAGATGTAATGACTTACTGTGCAACATCATGTACGCCAATCATGAACTGGGATGTTATGGATATGAAATATCGGATACGGATAGGTTTCGGATATAGTATTGATTATTATACCGAATGCGGATGCGGATATGAAATTTTGTTTCGGATAATTTCTGTTGCGGATTTTAATTTTATAAGGAATTTCAAAAGTAAAATACAAATAGCTAATATATTATTTACATAACGTGTCTCAATTAGACTCCGCCCCTATCCGATGTTATTATCCGAAATATTTTTTATATCATCTATATCGGATATCCGATAGTTTCGTTTACGGTTACGGATATTGTTCTATATCGGATATCCGATAGTTTCGTTTACGGTTACGGATATTGTTCTATATCGGATATCCGATAGTTTCGTTTGCGGTTACGGAGCTCCTTAACATCCCTGATTACTACTACTGCTGATCAACATTTATTTATTTAATTATTTACGCAAGTTTCTTGCTCGTTCTTCTTGTGATAAGTTAGCGTTCTAAATGAACGTTACAATAATAAAATATGACAATTAAAAAGTGCTGATATTAAGTTTTGAATAAAGATTATTTCTTAAAGCTTACTATAAAATTGAAGAATTCGTTAACGATAATAATGTTTTTATTGAAAAATTTAAAAATCCATAACACTGACAATATTATGTGTTTGCACTAATAATGACTGCATAGCGATTTCTATATTGGTTATCGCATGCCTCTTACTTGTTATACTGTAATTATTTATATAAAAAGCCATCTATTAAAAAGAGCAACACACAAGTTTCTTGCTCATTCTTCTTGTGATGAATCTGCATTCCGAATGAGTGGTAGAATCAAAATATGACTATTCAAAAGTGCTTGTAATGAGTTTATTTGAATAAAGATTATTTCTATTTCTTGGTATTAGATGGCGTTGTGTGAGTGAGAGCGGTGATACTGTACTCACTCACACAACGTCGTAAATTCCACGTGGACGCGGACGACGCCGCGGGTACAGCTAGTTTATAATATTAGTATTACCTGCCGCACATCGTTCTCTCTGCTATCATCTATATGTGGCCGCGTGTGCTCGCGAGCATGCTGGTGCTGGTGCTGATGCTGGTGAGGGTGAGGGTGAGGGTGTGAGTCTCTCCGCAGCGGCTGAATTAGACTGTTGTTGCGACGGAATCGAGATTCTCCTAAACATATTCGAGATACACATTATTTTCTATTTCTATTAGCAAAACCGCTAGACTACCGCCGAACTGAGATCGCAAGCTCACTTAGCTTAGCGACTGCAATAGGCGAGGCAGGAGGATGAGCATTGTTAATAATGTGGACTCATGACCCTATTACTAGCAATGTACCAATACAAGATCTCCACATGGTTCCCTAGAAACCATCGTTATAAATTCCTGGTCAATTTCCACGATGGAGCAACTGATCTGACCTCATGCTCATCTTATCATCCTCCACTGGTGCCCCGGCGTATACCGTTAGCGCAGGCGGGTGCACCATTACATTATCATCCATAAAAAAAATGATGAGACGAGTACGTGCTATGAGTGCGTACTTACCAATGGGCCAGTGTTCATCGGCGTCGTCCCGCTCGCTGTCTCCGTCCCGCTCACTCGCAGCCCTGTCTCTATCTCCGTCTCGCTCCCGCGGTTCGCTCACCATCGGCACATCTTCCACTTCCGACGGATACCTGCATTCATAATATATATACACTGGCATATAAATAAACTGATAAAAAATAGGGGTTGATGCTTTAAGAGGGAAAATTTAGGGTTGTATGTATTTTTTAACGCCAAATCATAATAATAAATAATAAAAAAATATGTTAAAATAAATTAAAATTTCTTAGGCGTATAAAAAATAGATAATTTTTATTTTTAAAAATTCAAAAATCATTTATTCATGTAGGACATTTTAGCCGCTTATGAACGTCAAGTTTTTTTATATTATAATTTTAATTTTTTCCCTACCATCCAGTTCAGTATATAGATCCAATTGAGAAGAACTGGCAAGAAACTCAATTGAATTACTTATATTTTAAAAGCCAGTTTATTTACAATGTATATATTTATATATGTCTAAGTCTAATATTAAATGAAAATCAAGTGCATGAACAACTATTATATATAAAAATTACGTGTCACGTTGTTTGTCCGCGATGGACTCCTAAACTACTGAACCGATTGCAAATTTGATTTGCACATTGTGTGTAATTTGATCCAACTTGAAAGATAGGATAGCTTACATCACAATTTATAGTCACAATAATATTTTATTCAAGAACCTTAGACACAGCAACGCGTGGCCGGGTTTGGTAGTTGTGGTATAAAAAAATCATTGACTCTCCGCGTCAGAATGCTGGTATAACTCACCCGTTGTTGCCCCTGGTATCCTCCTGCTGTTTGTTGAGGAGTGCCATCAGCACGTCGCGCGTGTCGTCCGCGGGTGTCGGCCGCGGGGAGGTCGGGCCTGGTGGGGGTGAAGGGGGTGAGCGCTGGCGCTTGCGTTTGTGTTTCTTTCCTGGCCGCTGGAATAGAAAATCATTTATTCAAATAAACTTAATTTAAGCACTTTTGAATAGTTATAACAATTTTTTTTTATCTACCACTCGTTCGGAATGCTGTCTCATCACAAGAAGAACGAGCAAGAAACTTGTGTGTTGCTCTTTTAAATAATCCTTGTAAGTTCACATTTTACAAATCGAAACGTGTGAATACAAACTACCAACCAGCACTAATATATTAAAATAAAATAATACAATAGGATTGAGTCAGTCGTAGTGATAAGAGCAGATCAGTCCCTACAAGCAGCACTCGTTCACGAGTATGACGGATGAGCCAGCCATCACTGCGCTCGACCATATTTTAGGGAGCCCAATGACCCGGCCCACCACGCCGCCACATGTCTGGACATTTTAGTGAGCATGACTACTCATTCCATGAGTAAACAAATCAAAATAAAGTATCCTTATTAATGCAGGGCCGTTATGTTAAGGTGTCGGGACCTAGAGTGTGTGTAAATGTGTGTAAAGTGTATAATTGTCAAATGTATATGTAAAAATGGTTGACAATAAATGTTTTTCTTTCTTTCTTTTCTTCTTTCTTCTAGAGGTTTACTCAACGTCATGGATCGACATAAAAAAAACCTCGTGTATATATATATTAGCATTTAAGAGGGTGTACACGACCCTTTAAGGTTTAGGACCCTCAGGGCTTCAAATAATATCAGAATCAGAGTCAGAATGTGTGTATCATTACATAGTATAAAACAAAGTTGCTGTCGCTGTCTGTCCGTCCCTACGCATGCTTAAATCTTTAAAACTACGCAATGGATTTTGAAGTGTTTTTTTAAATAGATAGATTCAAGAGGAAGGTTTATATATACATGTACATGTAAACCCGCGCGAAGCCGGGACGAGTAGTTAGTTTAATATAAGTTATAATAATAACAATATGTTTATTTTGGCATCAGTGGCCCATTTTTTAGTTTTTTTTTCCGAATCTATTGTTAGTAAAGTTCTTAACTCTAGTATTACAGTTACAGTCGTAACAAATTGTTAGACCTCTGTCTAACATGTACACTCAACACAATGTTTTGGTCTTTTATACAAACTTACACGTGTTCATCCTGTACAGTGGAGGTCCACTGGTGACCCGCCAGCGTAAACCGTTAGCGCAGGCGGGTGCAACATTCCATATTCATATTTGCAGAAAAAAATGTAAAATCTTTGCTTAGTTTGGAACTAGATGGCGCTGTGAGAGTTGTCCTGAGTTATATATTTATGTATTGTATGCACAGCTCACTACAGATACAGTTTCACTGCGTGATCATATCAGAAATGAGGAGAACCAGAGTGACCGACATAGCCCGAAGAATGCGACTCTGAAGTGGCAATGGGCAGGGCACATAGCTCGTAGGACAGATGGCCGTTGGGGCAGTAAAGTCCTCGAGTGGCGACCACGGACCGGAAGACGCAGCGTGGGAAGGCCTCCAGCAAGGTGGACCGACAATCTGGTCAAGATCGCTGGCAGGCATTGGATGCGAGCAGCGCAGGACCGATCGTCGTGGAAATCTTTGGGGGAGGCCTATGCCCAGCAGTGGACGTCTTCCGAGCTGAGATAATGCATGTACAGCATGGTTACCTTGGTGGTGGTCTGTGTGGTGGTGCTGACCTCGACGAAGTCCTCGATGATGATCCGGCTGGTGTCCCCGGTGGCGGGTGGTAGCGGCGGCTGCAGGTTGGCGGCGGTGGTGGTCTGCTCGGACCTTCCGCGCTGGTGTTTGTTCGGCGGCCACTCGGCGTGTGTGTGTGGTGGTCGGGCCGGGTGGTGATGGTGACCGTCGGCACGAGACAACTCCGTCACCTTGTTCCGCTCGAACACGCGCCCGTTGTTTATCACCTGCCGGCAATATCATACTCATATTAAAATACTATACAAGCAATAGAAATAAAAAATAACCGTTAGTAAAATACATTTAAGATAACTTAAGTATTTTATAATAGTATTTTTTACTTTATAATAGTTTTTATTATATCGTTACACTAGCATTTCACCCCGGCTGCGCACGTGCTAGAGTTCATATCAATATTGTAGAAAAATCCGATATTTTAAAAAGATATTAAAAGAAGGTAGTTTGTGTTTAGTACTAATGAAATACCCAATGTAAAGATTATTACAAATATTGTAAATAGCGCCATCTAGTATTTATATACCGAACTACTACACTGACTTCGGTCTATAAATACGGAGGTCGGTAGTTGAATAATCCTTTTTCGTTGGGTGAGTCGCGGCATTCAGTCGACGAGCGCAGAGCGTGCCGGTTGTGTTTTGGATACTAAAGTGAATTGTATTAGAAATGGGTTTATCCCGGTCTTAGTTGGGCCTGGGGGGAAGCTGCAAGTAGTGAAGGTGAGTGTTAATGCATTCTAAAAGGGCCTTTTAAACCTACACCCGTGTCACAAGTCATGGGCTATATATATCTCATCATTCCTCTGGCGGGGTAAAAGGGTGTCATGACCGCGTTGTCGATCCTTAAGAAACCTGATCAGTAAATATTATTGGTACTATACCTTGACGTTCCGCTCGTTGAGGATGGTGACCAGGTCCCTGACGAAGGTGTCGTTGGGGTACAGGCGGCGGTGCCTGCAGCCCAGCTCCGCCTCCAGGTGTTGCTCGGAGCCGTTCATGAGCGTGCGCACCAGCTGCAGGACGAACTTGTTCCTGCGGCGCCGCTCGCGGGACGGCCGGCGGCCGCGGTGATGGTGACGGCGGACGTCACCGTCGCCGTCATCACCGTCACCGTCACCGTCGCCGTCATCACGCGCCGACAGCAGCGAGCGGGAGATGCGACGCTGTCCGCGCAGCTTCTGCAGCCGCAGCTCTTGTTCGCTGGGCTGTGCATCACCTGCCGCGTGGAAGTGGTTGTGGAGGGTGTAGTCTATCCTCCAGGCCTGGTCGTCGCCGGGCCCGCAGGCCGCGGCCCGCACGTCGTCGCCCGGCTCGCGGCCCGCACTCAGGCACAGCCGCGACTCCTCGTGCTGCAGCTGTCCGCTCGGGAGGTACTTCCACTTCTGCGGACCACATTACATATAGTTAACATTTCGCATCGAGATGTTCAAAAAATTAGATCACCCATCCCGCCGCTACGAATCTCCGTACAAAAATAATTTAGTACAAACTACATCAAAAATATAAATGGGAAGTTCTGGTCCTTTTCCTATATCGATAAAACTATAGATAATCGGAATGCCATCTGCGCTCGCTCTCTTTCGAGTGGTGAAGCTATATAAAGGCCAGCCACGGCTAAAAGCATTGGAATAGTCCAAAAAAAAGTCTACACTATTTTGAGTATATCTTTACAAATTTATGTACATATTCGTTTATCTTTATAACTTTCTTTAGTACTGTCACTAGGCTATAAGTCGGCGACACCACTTGCCACTGACAATGCCACCACGAGCGACTTCAAGGACGCGTCGTCACACTCTCTTTATTTAATTCCACAACACAGCCCAGTTATTAAAGATCCCTTGGCCATGACAAGTACATTATTCCTTAAAAAAAATTCCTAAACGAAATTCTTGTAACTTAGTATGTCGCACATCATTCACAATTTTTAACAAAAGTCAAAATTTAAATATGTATGTAGAATATAAGATAAAAAAGGTCAGTCAAGTACCACCTCCTGATAGGTTCTCCCTGACTCTTTACTTTTCACTTTCTACCACTCAATTCACATTAATACTTTAATTAATCAAGTGACCGTGTGTAAGCTGTGAACACTGACCTGCCCGCGCTGCTTGCCGTGACAGTTCACCATCAGCACGCGCCGCCCCACCTCCGCCGCGTCCTCGTCCCTGCAATTATTATATATAGGTAACAATTTCATGAAGAAATGTTACATAGGTATAACAATTTCATTAACAAATGTTACATAGGTATAACAATTTCATCAAATCTATGTGGGTAGTACAGACTTGTATGCAATCAAATCTACAGTCAGTTCGTAATGATTTCGAGATGAGAACTGACAAGGAACTCGGCTCGAATTCTTAATAATGTAATGTGGACTCATCCTTATGAGCCTATCATCTGGACCGTTGTAAGTGTAGAGCCGAGACTACTAGAATAGCCAGCCAAGCTCCTTCCATAAGCGCAGAAGTGTGTGTATGTGTGTGTGTGTGTGTCTGCGTACACTGACCGCACGAACTGCAGCTCTGCGCAGTCCTCCTCGGTGCGCAGCTGTCCGTGGAGCGAGAGCGCGAAGTACTGCGTGGCGTGGAGCCGGGAGTGGCAGCCGTACACGCCCAGCGCCGCGCCCGACTCGCGCTGCAGCGTGTCCAGGCACAGGTTCGACTCCGGGTTGGCGACCCGCCCGTACCCGTACACGTGCCGCACCGGCACGAACTTCTCCGGGTACACGTTGTCCAGGTACCACTGGAAGCTCTTGCAGTGCAGCTTCTCGCGCAGCACCTTCCGGTGGGTCACGTCGCCGATCTTCGGATTCTTCTGTAATACGCGAGTTATTTCTTTTTGTAATAGAAATGGCAAGCTAGGTGACGGTACCCCGGGTGGTAAATGGTAACCGTCGCTAATATACATTAATAAGACTACGGATATCAGATCCACAAGTGATGTTTATGTAAATACAAATAGTTATCATTATATAATCTAAATATATATAACTCAAAGGTGACTGACATAGGGATCTATCAACGCACAGCCCAAACCACTGGACGGATCGGACTGAAATTTGGCATGCAGGTAGATGTTATGACGTAGGCATCCGCTAAGAAAGGATTTTGATTAATTCTACCCCCAATGGGATAAAATAGGGGATGAAAGTTTGTACAAAACTTTGTCAATTTTAAAACGATCGGGCTGAAACTATGCATGCATAAAGCTACTATGACGTAGGCATCCCCTAAGAAAGGATTTTGATAAATTTCACCCCTAAGGGGATAAATTAACTCGAGCGAAGCCGCGGGGAAAAGCTAGTATAAAATAAAGTCGCTGTCGCTGTCTGTCCGTCCCTATGTATGCTTAAATCTTTAAAACTACGCAACGGATTTTGAAGCGGTTTTTTTTAATAGATAGAGTGATTCAAGAGGAAGGTTTATATATATAATACATGTACACCCGGGCGAAGCCGGGGCGAGTAGCTAATGCTGAATAAATGTTTATTATTATTTAATATAAATAGTAACTGACCCTGAGGTCGGGCCGGTGCAGGTAGAACAGCTCCGCGTACTCGTCCATCCACACGTCGGCCATACGCGCAGTGTTAATTCCTGTACAATGTAATAATATTTTATTAACTTTAATAACAAATAAACCGAGTCATAAGACCGTATTTTGTGTCAGTTATTGTAATTAAACATTTTTATTCGTTTTCAGCAACTGATGTAGTAGAGAGTTTAAATATTTATTTACCAACAGCATACACAATACATAACAACAGAAAGTACAAATCAATAGTATAGTTAATAATAGGTTTCACAATATTAGTGAAACAAAGTGACGAACTTCCCACTACAGATACTAGGAATACTATAGATACTGGACATATTACCGAATATCTAACTGTATAATACGCAAATAAATTTCATTTTATTTCAAAATCGGTCCAGCCATTTCAGAGATTAGCCGGAACAAACAGACCGACGGACAGACAATCAAAAATTATTAAAAATAATTTTTTGGTGTATGTACCGTATTTATATTCATATGCATGTAGTAAAAAACGGTTATTTCAATGTTACAAACAGACACTACAATTTTATTTATATGTATAGATGTATAGATTATAATATCTGTGCCTGTAATAAATATTGAGTATTGGTAACGATAAACTTACATCAGGTGTGCCGTATGCGTGATCACCATCGTACTATATAAAAAACCTATTGTATTACCACTGACCGTGCGTGTCTGTGTGAGCGGGCAGGCCGTATGGGTGGAAGCTGCGGAACACGTGGCCCACGCGGGAACACGGTATTGTCTCCAGTGTACCACCGCCTGCAGGAATAAATATACACATATATGATTTAGATAATAATAACTTAAGACAATTAACACAGCGCCATCTAGTCCTAAGCTAAGTAGAGCTTGTGTTATGGGTACTAGACAACGGATACTAGTATTTAAATATATATATTATAAATACATACAGAATATACATAGATAACATCCAGACCGATAAAAACATTCGTACTGATTAGTTCAAATGTTTGTACTGTGCGAGGAATCGAACCTGCGTCCAGCAGAAAAAACCGGTGCGTTAAACTGCTAAGCCACCGAGGCTGTCACTCATTAACTACTAACAATACAAATTCAATAATTAATTAAACAAATTTTTGCCTATTCGTCTGTTTGTTCTTGCTAATCTCTGAAACAGCTGACCCGTTATTGACGGGACTATCGCACTCAGATAGCTAAGTTAGTCTTAGGCTAGTATTATTTTAGAAATTGTATTTAGTTTAAGTTCACGTGTCGAAGTCGTATGAAACAACTAGTGTTAGTTATAGAGGTGTGTGTGGCAGTGAGTGAGTGGGTGGGTGAGTGAGTGAGTGGGTGGGTGAGTGAGTGTGTGAGTGTGTGAGTGAGTGTGTGAGTGAGTGGGTGAATGAGTGTGTGAGTGAGTGAGTGGGTGGGTGGTGAGTGAGTGAGTGTATGTGTGTGTGTATGTACGTACACTGCCATATCCTGAAGGAGATCTCGAGGTTCTCGCCCCCCCAGCCGGCCATCTGCTCGTCGTAGGCGCCCAGCTCCCAGTAGTACGTGCGGCTCATCGCGAACAGACCACCAGCCATCGTCGGGGACCTAGTATCAAACATGTGGACATGAACTCCTCGTCACAGTGTTTGTCACACAACTCCTCCGAAAACGCTTGATACTTGACAGAGCTTGTGATATAAATAAAACATAATATACATAAAAAGGATGAGAAGGGCTGAAGATCGTGCCCAGTGGCGTGCTTTGGGAGAGGCCTATGTCCAGCAGTGGACTGCAGTGGGCTGATGATGAATGAATACATAAATATGACGACCTCGGTGGTCTAGCGGCCTAGCTCACCGCTTTACGTCCGATGGTCACGGGTTCGATTCCTCGCACGGCACAAACATTTGTATTCATGAGTATGATTGTTTGTATCGGTCCGGGCGTTTTCTATGTATAATATGTATGTATTTAAAAAAAAATCTATATATTTGTATCAGTTGAGTAGTACCCATAACACAAGCTTTAGCTAGCTTAATTTGGGTCTAGATGGCGCTGTGTGAATTATCCTGAGATTATTATTATTATAAAAAACACCCAGACTAATATAAACAACTTATATTAATGTTTGGATATACATAAAAAAATATATATAGTCTTATATATAAAATTCTCGTGTCACAGTTTTCGTTCCCGTACTCCTCCGAAACGGCTCGACCGATTCTCATGAAATTTTGTGAGCGTATTGAGTAGGTCTGAGAATCGGCCAACATCTATTTTTCATCCCCCTAAATGTTCGGGGTAGTCCACCCCTAAATGTTTTTTTTTATTGAATGCAAAACAACGTTTGCCGGTACAGCTATTATAGTATATACATTATGGTACAGACCATGTGGGCGATATGTCTGAGCCGCGCCGCTTCTTCTCCCGTTCGGGCACCTCGATCCACGTGAAGTGTCCCATGAATGTGAACCCTCCCACCTGGACATAAAGACTATTTCAATACTATATCTAAACTTATATTTAACAATTAGCCGTTTCCGCGACTTCGTCCGCGAGGAATGTAATTTAATTTTTCTAAAACACAAGTGGCCTAAATTACTCCTCATTACATCAGCTACCTGCCTAAAAAAGTCCCGTCAAAATCGGTCCAGCCATTTCAGAGATTAGCTGGAACACACATACAGACACACAAAAATTGTAAAAAATGTTATTTTGGTGTATGTACTGTATTTATATTCATATGCATGTAGTAAAAAACGGTTATTTCAATATTACAAACAGATGCTCCAATTTTATTTATATGTATAGATAGTCCATTTGTCGATGAAGGCTTTAAGCTATATAACATTACGCTACGACCAATAGGAGCGGAGCTGCAATGAAAAATATTGCAAAAGATGGTGAAATGAAACGCAGACGAAGTTGCGCGAGTCAACTAGTACTTAAATATTTAGTTTTTTTAATACATACATAATATACATATAAAACACCCAGACAGATACAAACAATCATACTCATGAATACAAATGTTTGTACCGTGCGAGGAAACGAACCCGCGACCGTAGGAAGCAAAGCGGTGTGTTACGGCATGCATTAGCTTATATTGTTCTGGAAATTTCTACAAATATATACCACTAGAACATAAACTACAAGCATTATTGTAATACATATCACTACTGTTGAGGATGTAAAAGAAATAAATAGATTTGTTTTGTTTATTCTCGTTGCGGAGGTGCTATTTTTTTTTTTTTAAAGGATGATAATGGAATGGTGCTGCCGCCTGCGCTAGCGGTTTACGCTGGCGGGGCACCAGTGGTGGATGATAAGATGAACATGAAGTCAGATCAGTTAGCCCATCGTGACAAATTCACCGGGAATGTATCACGATGGTTTCCAGGGGGAACCGCGTGGAGGTCGACCTGACATGGTACATTGCTAGCAATAGGATCATTACTCCACATTACTAACAATCCCCCCCTCCCGCGGCCGATTAGTACTGCAAGAAAAACGCGAGAGGCGCTGCAGTCGCGCTCGCTCGCACCTACGTCCGCCATAACGCGCGTATATACATTTACAATTAGTTTTTTTTATATTTACGTGTCGCCTACAACTACAGTCGGTGTGACGAGTCGAGTCATGTAACAACTGGTTGTCTACTTAATATCTAAATATATATAACTCAAACGTGACTGACATAGTGATCTATCAACGCACAGCCCAAACCACTGGACGGATCGGGCTGAAATTTGGCATGCAGGTAGATGTTATGACGTAGGCATCCGCTAAGATTGGATTTTGATTAATTCTACCCCCAAGGGGATAAAATAGGGATTGAAAGTATGTATGAAACTTTGTCAATTTCAAATCGATCGGGCTGAGACTTTGCATGCATAAAGCTACTATGACGTAGGCATCCCCTAAGAAAGGATTTTGATAAATTCCACCAATAAGGGGATAAATTGACGCGAGCGAACCCGCCGGCAAAAGCTAAAAACTAGCTTTTGCCGGCGGGTTCGCTCGAGTTAATTTATCCTCTTAGGGGTGGAAGTCATCATTAGATAGTATAAAATAAAGTCGCTGTAGCTGTCTGTCCGTCCCTATGTATGCTTAAATCTTTAAAATTACGCAACGGATTTTGAAGCGGTTTTTTAATAGATAGAGTGATTCAAGAGGAAGGCTTCAAAAGGAAAAAAAAAGGCTTATATGTATAATACATGGACGAAGTCGGGACGAGTAGCTAGTTAGTAATAAATAAATTAGTGCTAAGAAGAAGTAAGAGAGAGAATAAAGTATTCTGTCAGACTGCTATTTTTAAAAAAAATCCACTATTATTAATTACAAGCTACCCACCCCGGCTTCGCCCGGGTGTACATGTATTATATATATAAACCTTCCTCTTGAATCACTCTATCTATTAAAAAAACCGCTTCAAAATCTGTTGCGTAGTTTTAAAGATTTAAGCATACATAGGTACAGATAGCGACAGCGACTGTTTTATACTATGTAATGATAAAGATAACCAAATTGTATTTGCTTTGAAGAAATCGTTTTCGTATCACAGGTTACGTGTTTATACTCCTCCGAAACGGCTTGTCCGATTTTGATGAAATTTTATATTTGTATTCAGTAGGTCTGAGAATAGATTTATGAGGATACCTAATATTCCTTACTAAATACCCCTTATTACACCCAAATGTTTATTTTTATTGTTTTGATAAAATATTTTTTGTTGACCACAATATATTTTTTTATTTTTTCAACATTTTCTTTTACTATATGTCATTAAATACACATACAATCCTAAATTTGCACCCTTCTATCGCCAACCCCTATTTTTTTGTAGGGTTATTAATTTATATGGCAAAACAACGTTAGCCGGGACAGCTAGTACTATGCAAAGATACTTAGATCTGCCGCACGCATATAATAGTAGTACCAGTATAAAAAACAATACGCGGGTAAGGTAATTATGAGCACGGAATAAATGGTTTTTATACTGACTTTAATGGTTCGCAAGAAAGAAATTTACTGTCAATTAATAACATACGAGCATATAATAGGCGATCAAACGAACTTGCAAGTGAAGTTCGATCACTATTATATAAATTCGCTTCATTCGAAGATACAAATTAACAATGTAGTCCTTTTATCCTACTGGCAACATTCCCACATTTAGAGGGTAACCCGAAATTGTCGATTTTCCTTATAAATCACCGCCAGCCTACATTTAACCCTTTCGAACCCCTAGTGGTGCCCTCAGACTAAAGTCGTATCCGTCGGGCAGGAGTTTGCCTTCAGCCGCTCCATAAGTCCTTCCGCGGGTTTTTCTTTTATCGTGCGCGGCAACGAGCACAAGTCACTTTTCATTTTAATTATATATTTTGTCCAAGTGTAGTGTTACTATGCCGAAACGTAGCATACAATATTACGAAAGAAAAATTGAAAAATTGAGAGCAACAACAAAGAAACGTCTGAGAATTGTATTGTCTTATACAATATATAAACATATAATTAGTACACCTATGTAACTATATAATATTGTCGCCATTTTGGGACATCAAAGTCTGTTTTATATCTAAATATATATAACTCAAAGGTGAATAAATTTATTGCCTATATTAGTATAGTGACATAGTTACACATTTATACATATATGGCGTTACACATATCCTACGAATCAGTTAGTGGTTTCATGCATATTAACTACTAAACTCTTCCGTTACTGTTGTTAATTATTAGTCGTTAATATAATCTGCAGTATGAGATTTAAAAACATAGATATTTTTGGAGATAAACGATCTAATTATTTTAATCTGTATACTAAACGTATTACTACTATACTAATAGAAATAGAAATAATCTTTATTCAAATAAACTCATTACAAGCACTTTTGAATAGTCATATTTAGATTCTACCACTCATTCGGAATGCAGATTCATCACAAGAAGAATGAGCAAGAAACTTGTGTGTTGCTCTTTTTAATAGATGTTTTTTTATATAAATAATTACAATATAAGAAGTAAGAGGCATGCGATAATCAACATAGAAATCGCTACGCACTCATTATTAGTGTAATCAAATAATATTGTCAGTGCTATGGATTTAAAATTTTCTATAAAAACATTATTGTCGTTAACGAATTCTTCAATTTTATAGTAAGCTATTTTGCAAAGCAAGTGCTTTATATGACATTTAAATCTTCTAATAATGCGTAGGAATGAAGATAATATTTTAAGGATGTGGATGGTTATAAGGGCAGAGGAAGGCCGAAAAAGAGATGGATGGACTGTGTGAAAGATGATATGGTAAGAAAGGAAGTAAATAACGCGATGACTGCGAACAGGGATGAATGTAAGAGAACAACATATTACGACGACCACAAATAAATGGGATAAGGAAGAAGCAGATGATGATGATGAACGTGTTACTACTAAACCTGCCTCATATAGGCTAGTAATATAAACTAAAATTCATTATTATTGTTGTATTCAAATTCAATAATCATTTATTCATGTAGGACATTTTAGCCGCTTATGAACGTAAAGTTTTTTACATTATATAATAATTTTAATTTTTTTCCCATCGTCCAGTTCGGTATGTAGATCCAATTGAGAAGAACTGGCAAGAAACTCAATTGAATTACTTTTTTTTAAAGCCAGTTTATTTACAATGTATATTTATATAGGTGTCTATGTCTAATATTGTCTAACATTAAATGAAAATTCAGTGCATGAACAACTATTGCCAAGCACGCTCGTCATTCAAGTAATCGTTTAGTGAGTAATAGGCTTCGCTCAGTAAATATGATTTAATAGATGTTTTGAATTATTTAAGGGTAATCTAAATATATATAACTCAAAGGTGACTGACTGATATAGTGACGGATCGGACTGAAATTTGGCATACAGGTAGATGTTATGACGTAGGCATCCGCTAAGAAAGGATTTTGATTAATTCTACCTCCAAGGGGATAAAATAGGGGGGTGAAAGTTTGTATGAAACTTTGACAATTTTAAACCGATCGGGCTGAGACTTTGCATGCATAAATCTACTATGACGTAGGCATCCCCTACGAAAGGATTTTGATAAATTCCACCCCTTAGGGGATAAAATAGGGGATGAAAGTTTGTATAAATCTTATTAAATTTTCCACTGATTGAACTGAAATTAAAGATTGGAGCTACTATGGCGAAGACGTTCGCTTAAATAGAATTTTGATGAATTAAACCCCCATGGGGATAAAATAACACCCAATAAACCTCGGCTAAGGCCGTCGTAAATTTAATTGAACGGGGATCGATCCTAGATGCTCCCATATTGACACGACGCAAGATACATACATCCTAACTCCATATCTGTGTTTCCTAAACAGTTAGTCTTCATGCAATTAAAATTAGAATCCTTATTGAATATTCTAGATATTAATGCGTGCGTAAACGTACAGGACCTGGAAGTACTCTGCCGCGTCTACATTGAACGTGGTTTGGTCTATGACGTCAATGAGCGGCGTCAGGACCGCGTCTCTCTTATGTCTGATCCTCTGCAGCAACGGCCGCAGCCAGTCAGCGTTCGCTTCGCAGTGCGCGTCCAAGAATATGAGGACGTCGCCTCTGGCTGCGCGAGCGCCTCGCATACGCGCTTTTATGAGACCCTGCCTGCAATTGGGGTTGCCAAAGCTATTTTAAAATTGCTTTGCACACTTTTAGTAGGGATTTTAAATTTGTATTTAGTTGTATGACTTATTAAAGATCAACGTTCTTTAATTAAATTATTGTAGTCTCATTGAGGGAACAATACATTCAAAGCGATGCACTCACTACAAAAAATATAAAAGCTTTAATAAAAACATCCTTTTACCTCCATTTTAGTGTTCTCAATTTTTTACCTGACCTTTTAATGTATCTTAAAAATAATATTAGTCATTTTGAAAATAGATCTCCAAATATAGACAATTGATGTTGATTTGGTTCTTTCTATAAAATTCTTCTCGAACTTTCCGCGGCGTCACCAATACATATATTACATGTAAATAATGGCTGTGATTTTACGAAAAAGAATTGGAATAACGGAAAAATATGTCATTTAAAATATAAATCACAGGAAATATTTTACCGTATCGTAAAAATCTATTCTTTAATATTATACTTCTATAATCAACGTTATACAAAAAAATATTACTACTTCATGATAATAATGCAAACGTTCAAATACTCGAGAATTTAAATTATTTGGCAAATTATTTTATTCCCTAAAAGCCTGAAAAAGAAAGTATCAGTACAGTGTATGCAGTATAATGTGCCTTGCTCGAGTGTGTACAAGTGCAGGAATCTCCCAAAGTATTACAATTTTAAAGCAAGGATCAGTCCAATCATAATTCATAATAACAACAATGAAGAAGAAACAAAAATGACCTGGAGGACCTGTTTGTCTCGCAATGCAGAACCTTACGTGCATCAAATGTGATAAAAGTAGAAAATGCAAAAAATAAAAGCCTATAGATAATATGGTGATAATATAAATCTAAGACACGGTGATGCAGTAACAGTAAATAAGAATTTAAGAATAAAACCTGAATAAGTAACAAAAAAACTTAGAAATTGCGTAAATACAGTGACAATGAAAAATAAAGACAATAAAAAAGTAAAAGATGAAAATATCAAACAAAGAAACGAAGCAGATCAAAGCGCTAATTCCAATGCAAAACAAAATACAAATTACAACAAATACTGTGAAAGAGGTGTTTGCAGGCAATGAATTGATTATAGCTCTAATTCAACTATTGTTTTCATAACTCTAATTCATGGATGTCTAGGTAACCTACAAAAACGTATCCAACTACGTGTGAGTATACATTATTAACAGTGGAAATGTTATCACTATTCGAAAAGGTGCATTTAACTTAAGTAAATGGATATTAATTCATTGTAATCTATTCTTTATTAAAGGGGTCGATAAAGACCATGATATATATGTATATAATAGACGTGAAATAACAAATTTGAAATATTATGATATAACTTTATCGGTAATCAACTAACTACGACTATCTATGACTATAAAGGTACTGTAACAATTAATTACATTTCATAACAAAACATAGTCAGTGTGTCAACTAATATTGAAACATTGTTTAGATGTTGAAATTAGGACTATCAAGACTAACAGACAAATACGCGAACATCCAGAGAAAATAGTATGTGCAATAAAACAAACCAAAACAAAATGTGACTACAAACCAAATCCTTCGAAAAAGCCTTCAGACAAAACACAAGTCAAGTTCACGACACAGAAAAGCAACTCAAACGGACAAAACTTAAGCAACACATAAGCAACCTGGAACACTGTGGGATCCTGAACGCTGTAGTAGAAGTCAGAGGAGCCGATGACGTCTATAATGGGCACGACGACCGCGTGTGGCTCGTGCTTGATCCTGTCGAGGAGGGGCCTGAGCCAGTCGGTCTGACCCTCGCAGTGCGCGTCCAAGAACACCAGCACGTCGCCGACGGCGTACCGCGCGCCGGCCAGCCGGGCACGAGTAAGGCCCATGCTGTTAACCAAGTACTTACTCAATTCTAAGACGCAGCCCATATTGAAATAAACCCTAATGAATGCAGTTAATTACATTGCTTCAAACATACTGGTTGTATAAACGAGAATATCATCGTTTTTATAAAAACACATAATCTTTATTCAAATAAACTTAATATAAACACTTTTGAACTGTCATAAAATATTGTTTTATTCCATCGCTTATTCGGAAAGCAGACTCATCACAAGACGAACAAAAACTTGCGTATTTCTCTTTTAAATAAATGTTGTTACTGTCATTTAGCAAGTTTGACATATATTTAAGTTTGTTGTTATAAATTTGGACCTTATGCAATGTAATTATGAATTACTCAATCACACATGAATACATTATTTCTTATCAACTCATTTCCACGAAACACCTGCAATAATGTTTTAAGATTTTCAATCAATATTACATGAAGGTGTAATCATATATTAGTGAAACATACGAATGAAATAAGAAAAAAGATCATTCTATTTTGATTATTAGTAGGGTATTGGATGAATATGAACATAATGATTTTAATAAACTAAAAATACAGTTAATCCAATTTTATCGAACAATTAGTTGATTAAATACTCGTACAATGAGTGTTAAATTAATGAACCCCTCTAAACTTATTATAACTATATAGAAACATAATATTACTACATACTTAGTAAAATTTCAATTAAAAAAACAGTACCCAATTACCAGCAAATTAATAAATTTCAGAAATTATTATCATATGGTTGCAAAATGCTGCCCTGAGGTACTCCATTATTTTAATATTACATACAACCACTTTAATTTATTAAACTACTTTAAAATATTAAAGTTACTTTACTATAAAACTATTAGTTTGAGTATATCTACAACAATTAAAGTGAAATCGCCATAAAATCGTTTGGAGTAGTGTAATCAATAAAATCAAATGCTTAGCACTAATCCAAAGCATTTCACTTTAATTGCGATAAATTAGCATAAATTTATACGTTATTAACACTAATAAGACGAGCGAAGACATTTACTATTAATAAAAGTCGAGTACGGCCGGTTGTGAGAAAATTGAATTGAATGAAACAATTCCCAGAGCAACAAACCGTTATAACATCGAGGTAACTGAATTAATTATGATTATAATGTCGATAAAGAATTATTAAGTCATAAGTTTTATTGAATATGCAGACCAAATGCTTTATTAAGATTGTTTTGATATATTTATGCTTAAACTTTTTAACAAAGTGAAAATATATGAATAAATGAAAAGAATAAAAAATGAACTTAACTTAATTGAAGAATCTAAAATATCTTATATGAATAAATTATTTTGATTTTAACTAAATGTTCTTGTATTTTTTACGTCACACAGTTACTAAACATAAAAAACAACATATACATAAAACAATAATTCAATTGATAATATTAGTTGTCTTATAGAAAATAGTAAAATGAACAAGTGTGGTAGTCGAACAGTCAACATTAGGCTTCCAAACTATATCCAAACTCTATTCATTGCCTATTGATGTCTTGTTTAGAGGCGAAACACATGTCGCTATATGGGTGTAGATCCAATTTGATAACTAGTGTAGAAGGCGATAACGCTTGGTAGAGGTGGTAATGCTACGTAACTTAATGTTTGCGGTCTGACACATGCTATTAGTAGCAGAATTAAACAAAATAATACAAACCTTTTAAGTAATATATAATTCATTAACAAATTAACTAAACCTGTTAATAAACAATTTCTTGCTATGGGAACTGTATCAACAGCAAAATCTACTACAATCACCTCGAAGTCGACAACGCTTATTCCTGTATCATACTCAAATGTGTCTTGCTGCACCATGTCTATGATCGGTGTGAGGACGGCCGTTCTTTTCCGCTTGATCCTCTGCAGCAGAGGCCTCAGCCAATCGACGTTGGCTTCGCAGTGCGCGTCGAGGAATATTAACACATCGCTCGTGGCAGTTTTGCTGCCCGCTAATCTTGCTTGGGTAAGCCCAACCCTAAGGCAAATACTAGTATTCTGATTGTATTTTTGACTTTGATCTGATCATTTACGAATACATAAAAAAAAAGGTTATTTAATGATGTTTGTCATATTTTATTATATCCTAGCTACCCGTACCGGCTGTCAGGTGTCAATCACTCTATCTATTGCTAAAAACTGGATTAAAATCCGTTGCGTAGTTTCAACGATCTAAGCGAACAGACAGCGGAAACAACTCTATTTTATACTATGTAAAGATAACCAAAATGTGTTAGCTTTGAAAAATTTTCACGTCTCTTAATTGACTTTTTACCTTTTAAAAATAAACCATTATAAACATTATACTTGAGAATCATAACTCAGTCCTGCATTCAATTTGTCTTAGAGTTGATAAAATGTACAGTCAGGAGAAGAGTCTAAACAATGTCCAGCGCCTGGTGCATTAGACCACGGCTCCACCTAGTAGTATAATACTTATAGTTTCTACAACCGTCTCCTATTTCCTTATATTCATATACAATACCAAAATTGCCTCCTATTTCTTTAAGTACATATATAGTACCATTGGTCGAATGAATACTTTCAAATTCATTCAATAATACATACACAGCTGTTTCGTGGAACGAGACATGATAAGATAACGTAACGTAGAAGGAAACGAAGATTAGGGGATAAGAATTCAATCATAAGTTAATGGATTAGTATTAATTGGTTTAACTCCGCTATCAGTACTATGTGAGACACCACAAATATTCAGTGCAGAGGTCTAACCACCACTACTAAAAGCGTTATCATCATCCTTATTAACAATCATCTCCACAGATTACGAGATGTTTTGCGTATAAACGAGTCATCAATAAGATCTTGAATACAACTCGGCGTTCAGACCATTAGAGCTATTTTGTATCACATACGAATTCAAAAGCGGAATACGCAGTGAGATTGGACATAGGAGTTCACGCTCACGCCAGCGCGGGCGGCCGGTGGCCCGCGCTAGACTGTCTCGTTGGACGGTGCGTAGCACCGGCGGTACGCAGTAAATTGTCTTATCTGGCGGCACGTACCACCGGTGGCCCGCGCTAGTTTGTATAATTGGACGGCGCGTACCACCGATGGCCCGCGGTAGTTTGTATAATTGGACGGCGCGTACCACCGGTGGCCCGCGCTAAATTGTCTCATTGGACGAAGATGAAGCGTAGCATCAATTAGAGCGCTGCACGCAGCAAAAAACATCAAAGTCGGCCCCGGCGTGAATGTGTTAAAACTCGATAACGACTGCAGTGCCACACGAGAGCGGGATGAAGGTAAAACAGACACTAGTGATTTTTTTAGATATATAGGTAAACTCGATAGCTCAGGAGTAACTTTAGATTTTACATAGATAAGCCTTGAGTGAAGAGTCGATTAAGTCCAATAGAATACCAATACAGGAGTCATGGTGTGGACAAAATTAATACGAATCCATCAACTAACGAAATGTACTTGAGCAAAATAACAGTTCCAATTGTTAGACCTACAATGAGAATCACTGGCAGCTTTTATATATTCTTTTATCCATGTTTAAAATATGATGTTCTTTATATACAATTTGTTTTATACACTTCTGTCACAGAGCTCTGCACTGCACGTCCACAATCTCTCTAATATTTTCATTTATTATTACTCAAAGAAGAAATATAAGAAACAACGCACAACCACATTGTGGAATCACCTTCTAGCAATGGTATTTCCGAACCGATACGATATTGAAACCTTTAAGAATTTTTAAGCTTATTCCTTTTTAAGGCCGACAACGTACTGACAATTCCCCTGAATTCCCAATAAGCACCCGCAACACCATGGGGTGTTGCAGGTGCTCATGGGCGGCGGTAATCAGTTACCACCAGGTGAGCCGCATGCTCGTTTAACCGTAAACTTACCGATCTGGTAAACGTATTATCCTGATCAAATCCGGTGGTAGTCTCGTCCGTACGTAATGACTCAGTTTGCCCTTCAGCTCGGGCAGTGTGGAGTTATCGTCAACTAGGATGATCTCCTTCAGGTACACCAACGGTGAGTTCGGGTCTTGGCCGGGGTAACCTGGGTGAGAACCAATTATCTATTTCAAAATGGAACGACAAAGAAGTGGTTTCAAAAGTGATATTAAGAAGAAAACAGTTTAGATTTTTTAAATTTTTGCTCAGGTATATATTACAAGTTTTCCCCAGGGAAGAAAGGAGAAGTAGTAGATTCTATAAGGGAACCAGCAAAGATGGGGCCACCTGCTAGAGTCGGGCCATCGTTGAAGTTGTGTCGGACAAACATCGATCCCGCGACTCCGCGCATATTGCGTTGGATGAGGGACATCTTGAAGTTTTTAGTTAGCCTCCTCCGGGCTGACGAGTCTTAATGAGGATTTCCTCTAAGTAAAACAAGAAGGTGCATCATACAAAATCGTAAGAGTTCACACCAGTCTCACCTATTTTAGCCGATGAGCAGCTTGGAATACGGATAGAATATTTCATGCATTTCTAACGCATGAGTGGTGCCTAGAGCGTTACATGATGTCCGTGGTGCTGTTCATATATATAGACGGATTTGCCACGTACCATTAACTAGGTTTATTTGCATTTCAATTATATAAAAATAAAATCTTTCACCCATAGAAAGTTGCATTTCCTTGTCCCATGGAATACAATTTTCATTTACCCCAATTGATGGTCCTTCGAGAATAATCATAAGATCCAGTTTCACGTAGACATACAAGTTAAACTGACTCTAGTGAGTATTTACATCAGTCGTCTAGTACCCATAACACAAGCTCTGCTTAGCTTGGGACTAGATGGCGTTGTGTGAATTGGCCAGGGGTATTTTTTTATGGATGATAATGTAATGGTACACACGCATGTGCTAACGGTTTACTCTGGCGATGCACAAGTGGAGGATGATAGGATGAGCATGAGGTCAGGTCAGTTAGCCCATCGTAACAAATTCAAAAAGGATTTATCACGATGGTTTCCAGATGGAACCGCGTGGATGTTAACCTGACGTGGTACATTGCTGGCAATAAGATCATCAGTCCACATTACTAACAATCCCCTTTCCCCCAGGCCAGGGATATTACTATGACTATTAAGTTACCCAAATTCATGGTGTTTCCAGTTTCCCTGTCGACGAAGTTGGCCTGCTTGTACCAGGGCTGGTCCCTGCGCGCGCTGTTCACCACGCTCCAGATGGTGCGCACCACCACCGAGTACGGCTCGTTGTGGAAGATGATCACCACCGAGGCGGAGGGCAGCTCCGCGTCGTACACCACGCGCTGACATGCCGGGTTTCGGTAGTCTGCACGCAAACAGACACTGTTGTTGATTATATTTATGGGTTAGTAATTTTTTAAGCAAAGGTTTTATTGTATACTAGCTGTTCCCGCGAATTCGTCCGCGTGAAATTTAACAATATTTTTCTTATATAAAAGTAGCCTAAGTTACTCCTTATAACATCAGCTACCTAAAAAAAGACCCGTCAAAATCGGTCCAGTCATTTCAGAGATTAACCGGAACAAACAGACAGACAGACAAAAATGACAAAAATGTTATTTTGGTGTATGTACCGTATTTACATTCATATGCATGTAGTAAAAAACGGTTACAGTAACAGACACTCCCATTTTATTTATATGTATTGATGTATAGACTAGCTTCTTTCTTTCTTATCACACAACTTCGTCTGTATCACACTTACTTGGCATTTATCGTAATTTTAATTATAGTCTATGTGATATTCTGATGTATAAACTATATTACTGTAAAGTCTCATCAAAACCCGTTAATCAGTTTTTGCGTGTAAAAATAACAAACACCCATCCAACCATACCCACAAACTTTTGCGTTTAAAATCTTAGTATGATTAATTAACTGAATCGAAATCACTCATTCATTCATTCTCCCAAATTTGAATTTATAAATGAATCTGTATTATTGTAAACATACATATAGATACATATAGATGTATAGATTAATATTATTATATTATTATTTTTAAAAAATCTAGTGATTCCATATATGACTGTGAACCGCCACGTATGTACGTAGGTAATGTACCTGTTCTTATATTCACATTGTATTATTTTCACAACTGTACAATTGTTTGATATTCATCAATTACTCATTTCGGCAATAAAATCCTGACAAGGTCGAGCGCGAATTGTATAGTGAAGCTGCGAACACAAACTACGAGTCAGGGGCGTAGCTACCGCCGTATCTGCCGAGCCAAATACACGGCCCCCTCAACGTCCGTATGCAAAATTAACTTCCCAATTTTTTTTCTATTTCACAAATGACAACAGTAAAAAAACACAATCTGTCTTATTACAAAAAGATAAACCTGGTTTAGCCCTAGTAATAAACCATTGACTAAAGTATTCCTTATTACAAAACGAAGTTTATCTCTAAACCGTGATTCGTCTCTTGTCTGAAGTTAGACCTGCGATGCCCCTAGTTTAACAGTGGTCTAAATGCAAAAAGTCAAACTCCATTTTTAAATATTGTATTGTAAGTAGTTGTTTTTTGAAAATAGGCTGAACTAAATGAAAAATATATTAACTAAAAATATTTAACGCTAATTTGTACAATTAGCCTTAAATATTTTTAGTTAATAATAATAAAAATATATGAACGTCATTTGTTAGTTGATTCACTCTTTTGACTTTAAATAGTCACCATTAGAATCGGGCCAATAAAAATATCTCGCCGTTCCTTTTCTCCGTAACTCCGTCCTTACTTGTAATTTAAAATTGATTTTTAGCCTAATAGTACATTAATAAATATTAATGAAATAGTTATAATGAAGACGAAAAATTATTTAATAAATCAGTTTGCCGAAAAAGAGGCGGGATAATTTGGAGGGTAAATTTAATTTTAATTGCTTGTAAGAAATTTGGATAAAGTGACAGATAGATAATTATGATGAATAAATATTTCTTTTAATTTCATGCAAATGGGACAGCAGCGCAAAAGTCACCGCAACATTCTGGGGAAAATATATTTAAACTAGCTTATCCCGCGGGTTCGCTCGCGTTAATTTATCCCCTTATTGGTGGAATTTATCAAAATCCTTTCTTAGCGGATGCCTACGTCATAGTAGATTTATGCATGCAAAGTCTCAGCCCGATCGGTTTAGAATTGACAAAGTTTCATACAAACTTTCAACCCCTATTTTATCCCCTTGGGGGTAGAATTAATCAAAATCCTTTCTTAGCGGATGCCTACGTCATAACATCTACCTGCATGCCACATTTCAGCCCGATCCGTCCAATGGTTTTGGGCTGTGCGTTGATAGATCACTATGTCAGTCAGTCACCTTTGAGTTATATATATTTCGATAAGTCATATTTTATGTTGACTAGAACTATAAGTGTTTTTTTTTGGACTACTTTAATGCTGTTGTCCGCAGGTAGCCTTTACAGTTTCACCGGACGATAGGGGGCGAGTGCAGATAACACTACAAACTAAAGGAAGGACTTATGGAGCGGCTGAAGGACAACTCCGCCTGACGGATACGACGCCAGTCTGAGCTAGGGGTTCGAACTTCGGCTCAGGTTAAATATTGCTGATCAATGGATTTCATGTGGCATCGTATTAATTATAGTACTGTACCAATATTTCGCAAATAAATTATTTAATTTCATTTCATTTCAGGCCATCGTGATATCGATCCCCGTTTGAATTGGATAGGGGATCGATCGTTAAGGGGACTCGATAGGTATCGATAGGTAGGGTGTGTATGAAGGTTACTTATGGGTGTGTATATTGTGATCTATGCTTAACTGAGGACTGCATACATGAATCAATACTGATAACGTGGTGACCTATATGTGTGTAATATCAGCAGCACACCAGATAACATATTGCTGTTTATCAGATAATGACATTAGTCAATGTTACAATAATTAATATTTTAGTAATCTATACATCTATACATATAAATAAAATCGGAATGTGTGTGAATCTCAACGACGTGCATTGTAAATAATTATAAAAACTCCAAATTATAAATTAAATCGTAATTATATATATTTATTAAAATTATTGAAGCACATAACACATTACAATCGTAATATAGGGGACACAGCGTTGTATATTTGAATATTATGAGTAAATTATGAAAGAAGTTTTAACACTCATTTTTGTTGGAGTTTCCAACAGAATGTCTGTTTGTAATATTGAAATAATCGTTTTTAGTACATGCATATGAATATAAATATGGTACACACACCAAAATTACATATTTTACAATTTTTATCTGTCTGTTTGAACTGGTTGACTGGTTGGTTAAACTCTGAAATGTTTGGACCGATTATGACGGGACTTTTTTTGGCAGGTAGCTGATTCAATAAGGAGTAACTTAGGCTACTTTTATTTTGGAAAAAGAAAAAAAAAGTTAAATTCCACATTGTCTGCATGGAATTTAACTTTTATTTTTTCTAAAATAAAAGTTATGTACAGAAAATTTTTACATTATTATTTTTAATTTTTTCCCTACCGTCCAATTCAGTATATAGATCCAATTGAGAAGAACTGGTTATTAATAGTTTTCTAACATACTAAGTTTTGAAAAAAATCTTATTCATTAATTTTTCTCTCAATTTATAAATGATATATTTGATATTTATTTAGAACTACCGGCTACTGGCCCTGGCTTCACACGGGTGTACAAGTAATATATATATAAAACTCCCTCTTGAATCACTTTATCTATTAAAAAAATACCACTTCAAAACCTGTTGTGTAGTTTTAAAGATTTAAGCATACATATGAACTTCATTACATAGTATATTTATTTTATACTATGTAATGAAGAGTAAATAAATAAATACTGTTACTTTTGTAGAGTTAAAACTCTCAATACTCTGATAAATATGTTATTATTTTCATTTTCTGAGTGGAAGGAATATTTTTGAGGACAAAATGTTTGTTTAGTTTTTACTTTTATGTACATTCCATAGGAATGGGATACAATTAATACAGCAATCAAATAAATAAGGTATTTTTCAAACCTCTATTTGCAAAATTAATAAGGATTTTAAGAAAATTTAAAACCGGTAAGTAACTATGATAAGATAACTTAAACATTATTCAACCGAACTTGTGCCTAAGTATTATTTGCGCTGCATGTAAAGAATATATTACATACTATTTCTTTAGTTATTTTACACTGAGGTACACTGGGAAGATGCGTACCTTTCAGAGTTCTGTTGTATGCAATCCTCTCGCTCAAGTGGACATTTATGGCCAGTTTCTTTTCAGACTCTTCACCGAGCCGCTTGTCCTCCCCCAGCAGGTGTGCGGCTACACCTCCCTCTCCAAGTCCTGGTATAATACGAGCCTCGTCTTCCAATATCTCCCTTTCATATTCAGCTTCAATTGGATCTGAAAATTGCGCCTCCGTAGTTCGCTTACCGCCGCGATAATGTTCAAATAAAGCTAACAAAGACACCACTAGTATTAACAAAAGACATACTTTAGCTACATGATAACACTTTCGAATAGGAAAGTATACCATTTTAATAAATTATGCGATAAACCGCGACACGGCACGCGAAGCCGACGTCGATCTTGTTTGATGACTGACGTTTTTGACGTTTTGTAGTCGCCATGTTTGTTTACAGTTTGACTTTTTAAAACAGGAAGGCAAAATATAAACACAAAACATTCAGCAATTCCGCCCTATCACCTTATCACATGAGCAAAACAACAAAGATTTTGTTTCCTTTCAGTCCAAACAGTCTTATAAGGATACTTTTTCGTTAATTTAATTATTAAGAACAACAAAATTAAAATAATGTTCAATTGTCATATAAATTAGAGGATTGCTAAAAGCGTAGTGATTATATTCTCTCTGTAAAGTATTTAAAAAAATATTTTACGCAATCTATACTGTTAATAATTATTTACAATACTGAAGAGATGATGATGATGATGATACATGATTAAGAAACTGGTATTATCTATCAAATCTTATATTAAGTTACGTATCTCCCAGTGTCAGATTAAGATGTAGGTATGGAGCAGTCCTTTAGAAAGAAAGAAAGAAAGAAAGAGGGAAAGTTAGTTCTTGAGACTGCAAAATTATCTCGTACTAGCTGTTACCCGACCAGAATTTAAATTTATTCGATTAAAAAGTATCATTTCTAATACAAAAGTAGCCTAAGTTACTTTTTATAACATTAACTATTTGCGAGTGAAAGGCCCCTCAAAATCACTCCAGCTGTTTCAATTAGAGATTAGCAAAAACAAACAAACATTCCAGATAGACAATTTGTTTAATATTTTTTAGATAAATAACTGTATTTTCTCTTATATGCATATTGTGATTTGTATTTGAAATTATAAACAGATACAAATTCACTCTTTTATTTATTTCTAATTTTGTGTAGATGTGATTATTTTTTAAATAAAACCATATTAATTTAATATAAAATTTATTTCTTCATAAAAAAATACGACAATAAATACATAATACTATGATGTAGTTAACGCCAACGAAAAACACATTAGCACAGAGAAAATATTTATACAATATTATATGAATGTAATTAAAATATTATTAGTTGATTTGATTTCATAAACATATAGTCAAAAGAAACATTTTCATATAAATATTTTTTCTATGCTGTATCCAATACTTAATTGCACTTAGAACAAACACATTCTTTTGTTTTTAATTATACATGTTTAAATAATGGAATGATGAGAATCTTCAAAGTAGGAACATATCTATTGGACTTCAAAAAGTAACTTTAACGTGACTTCCGGCAGGGGGAGAGTGTACTAAGTTTATGTAACAGCCTGAAGACAGAATATGACAGCTAACAGGCTGAAGTAGGTGAAACAGAAGTTGTTTTACTTATTTCAGCCGCCAGGCTGGTAACAATTTTTTATTTCCGCCACTATCTTGAAATCTAATTACGCTTAGAGATAAAATCCGAAACGAGCATGTAAGGGGCAGCTTCGGAATGGTACCTGTAGACCAATGTAGACTTAGGTGGTATGGACATATTCTGCGTAAACCTGAAAACCACATTGTGAGAAAGTGCCATTCCATGGCTACAACTAAAAGAGGACGCGGCAGGCCACCAACTACCTGGTTGACAAATGTCCAAAGGGAGGGGGAAAGGGGATTTTTAGTAATGTGCATTGATAACCCCATTGCTAGCAATGTACCATGTCAGGTTGACCTCCACGCAGTTCCCACCAGAAACCATCGTGATAAATTGTGAATTGATCACGATGTGCTAACTGACCTGACCTTATGCTCATCTTATCATCCTTCACTAGTGCCCCGCCAGCGTAAACCGTTAGCACAGGCGGGTTCACAATTCCATTATCATCCATAAAAAAAAATGTCCTAAGGGACTTGAAGGAGTTGGACCTGTCAAATGACGATGCTTACCAGCGCAATATATGGCGGGAAAGGATTAGAAAAGCCGACCCCGAGTAACGGGAAGAGGCGAGGATGAAGATGAGTATCTTGAAACCTAAACATCATTTTTTCAATTAATATTTTCGACTCACGTACAGACTAATGTTAGTCACAATTGAAGTCCGAACAGAATCTAAATCGTATTACTTATTAATATTACTATTGTTTGATTTGGTGGTCTCCTTGAACAGTGAATCTAATGAGCTAAGCTGAGTCTTCGATAACTTGGCGCCTTTCATGTCGAGGACCTTGTGGAACTCCGCGAGGGTACTCTCCGGCAGCAGCTGCACGAACTGGCTCACGAAACCCTCAGGGTTGCCGTCCAGCGGCGCCATCACCAGTTTGAGGATCATCTCCGCTTTGGTCATCAGTTTTATCACCACTTTCGTGTACATGGCTGGTGCAGGCCGCTTCACCTCGGAACCTAAGGAATATACAAATGAATGAGCGAATGAACGAGTGAGTGAATGAAATATTTCACTCATAATTAAATTATATCCTTTTTGACGACCTCGGGTGGTCTAGTGGTCTAGCACACCGCTTAACGTCCGATGGTCGCGGGTTCGATCCTCGCACGGCACAAACATTTGTATTTATGAGTATGATTTACGAAATAAAAATTATCTATGTATCTGTATCAGTTATCTAGTACCCATAACACAAGTTTTAGCTAGCTTAACTTGGGTCTAGATGGCGCTGTGTGAATTGTCCTGAGATTATTATTATTATTCAATATACCTATAAAAGTTCCGTCAAAATAGGTTCAGCCATTTCAGAGATTAGCCGGAACAGACAGACAGGCAGGCAAAAATTGTAAAAAATGTTATTTTAGTGTATGTACCGTATTTGCATGTAGTAAAAAACGGTTATTTCAATATCACAAACAGACACTCCAATTTTATTTACATGTACAGATATAGCAAAGAACAAGCAGAGAAAGTGTAATAGGACCGTAACTACAACAACATGTACACAGGCGTTGTGGATGTGGTTGTTTGTTAAATATTAGGTTTTACCTGTGTAAAACCTAATATTTAACAAACAACCACAGTTTATAAGTAACCTAAAAGCAAAACCATTGCACGTTGTAGCAAATAAACAGCGCCATCTAGTGACAAATATATAGAAAGTATATTTACAGAAGAATTAAACAATACCTATGGAGGGCAGCTCCAGCAGCGCTGTCTTCAACATGTGCGTGTCCAGCAGCAACTGCTCGGAGCCCACGGTCGAGATGGGCTTGCACTTGTAGATGTTCTGGATGAACTTGGGTATGAAGGAGTTGGCGAATCGTATGCAGAGCTGCGTGAAGTACTTCCTGGAGGAGGCGAGGCTGTCGCGAAGGGTGGGCACTGCGTTCTTGAGATGCATCACCAGCTGTGTGACGTACGAGCTCTGGTCGCCCACCGCCGCCAGCTGCTGCCACGAGATCCGAGTCATCGCCTGCAGCGCCGGCCAGCAGCACGCCTCCAGGTCCTGCACCAGCATCTGCAATCATATCACAATAATAACCTTTTTAGGTGGTCTAGCGGTTTACTTCCGATGGTCGCGGGTTCGATTCCTCGCACGGTACAAACATGTGTGTTAATTAATATGATTGTTTGTATCGGTCTGAATGTTTTCTATGTATATTATGTATGTATTTACAAAACAAAAGTATCCGTATATTTATATCAGTTGTCTAGTACCCATAACACAAGCTCTGCTTTCCGCGGGACTAGATAGCGCTGTGTGAATTGTCAACAACAGGCCGACAACGCACACGCAATACCCCTGGTGTTGCGGGTGCTCTGCACTTACCATCAAGCCTCAGACTAGAGCCTCAAACTAGTTCGTCCTCTGTGCTATAAAAAAAATATCCTACGACAATTCACACAGCGCCATCTGGTCACACGCGAAGGGTTTATGTTATTGGTACTAGATGTTAAATTTAATTGTGTTGAAACGCAAAAATCAACCTTCCAAATGATTGAATGACGTAATGGAATAAATCTACCTAAATGTACATACGTACAGACAGAAAAAAATATTTACTAAAAAAGAACTTAATATAAACATGTTAACAAAAGGCCGGCTTATCATTAAAAGCCATCTCTTACAGATAATCCAGTTCAATTCTTGTCCCTGACGGGTCTAGGTAGCGAACTCTGAAAAAGGGCCAGCACAATAGATCTATGTAGGTCGCAGTGCTACAGGTCCAAGCACCTGACATTAACAGGTCCAAAAACCCTTAATAAAAATAAAACAAAATACCTGAATACAGTTGGTGATCATCTTGTGGAAGAGGTCCTGTTCAGGCACGAGGTCTATCTTGTCTGCGAGCCCGGGGGCCACCTTCTCCTTGAGCTTCTGCTCCAGGTGGATGGTGGTCTCCAGACAGTACTCCGACGTGGTGATCACGCTGGTGATCTTCGCTATCTCCTGCTTTGAGTACCTGATGTTGTGACATAACAATATTAAACTGACTTTATTAATTAGAATAAAATAGAAAGACTGGTCTGTTCAGGTTACGAACACTGATTAGACTTTTTGCTTTTGCAATAGCATATGCTGGTGGTCACTCTATTCTCCTAAATTTGAACTTAAATTAATCTGTATTATTGTAAACATGTACAACATTTATTTGAAAAGAAGATGAACTAAGTTTCTTGTCACTTCTTCTCATCTCGAAATCATTCCGAACTGCCGGTAGATTTGATGTATCATAAGAGTCTGTAATAGACCTACATGAATAAAGATATTTTGAATTTAAGACAATTCTTTATTCAAAAAAACCTAAGCTAAAACTACCAAATAGCAGTTTATATTTTTAAAAAATCTTTAATAAGTAATGTTGAACAATATTCATTTAAAAGAGTAATAGAATCAGTAATAATCTTATACTCATTCTTCTTGTGATGAGTCTGCTTTCCGAATGAGCGGTAGAATAAAAGTATGGTTATGTTATGTGGTGCTCAACGACGATGACACATGACTATGTCTCTGGAGGTAACTGTCACGCCATGGCGATTAAAATATATAATAAATTGCCAAGAGAAATTGTCAATTTGTCGAAACAAATTCAAGAAAGAACTACATAGATGGCTAATCAGCAAATCTTACTACAGTGTTCAGGAGTACTTACTTAATTAAAAACATTGACATGTATAATTTATAAATATTTCATTAATACGAAGTTGACATACTCATATAATAAATAATGTACGTACTTAATATTGATTAACTAAAAATAACTAAACTTGACATTTGTTTTGTCTGTTGCATGTAAGTAATGACAAAATGTGTGAAACTAGTTCTAAAGACCTGAAAAACCCATTTTAAGCAATAAATATTCATTTCATTTCATTTCTGATGACCCTATCTGAGATAATAACCGTAAAAATATATATCCTTTTCTTTTGAAAGAAAACACAAATATTCAGTTTCTTTTGTATGTATGTGTATAATGCGGCGTCACCTGGCGGTGGCGGCGGCGTCGTCCTTGAGCAGCGTGTGCAGGTTGGTGACCAGGCTGGGCACGGTGCCCACCACGCCGGCCACGCTCGCCACACTGGCCATGCTCGCCACGCTCGCCACACCGCGCTGCGGCAGCGCCGCCTGCAGCACAGACGACGCGTACTCGCGGAGGTACTTCTGGAACACCCCCGCCAGCTCTGGACGGGGCACGCGGACGAGTACTGTTAGCTATGTGGAGGTATGGTGCAAACAAATCATAGGGTACGGGGATGGAGGCTACTGCTCGCCACAAGGGAGGCAACACGTCACTAAATAAGTGTTAAATAAATAAATAAATTTGACGACCTCGGTGGTCTAGCGGTCTAGCTCACCGCTTTCCGTCCGATGGTCGCGGGTTCGATTCTTCGCACGGCACAAACATTTGTATTAATGAGTATGATTGTTTGTATCGGTCTAGGTATTTTCTAAGTATAACATGTATTTAAGAAAAAAAAACTGTATTTGTATCAGTTATCTGGTATCCATAACACAAGCTTTAGCTAGCTTGTGTGTGTGTGTGTGTGTGTGTGTGTGTGTGCATTTTATCGTTTTTTTGACTTGATGCATGGACAATTTTGTAATTGCGCATTTCTTATTTACATACTTATATATGTACGGATGGGAAAACAGTGGCATACGCTTGGCAAATGTAGAGAATAGAGGGTAGTGGAATTCTGAAAGTACTATTTTGTATCAAAGCTTCGTATTCGATCATGTTCCCGTCAAAGGTCAATAACAAGTTATTTCTAACCAAAATTTTAAATTACATATGTATTACGTAATTCATTATTTATCATTATAGTGTTTTTTTTATATATTATACTATCTGTCCCGGCAAACGTTGTTTTGCCATGTAAAGTAATACCGCTGTAAAAAAGTAGAGGTTGGTGATAGAAGGGTGAAAATATAGGGTTGTATGTATTTTTTAATGGCACATGTTAAAAAAATATAAATAAAAAAATTTGCCCAAAAAAAAAATGTTAGGAGTGGACAACCCTATTACTTAGGGTTATGAAAAATAGATAGTAGCCGATTCTCAGACCTAATGAATATGCATATAAAATTTCATAAAACTCGATCAAACCGTTTCAGAGGAGTATGGTAACATTGTGACACAAGAATTTTATATATAAGATTACCCAAGTAAAAACCATTGCATAATGAAACAATTTAATATTGTTTGATTTGCTTTGAAATCGGTTATCCGGATTTTCGATTATACGGAATATCACTGGGTTTTTTATATATATAAACAGTAGTGTGTGGTAGTCACCGAGCATGGGCTCCCCGGTGGTGAGTCGCGCGCACTGCACCAGGCATCGCTTGTAGAACACGAACAGGTCCGCGCAGCTCGCGATCACAGCGCCGCCACCGCCGCCACCACCGCCACCACCGCCACCACCACCACCACTGCCACCACCGGCACCACCGGCTTCGCCGTCCGTCGCACGAGCCTCCTGCAAACATACACATCAATAATATTAACAGAACATCCCGGATAATCCACACAGCGCCGTCTGGTAAGGAAAGCTAGTTGTAAAGCTAGTGGTGCTGCTTGTGGGGACTGGTCTGTTCAGGTTGCGAACACTGATTAGATTTTTTGATTTATTTTTATATAGCATATGCTGATGGTCAACTATTCTCCCAAATTTGAATTTAAATTAAATAGTATTATTGTAAATATGTACAACATTAAAAAAAACGAGTTGAGTTTCGTTGAGAGATATTTTGAATTTGAATTTGTAGGTACTAGAACATCACCGTCAGCTTCTTCCTCATCCCATTTATTTCTGGTCGTCGTAATATGTTTTTCTCTTCCATTTATCCCTGTTCGCAGTCATCTCGTTATTTATGGGTAATAGAAAATTTAAAAAAATCTTTTTTTTTAATTTAAAGCTATTACATATATAATGTTTTACGATTATTATAATTTTCCTCTTTATTATTTATATACTTTTTTATCTTAGATATATTTTTTTAATTGTATAATATCTGTTTTATAATTGTTTTGTACACGTATATTTTTAATTGTAATATATGTGCGTACTGTAGGGCCAACTGAAAATCAGCGCTGGATACTATGTTGCCAGCATTATGCTGAGTTGTGGTCCACATTGACTCTGTTTTTTTAATGTGTAAATTATTGTATTGTACTTCTTATATTACTACTGTATAAAACATGTGTTGAGAATATTTTTATATTTATTGAATCGTATTTTTATACGATTCAATAAATCGGTATCGCAGGTACACCACTACTCCGCTGTAGGTGGTAACATTGTTTGAAAATTTGACATTTACCTGTCAATTTAGTCTCTGAGACTACAAAACAGAATATAGTCTGTATTATTAACAATCCTCTTCTGCACAAATATAAAATACTAAGATATCATATCTTCTTTAGATTAGACTCCGCGTGGGAGATGTATATAGGACAATTACAATCTCTTCGTCTGTTGATTTGTATATAATTGCAGTGACAAAAGAGATACAGACCTCCCGGAGCCCGAGCAGGCGGCCGGCGCTCCGCTCCCGGCCTCGTGCGTAATATACAGACCTGCAGGAACCTGTCCATGAAGGAGCGCAGGTTGGCGTCCAGCGAGTGTATGTAGAGAGAGAGGTACGGCTCGAAGCACCCGCCGATCAGCCCCACCCACGCGGAGCCCGAGCTGGCGGCCGGCGCTCCGCCCCCCGACTCCTGCTGACAACATACACACCGAGGACTTTAATTGCCATAACTGGTAATTAATTTTCATCCGTCATACTCGTGAACGAGTGCTGCTTGTAGGGACTGGTCAGTTCTAATCACTACGACTGATTTCCTCTTATTTAGTTGCTTAACCAGTTGGTTATATATTTAATATTTTTTCTATTTGAGTATTTAATTGAATTAGTGCTAATCAGTAGTTTATATTCACACACTTCAACTTAAAAATGTAAATTAACAATAAAATTATTTAAAAGAGCAACACGCAAGTTTCTTGCTCGTTCTTCTTGCGATGAGACAGCTTTCCGAATGAGCGGTAGATTAAAAAAAAATGTAATGACTATTCAAACGTGCTTCAATGTAAGTTTATTTGAATAAATGATTTTCTATTCTATTCTTTAATAAATTGTAAATTGCTTTTTACTTTGATCCACAAATGAATTTCTTAGTAGTTATATATTTATTGTAATACAATATAACTAGGTAATTGTGGATAAATGAAAATAATTTGCTTCCGTATATTGTGAAAAGATCAATTGCAATGAAAAAACAAAAGAGGAACAGTGGACAGAAACATTTAAAAGTAAATATAGCTACAAGAAAGTATTAACAAGGTTTAATTTCTAAAATGTAAGCTGCATACTCTGTTTGTTTTTTTTATGTCATTATTGTGCGAGTCAAAAAATGACTATTCTATTCTATTATGACCATTGCTGACCTCCGTGACGTCGGCGTCGAAGTCGATCTGATTATCTGTGGTGCTCTCCAAGTTGGTAGTCTCCAGATCCGTGCCTGCGAATAATATCAAATCAAAAATCATATACTCATTTAAAACATTTTAGCCGCTTATGAACGTCAATTTTTTTTATTATATTCTTTACAGTACAGTATGTAAATTCAATTGAGAAGAGCTGGGAAGAAATACAATTAAATACATGCAATAACATGTGAGAGATATGTTAATAAATAATGATATCTCACTAAATGAAATTAAGATTAAAAGTGACTATTTCAAATTACAAATGAATAGTTGAGATTTCGCTAATTTCAAAAATTGTGATAGTGTTGCATTTTATGATTTTTTTCAGTTGGTAACCCTAAAATCATTTATCGCCGAAAACAAAATGATCTTCGTACAAACCATTGAGAAACCCATAGCTCGTCACCTGTAATGGCGCACTACTATTTCTGTATTTATATGTATATACATCATCGTCAAACATGTACGCGCGGTATGTGGTGTGTGGTGTGTGGTCACCTGTGAACCTCTTGTGGAGCAGCAGCTCGAAGTTGTAGGTCTTCTGTATGGCGTACAGCAGCAGCTTCACGTCCACCTCCGCGCGGCGAGACGACAGCAACGAACTCAGGTCCGACCGGGTCATCTGCGGCGCACAACCAACGAACCAACGTGTACAAACTCATCTCAACTTATCTGATAGCTACGTAATGAACAACTCAGTGAACAAATAGGTACCGTGAGGTCAAAAAGCTGCCATTGAGGGTCCCAATTGAAACTATCTAGAGATGTGTCAACTCGAGTTAACTCGAGGTGCGGTGAATTCGAGTTAACTCGAGTTGAATTCTGCCAACTCGAGTGGGAAGTATTCAACTGGGAAATGAAGGAATCAAGTGAAAGAGCGAGAGCATGATTCTGTCATCGAACCGACAATGACATGAAATTCTCCGATCATTTCATATCATACAATTTTCATTCGTCACTAATGTTTCAATATTGATTTGAGGTCGTTATCATTTTTTTTTGCAAAATCGGTAGGTCAAAATCGGTCCAGCCATTTCAGAGATTAGCCAGAATAAACAGACTTCTGTCTGTTTATACCGACTACGACAGATAAAATTTGTCAGATAAAATAACAGACAAAAAAAAATATTTTGGTATATGTACCGTATTTACATTCATTTGAATATAGTAAAAACTGGTTATTTCAATATTATAAACAGACACTCCAATTTTACTTATATGTATAGATTCAAATATTGTGGGAAATACACGGGAATTTCACTGATAATTCTCGAACTTATTCATTGGTCCTTCGAGCCGGATTCGAACCAGTGACCTATAGATGTAATTTAAAATTATTAGTTTTTTATTCAATTATGATAAAAATGTATAATCTAATTTTGCAATCCGCAGAAGGACTCATGGAGGTGCCGAAGGCAAACTCCTACCTTACCAATACGATTTTGATCTGAGGGCAGTGGTAAGGGTTCGAACCTCGGCTCAGACTGTTGTAATTTCGATCCGCGTTTGAATCGGCCGGGGGAGCGACCGGAAGGGTTGCCGTATAGTGGTAGTTGGCACGTGGAGTGGGTGGGGTGCGAGTGCGGGCGGTACCTGCGCGAAGCGGTGCGCGACCCGCTCGCTGAGGCGCCACGCGGCCGGGAACAGGCTCCCGAGGGACTCCTCGAAGGACAGCAGGTGTCTCTTGAGCCACGCGTAGCGCCGCTCCACGTGCGACAGCCACGCGCTCTCCTGCTCCGCGGAGAACAGGTGCCGGTACTCCTGCACCACACATACACACACACACATAACATTATCCTAGCGCCGCACCATTAACATAGTTTTTTCTTCATTTGTTTTTTTAATTATTTTAAAACTACGCAACGGATTTTGAAGCGGATTTTTATCTATTACATAGTGATTTTTGAGAAAGGTTTATATGTATAACTAGCTTTTGCCCGCGGCTTCGCTCGCGTTAATTTATCCCCTTAAGGGTGGAATTTATCAAAATCCTTTCTATGGGGATGCCTAAGCTATAGTTGCTTTATGCATGCAAAATCTCCTTCCGATCGGTTTAAAATTGACAAAGTTTCATACAAACTGTCATCCCCTATTTTATCCCTGTGAGGGTAGAATTAATCAAAATCCTTTCTTAGCGGATGCCTACGTCATAATATCTACCTGCATGCCAAATTTCAGTCCGATCCGTCCAGTGGTTTGGACTGTGCGTTGATAGATCACTATGTCAGTCACCTTTGAGTTATATATATTTAGAAACATGTACACCCGGGCAAAGCCAGGGCGAGTAGCTAGTATTTTATAAATTGCTTCAACATGTGTATAGTCTAATCATGATTTTCTTTTAATAAATAAATATCTGTATGTTTGTTCCTGAGATTAGTACATATAAACATACAGATTCCTCCAATAAATGTCATTATTACCTGCAGTTGCATGTCTATGAACCACTTGAGTAGGTCCTGCTTCACCTTGGGCTCCAGGATGTCGACCACGCCGCAGGCCTCCGCCAGCGTCTTGTGAGACACCATGCCCTTGCTGCCCGCTGCCAAACAAATTGAACACAGACAGACAAATTGTTACTTTATGTACATTATAAATTCAAATTAAAATTCAAAAATCATTTATTAATGTAGGTCTTTTAAGCCTCTTATGAATGTTACATTTTTTATATTATAATTTGTTCCCCACCATCCAGTTCAGTATGTAGATCCAATTGAGAAGAACTGGCAAGAAACTCAATTGAATTACTTTTTTTTAAAGCCAGTTTATTTACAATGTATATTTATATAGGTGTCTATGTTTAATATTAAATAAAATTCTAAATATATAAATCCTTATTCCAATAAATGCGAAAGTAACTCTGTCTGTCTGTCTCGCTTTTACGCCAAAACTACTGAACCAATTTAAATGAAATTTGGTACACAGATAATCTAGACCCTGGGAAAGGAAGGCTACTTTTTAATGTGAATAAAGAGTTGAAAGGTTGTATGGAAGTATCGTCATTTTTAAAACTAGAATAATGAAACTTACTTTTCAGGCTGTTCATTAAATACTATAAATAAATATGACTAAGTTTGTAAAATTGTTGTTAAGGGGGTAAAAATAGGGGATGAAAGTTTGTACAGAAAATCGTCATTTTTAAAGCTATAACTAGAAATCTAAAAAAGATTTCTAGTTATAGCTTAAAAATGACGAACCTTCTTTGAGTTAGATTATTAAATATTTTTTCTATATTTGGTGAAGGTCACTAAAACACGCGGGCGAAGTCGCGGGCACAGCTAGTATTAAATATATTTACAGATTTAATTTAATTTACATATAGTAAATTATATTATAAAAAATGTATTAAGTATTTGTCAGTTGTCTAGTATACATAACGCAGGCCACCTTAGCTTGGGACTAGATGACGGTGTGTGAATTTATTAATACTTATATGGTTGAGTTCAATGATGGCTGGCTCATTCGTCATACTCGTGAACGGGTGCCCGTTGTGGGGACAGGTCTGTTCGGGTTACGGAGTGATTAGACTATTTGCTTTAGCAGTAGCATATGCTGGTGGTCACTTTATTCTCCCAAATTTGTATTTAAAATTGAATCTGTATTTGAAAAGAATACGAGCTGAGTTTCTTGTCAGTTCTCATCTCGAAATCATTCCGAACTGACGGTAGATTTGACATATCATAAGTCTGTAATAGACCTACATGGATAGAGGTATTTTGAATTGAATTGAATTGGGTGGTAGTATGGAGTAGTGCGGGTGTGTGTGGACCGACCTGTGAAGGCCTGGTTGAAGTCTGCGAGTATCTGCGCGGCGAGCAGAGCCCGGGTGGCCTGCACGCGCTCACGCAGCGCACACAGCTCGGGGATCTCACGGTAGCACGAGAAGTGCTGCAACACCTGCACCCACACATACACACACACACTATTATATTAGATAACATTTGTATTTTTGATAAACAAAAAACAAAAATAAAATAAGTAGATACACAATTATATTGGTCATACAAAGGTACAAAGAAAAAGACAGTGTGAGTAACATAGTGTGTGTGTAACGTCACCTCCATAATGGCCTGCATGGGCAGCACTATCTCCTTGTACTGGCGGCTGTCGGTCATGGTCTTCAGCGTGTCCACCCCGCCCACCAGCATGTGCAGGTGGTTAAGCGCTGTGATGGCGGCCGTCAGGTTTGACTTGGCACAGTCCAGCTGCTTGATCTCTGAGGTTATCTCCCTCACCATGCTCTCACTGCGCTCCGCTTTTTTATTTATATCTGCTACCTGAAAATTAAACATATCTTTGCTGATATACTTGACATTAAAAACAAACCCAGATATTTTTAAAAACAAACCCAAAAATGCTTCAATTCAGTATGTTTAATATATATTTTTTTTATAAAACTTTTGTTACACTTAGAAAGGGTTGTCTTGTTCAAAAACAAAAACCTGAAAATAAATTTAGATTAAAAAAAAAGTACTTAAAAGAAGAAATGTATAAAAAATAGAAGGAAATATATAATTACTATAAATTATATTTACAACTAAGAACCTAAAATTAAAAAGCTTAAAAAAATATATAATATGATGACTAAAATATATTATTAAAAGGGGTCCCTTTAGGCAAGGTTCCGAAGATACTGGCAGCATTTCCTCTTTGAATAGCTAGACTAATTCTTTGTCCAAGGTAGCTGCCAGCTCTTCGGTCTTCTGTGATGTCGACTAAAATTAGGTACATCAAAAACAAATCTAAAACATCTAAACATCTCTAGCAACCAAATATATAGTTTTACCTTATTCAAATTCAAATTCAAAAATCATTTATTCATGTAGGACATTTTAGCCGCTTATGAATGTCAAATTTTTACATTATAATTTTAATATTTCCCCTACCTTCCAGTTCAGTATATAGATCAAATTGTTACTTGTTACATACTTGTTATAATAAATTAATAATACCTGCAGAGCCAACTCAGCAATACACCTCTGGGCATCAAGCAAAGCCTGCTGGCCGGCCTCTCTCTGTTCAGCTTGCGCCCGCACTAGCCGCCTAATGTCTTGTTCCACTCCAGAGAGGCGGAACTCACAGCGAGCAGCGGCACTCTCCACCCCGGAGAGGGATTGCTCAGTGGGGAACACTCGATTGATGTACGCTACTGCATCAAACTGCAACATATCATAGTAAGTTCTGCTATATTTGATGCTGTTTTATTCATGTGAAATATATAACCTATGTTTATTTATTATTTATATATTTATTTATTTACGCAACTATTATTACAGGCCTAAGCCCAATACAATAGTGTATGTTATTCTGATGTATAAGATATATTACTGTAAAGTTTCATCAAAATCCATTCAGTAGTTTTTGAATTAAAGAGCAACATACATCCATTCATACTCACAAATTTACGTGTTTATAATATTAAAATAAGATATTTTATCGAGTAACGACAACTAGATAATTAAGGCATATTATATATTTTAAATATATAATATTAATTAGATACAATACAATACTTGAAAATATATTTTTGGTATGTTATTTTTCAATCATTAAACTGCGAGAGAAGTTAGTATGTTGTACCAGTAACACCAATAGTATTATTAATACAGTGTATTAGTTAATTTGTGTCAGAACAGGCATGAAATATGTTAAATCTTGAGTAAATAATGTAAGTCATACTTCAGTGTTGTCGAACTGTTCAGTTCCCCCCATCAATTCTTCGATTCTGCTCATCACAGAATTTGGAAAGTTGATCTGGACCTCTGGCCCACTGTCCTTATCGTCAGTGGTGTCATTGGAATCCATTTTTAAGAACAGAATTTTGAATTATTTGAGAAAATAGGAGTCACATAAACATTGTTGACATTTTTTTATTTGTTGGATTGACAATAGTGACTGTACGACACCTGACACAATTGACATTGACATTTAAAGGCGGCAGTTTGACATTTCGTAAATAGGAAAAAATCGTAATTATACTATCTGTGTGATACCTAATCTGTATCTAGTCTGCTTTCATTTCAACTTCAACAACTTGTGTCAGTTTCTGCTGGTGCTCTCTTTGTTTTTGACGTGTGTCGGTTCCACGATGGTCAGCCTTCTCGCAGCTCCGATATAAATCTACAGTGTTCATCTTTATAATATTTACTTCTGTAAAATTGCAGTGTAGTGTAGTGCAGTGACAAATATATACCATGGCACGTCTTACTGAGGAGATGGTGATCGCTCGATCGAAACAGTCGGATTTGTCATCTATAAAGAAACTGAACTGCTGGTGAGTGTTTCTTAAAATATTTACCATCTGTAGGAAACGCAGGCAGCGTAGAACGCATATTTGAATATGTGAAACGGACTTTAGTGGTGATTTGTAATGCACTAGAATTAGGGTCGTAGCGTAAATAATAGAGTTCGAATGGAATGGATGCGTACAGCTCGTCGTTCGTTACCCTATTAACTGCGTTCGTGCTGTATTTTTTTTGTTCACTTCCCGTGTGAAAAGCGAGTTTTTGTCTGAGAGTATTGTATTCAAATATTAGTTTTTTTTTAATATTCTGTAGGCAAAGGAATAAACATATATTACGAGCGTTTCCTACACAAGCCATGTGTTGTATTTTTAAAAACAATTCAGAATTTTTCAGTATTTATGGATGATTACTTAAAAAGTAGATAGTAAAATAGAATTTTAATCATGTAAAAAGATTCTAATTAGATTCTTATTAAGAGTTTATTACAGTCAAATTCTTGGTAACAATCTAATTAAAATTATTATTCAAATATTATTTCAAAATTATAATCTCAAATATTAAAAATTCTGGTATTGAATATTGAGAACTTGAACCAAATGTTAATTGTTAAGTTGTATATTTATGAGATTGTGTTTTATGATTAACATTTTATTTATCTGTGTATTAGTAGTTAATCCATTTTTATTATTAAATAAATATAACAATGTATTTTTTCTTGAAACTTTACATATATTATTAAGCTTTGTTTGTGAATGCACACAAGTAAGGGCAACAAAGGACCTCTCACATACATTATCATACTAAATTAGGTAGCTGTATACATTATTAAGGTAATTTATTTGTATTAGTTTTATTCTGTTTGCGATCACAAATAGCCATATAATTACATTTAAAAATAAAATTATGAAATTTAAATTTGGAATGTCACTAAGAAAATAGATTTTGTTTTGTTTACCTTTATATACATTTCTGTGTACAATATATTTAAACCATTTTTTATTTCAATAATACAACAACTTTAACATTGCAATATTCCTCTAGCAAACATATTCTAAAGTCATTTTTATAGCATAAATAGATTTTGGCTACTGTTTAGTGATAGCTAAAATTTTAACTTATTACTGGAAGGCCTGTGTTTCTTAGATTGTTCACCTAGATTGATGATGTTGTTATTGAGTAAAAAAGTGTATATCCACCACCACCATCACCACTCCTCTTCATCTTCAGGAAGTTGTAAAATCCAACTAAAACACAAAACCAATATTAGTCTATTAGTAACTAGTCTGATAGAACCTAATCCAAGACAAACCTAGTTGTACCTAGCTGAATTTTTTTGCAACTGTTTAAATGTAGTATGTATGCATGTATTATGCAACTATGTTTGTGTGTGGTGATAAAGTATATCACAACTTCTTTTCATCCTTAGGTAGTTGTAAGGCCTACTAAAAGAACAACAAACATATCAGTCCAAGAGAAATTAAATCCAAGAGAAATTATTATATAAAGCTGATATGTAAATAATCATCTAAATCTTTCTCTTATATGTGACTAGCTTTTGCCTGCGGCTTCGCTCGCGTTAATTTATCCCCTTAGGGGTGGAATTTATCAAAATCTTTTCTTAGGAGATGCCTACGTCATAGTAGCTTTATGCATGCAAAGTCTCAGCCCGATCGGTTTAAAATTGACAAAGTTTCATATAAACTTTCATCCCCTATTTTATACCCTTGGGGGTAGAATTAATCAAAATCCTTTCTTAGCGGATGCCTACGTCATAACATTTACCTGCATGCCAAATTTCAGCCCGATCCGTCCAGTGGTTTGAGCTGTGCGTTGATAGATCACTATGTCAGTCACCTTTGAGTTATATATACTTATTTAGACTGTAAGAATGGTGCCCAGCACATAAATAGTTGTTGATATTTTTTTTACTCCATCTTTGGTCAAGTAGTGACTCTACTGTATTAATTTGTAAAAAAAAAATACAAATGCAACGTCCTGTGAAATATTTATTTCAAGTTTCTGTAGTCTATAAGCCATATGTAGATTAAAATATTATGTAATAATATTCAGCATAATAAGTGTAGCTGTTTCTATGTTAAACACTAACAGACAAGTAGAAAAATAAATGGAAACCTTCCATACTGGTTTTGTATAACTATACTTTACTATATATTGTTATATATTCTGTGTCACGTTGTTTGTCCGCGATGGACTCCTAAACGGATTGCAAATTTGATTTGCATATTGTGTGCAATTTGATCCAACTTGAAAGATAGGATAGCTTACATCTCAATTTATAGTCGCAATAACATACAAGAACCCTAGCCACGGCAATGTGGTGCCGTGTCTGCTAGTATATTTATATATATACTAGCTGGATCCGGGACTTCGCCCGCGTAACGCGTACCTTGACCAAATTATGAAAAAAATATTTAATGACCTAACCCAATAAAAGCCAAATGAAAAAGTTTCATCGTTTTAGCTTCAAAAATGACGACACTTCCATACAATCTTTACTTCCTTACTAATATCACAGATAATATAATATTACATACTAATATTATAAATGCGAAAGTAACTCTGTCTCTCTGTCTGTCTCGCTTTCACGCCAAAACTGCTGAACTGATTTAAATTAAATTTGGTACACAGATAGTCTAGACTCTGAGAAAGGAGTTAGGCTACTTTTTAATGCGAAAAAAAGGTAAGGTAAGGTGTAAGGGGTTGAAAGATTGTATGGAAGAATCATCATTTTTGAAGCTAGAAGCTTGAAAATTATTTGTGAGGCTGCTAATTAAATATAAATAAAATTATGACAGTGTGACATACAAAGTTTTTAAAAACTTTACCCTTAAGGGGGTTAAATAAATTAGGGGATAATTTATTTTATGTAAATTCGTCATTGTTGAAACTTATTTTTGCGTATATCTTATATATAAAATTCTCGTGTCACAGTTTTCGTTCCCATACTCCTCCGACACGGCTTGACCGATTCTCATGAAATTTTGTGAGCGTATTGAGTAGGTATGAGAATCGGCCAACATCTATTTTTCATCCACCTAAATGTTAGGGGTAGTCCACCCCTAAATTTGTTTTTTATTTTAAGGCAAAGCAACGTTTTCCGGGACAGCTAGTACTATATATAAAGTACTGTATTGACTTCCTACCATTTTATTTAAAGTAAAGATGATCTCATGCAATCTCATACAGCCATGAACAGGGTACTAATCAAATGCTGTAACAAACAATGGAGCATTGTCTCATTGAACTTGAATCCAATACATATTAGTGTTATGTGAATTGCATGTATGTATTGATTGACAATGTTACTCTGATGACCTACATCAGTGTTGCACCCTTCTCATACATTTTATTAATTTGATTGATAAAATTAATGTGGGACGAAACTAGTAAAATCTAACCTATTTTTCAATATTTGTAATGGAATGGATTATCACGATTATTGTCCACGTGTTAGTAATGTGAACCGCTGACCCCATTGCTCACAATTTACCATGCCGGATTGACCTTCGCACAGTTTCCCCGGGAAATCATCATGATAAATTACTGGTGAACCTGTCACTATGGATGACTGACCTGACCTCATTCTCATCTCATCATACTCCTCTGGTGCCCCGCCAGCGTAGACCGTTAACGCAGGCGGGTGCATCATTACATTATCATCCATTAAAAAGACACTATAGATAGAGTGATTCAAGAGGAATGTTTATATGTATAATAAATACATGAAGAAGGGGCGAGTAACTAGTAAATGCTATATTATAGTATTTACTAGTCGCCCCTTCTTCGCCCGGGTGTACATGTATTATACATATAAACCTTCCTCTTGAATCACTCTATCTTTTAAAACAAAACCGCTCCAAAATCCGCTGCGTAGTTTGAAAGATTTAAGCACACATAGGGACAGACACCGCGACAACAGCGACTATTTTATACTATGTAATGGTTATACTTATCAACTTATTATTATTTTAGATCAAATTAGATATGACAACTGTAATATACGGAGATAAATAATAACGCACCCAATTCAATTAGTTGTTATATTTCGGAATGCCGTTAACAAACTCTTTACTCTTAATTTCTACCCGCCACCTTATTATATACAAATATCTTATTACCTACAAAGTATAAAACTAATATATAAATACACTACAACAACAATTAAATTAACAATCAAATTATTAAAACAATACACGTCCAAAAGAGCATCTCATTTTCTTTCTTTCTTTCTTTCTTCCATTACTTAGGCTGTGACAGTAGAAGACGGATCAAACTACAAATAAGACAATTGCAAAAATAATGAAACAAACCCAATACCCTTGAGTATACAATGCGTACGTCCAGTGGCTGCGCACGCGCACCCACTCGAACGTACCACAACCATCGTCGTAGGCTATATCAGCTCATTGTCACCATATAAGGTGTACAACAACGTCGTGGGCGTGCAGTATGGCGAATGTAATGCGCATGCTATTTCCCATACAGCAGTCATGTCAAACATACGGCCCGTGGATCGCATCCGGCCCCCGGGCCGGCATATGTTAATAAGGCCCGCAATCCCATATTTATTTAACAAGCATATATTATCTTATATATAAAATTCTCGTGTCACTATGTTCACCTTCTTTCGAAGCGGGTGGACCGATTTTTATGAAATTTTATATGCATATTCAGTAGGTCTGAGAGTCTGCTACTATATATTTTTCATACCCCTAAGTTATGAGGGTTGTCCACCCCTAATATTTTATTTTATATTTGGATAATTTTTTTATACTTAATGTGACATTAAAAAATACATACAACCTCAATTTTTCCCCATCGTGCCATCAACTATTATTTAATAGTGATTTTAATTTATATGGCAAAACATTGTTTGCGGGGTCAGCTAGTATACTATATAATTAAATAAATAAAATGGTATAATAATTCAGTACATTGTTTTTATTAGAATCTGGCTCGCCTACCTTTTATAAATTTTATATACGGCCATTTTATATACAAAGTGAAG